CAGATAATGGCCCCCAATTATACTTTTATCTTGAAGAATAATATTGCTTTCAAGGTTATGAAATGCAAGTCCTGCTGCACAGGCACCAACCACTTTTCTGTTTCCGTCGCTGTTCAACACCGGCTCTTATGACATTATTTCCACCATGTCCTCCTGTTTTAGATGGTGGGGATAAGTTAGCAACCGCTGATTCTAATTAATGCATTGTTTTCTTCAATTTTCATTCCGCATATAAATAAACTCTCAGCAAAATTCTTGGAGAGATGTAGACAATAGTCTAACTATTTCATGAATACCTTTTCAAACCAAAAGTAAATCCTTATTAAGATCATGCAGTGTTCGTACATATCTACAGACATTCCTCAACCGCATCCATAATGACGCTCCCGTCGTCGTGTGTTCAAGGATTCAAGAGCAAGTGTTTTGCTCTCTGCTCCATGCCTCGGCGACCTGGCAACTGGCCTTGGACCTTTTGTCCATGGGCTAACTACTCCACCGATCGATGATGAGAGGGCATAAATTACTTACGAATCACGTACTGTACTGTACATAGTTAGTTAACGCGTCCAAAACTCATCGGAGGGATAATAAAAACTAATCACTTTGGCCACGTCAAGAAGAAAAACGACGGGATAAACCTCCCGGACAAGCATTGACCGCCGCTGGCCAGTCTACGACTCGTCAACCCAAAGAACCACGCCGAATCGGGCTCGGTCAGGGACGCTTGGGGAGCCAGCCCTTAAAATATTGGGCGACACTGAGTTTTGGGACCCTGTGGTGTACCGTGTGCCATGTACTTCCTCAGGAAAAACTAACGGATGGGGCCGCGCCACTTTTGGGGCATGGGATGTCGGGGCACTTCATGCATGGATGCATGCATGCATCGGAAGAAGTATATCTTCTCTCTCTCTCCTCTCTCTCTCTCTCTCTCTCTCTCTCTCTTCTCAATCAGATGAGGGTGTGCTTTCCGACCATGCACGAGGTAATGCAAGCGGCATATACAGGCAGTATGTACATACCATACTGTACAACGTGGTAGAAGCATTTTTCTTTCGTGTGGGACTCCAGGGTTTTGTGTGAATGGGATGAAGATCAACATCCCCAAGAAGGGAAAAAATCAAGAGGTAACGGCGGCGAACGGCGAACTTCAACTGCCGGCCGGCTAGCTTGGACCTCTCTCAAATCTGTTCCTCTCTCTAGCTACAAGTTGTGGCGAACGACCCCCTTTGTTAGTTAGGGTCTTTGAACATAAAAAGGGAAGAGGAAATATTCTGTGTGCTAGGGATGAGAAAAAAAAAAAAAAAAAAAAAAAAAAAAAAACACCGTCTTTCATCTAACCACATAAGAACGAGGCTAAAGGTGGTGAAACTTAACAGCTACGGTTCCATCACGCCAAGAACCAATTTATTTTGTGCAATATATATTAACATACGTCTTATTTGTTTGGCGTATTTGTGGAAGCGGGATGGTTTTTGGGAACTTTGAAGTTTGTTCTAGATTCGTTGTCCATCGAATATCCTTCTAGAAACATTGTGGAAGGCCGCGGGAGCGGGTAAATAAAATCCAGGAAATCGGTCGCTGCTCCGCTTACAGGTACATCCACTACTGTATCTAACTACTATATAGTTTAGCCCTCAGCTCCGGGAGAACGAATTTAAGAGGTCGCTGATAGCAGTTTGACATGAACAGGCTACCATCTACAGCGTACGCGCGTTTCATATAGTCGGCCTCGGGCGAGCGCTAGAATAATCTGTACACTCGAGCGCCAAAAAAATCCCCTCTGCGCATGCTAGTTACGCCTTAACGTCCACGGGATGGATGGACTTGGATATGCTTGGTCAGAGCAGTGGAAAATAAGCTTTCGACTTTCGCCAGTCCGAGGCAAGATATAATTGCTGGTAATAGATTCTCATCCCAAAGAAGGGCAGTTGCTCACACTCAAGATGGTATTTGTTCTGAGGCAGCATAAGGGGGCGTGGTGGTTTTTGATCGTCTTATGACGATATTAATAACCAGCAGATGGCAGGGGACGGAGTTCTCCATCAATTCTTCCCAATCAGTAAAGGTATGTTTAGAAATAGCTAGTGAGGAATGCATACGAGAGAGTCCTGGACAGCTTTTGCAGGGGTAACCCCAGAAGCGGCTGTGTTGTAGCGTACCCATTGCCTGAGCTGATCCATGAAATACTTGGGCATGGAATACTCCGCAGGGTTTGGAGCAGTTCCAGCTCCCTCTTTGTTATTTTTCTCTGGTGACAATTGTGCATTTCATTTCACTTGGAACTGTTAACACTTAATGCTTCCAGTAGCATCACAAGTGGAGCCCGGTGGAGACTCTGGTGACAGCAGATATACTGAACTCTTCTTACTCCGTATCAGCGATTGTAGGGATACGCCCTAACTACCCAACAAGAGAACCAGGAAAGGTGAGCCGTCCAAGTAAGTTAGTTACTTGGACAACATTCCTGCTCGAACATAGACCAATGACAGGCTGCCAAGTGAGATCGATCTGCTCTGCACCGTTCCTGGTCATGTTCGAGAAATTGCTGACTTGGCTCCTTTTCCTCCATGAACAGCCGGCATATATAAATAAGCTCGAGTCGCCGTTGTTGCGGGATTATATGGTTTTTTTAATGAGTTTTGTTTGGCTGGAGGCGATGGGCCCGATTGAGGTATTTAAAGGTTTTTCGGGAGACATGTAACTAAACTGGCGAACGTATGATGTAGTTAAACTGCCTGCTGTCAGACTCCAGCCAAGTGATCGGTAGAAGAAGCCTTCAAAGAACGAATCGTAAGATGAATGATACATAGATAGCCTGCGGAGCATAACGATGAATGGCATGAACCGCCATCTGATCTTCCATAAGAAAATTGACAGGGAAGGAGGGATTCCTTCAAAAAGGTTCAACCTCGCAGCTAGCTTTTCTTTTAGATCTGTGCGCTCTTGTTCTTCTCAAAGAAGATCCTGACTATATAATAAGGCTAAATTAATCCAGATCCGGATAGATAAATTCGATCATCCCAGAAGAATAGGGTAGTTATGGTAATTGAAATCCCATACGGCGCCAGAGCCATAACGTGTATTCTGACACAGTACGGAGTTACCAGGTTCCCATCCCCTACCATCGAGAGACAAGTGCCGATTGCCCCCTCTCCCTCTCCCTCTCCCTCTCCCTCTCCCTCTCCCTCTCCCTCTCCCTCTCCCTCTCCCTCTCCCTCTCCCCCTCCCCCTCCCCACCCCCCCGAACTGCTCTGCTGTGAGTGGCTGATCGGCCGAGAGGCGCATGAAAAGTGACTGGTCGGGCGTAGAGGGTATGGCATAACACCTGGGTAATAATAACCGGCTCGACTTTCCTTTCCAACCATCATTTTAGTTTAGCAGGGGCGGCGTCTGTTGACCACATGTCTGGGGGTGGGGGGGCAACAACCCACAATCTAAAATAAAAATACACATTGCACAGTCAGAGTGCGTACAGAACCTGTACAGTATAGGAACGGTATCCATACCATACGCCCCTCCGTTCGTAACCCGTTTTCCAGCCCCCGAATCCCTGTGCTCTTTTTTTTTTTTTTTTTTTTTTTCAACGCTTCTGGAATGCGTCCAAAGCGCCGGACTAATGGTTCTCTGCGTCTTCTGCTCCTCTTCTGGCTCCCGTGTCCCTCTTGCTTCTGGCTTGCTTCATCCTCTGTTCCTTCTCACATCCTGCGGGCCACCGAAACCCCATCGCCAACCCCATCGTTTAACCCAGTTTTTCTCCCTCCCTTCCATCCTTATCCCTCTGCCGCCGCACTTCGCATTATCGCCCGGAGAACCGGGGAACCGGTAAAGCGGGAAAGCGGGAAAGCGGGAAGCTGCATCGCATTTTGTCCTCGACCTTCCCCCGATAATCCTGACAACCTCCGAAAACGGCCAGGCGAGAAAGAAAAAAAGCCTTACTATTCTCGTTGTCTTAGAGGTTCCTATCGTATACCTCTCTCTCCTTGACCAACGATCCTCTCCTTTAACCAACCAGAGACAACCAAAACTAAACAAAAAATAAAATAAAATAAAATAAATCCTTTGTCCCTTGCCCCAGCACCCGTTCGGGCTGGTATATTATCTTCTTCGTCCGAAAACCCTCCTCGTGTAAAACCCGTCAGTCAAAGAGAGCTCTCTCCGCCATATTCTCAAACAACAGTGACGAACAACCCTCACTTTCTCCCCTGTGATAGCCACTGGTTCCTAACGCTGCCATCTCGAGTGTGGACACCGTCGCAATGATGCTGTAGGAGGGCCGGTCCTTGCAGTTCCCTTGCCCAACTACTCAATTGCTTGCATCTCACTTGCCAACTGCCAGGGAGCCCTCCTTTTCTTACATAAGCTCAGTCCGGTCCATCCACTGTGGGGGTGGGGGTTGTTCTTTTGTATGCTCCCCACGTAGACGACGGATGTTGCACATACACGTTCGATTCATTTTTCCATTTCTCTTCGTTTCCATCTCTGTTCCCCTTCCATAATATTTGTTGCGGGCGACGCTGGCGCCGCTGGATCATTCTCCTATAGACGTGTTGCAGTCCAAAGCTAAAATTAAGTGGACAGATTGGTGAGAGCGGAAGACTTGAGGGGAGGAAAGAATCACAATTAGAAAAGAGAAGAAAGAGGACGGGGGGGGGAAATATTCTCGAGCTCTAAAATACCGGGGTGAATTATAAAAACGCGGACTTCAAGGGTGTGACGGAAGATCCTAAAGATTATTTTCGATAGAGTCGGTGTCAAGAACAATTCAGATTTTGCAGTGGATTGATAGGCCATATACGGTCCCTCCTGTTTTTCTTTCCCCGAGAATCTTACACTCCTCCAATTGACGAACAACATCGACCGTTCTTTACCTTCCTGTGTATACCTCAGGACTTTTTGAACCCAAGGAAGACACAACACGTTATCCGGTTTCCAGGTCAACGTCGCCAATTCACTTGTCGAGGAGGTCCTCTTCTTAGGCAATACCATATCTCAATTTCAGCATGGATCCTGGAGACTCTTGCGCCGTATATTTGGATGACCGTGTGAAAGAACAGCGCTGGGTAGTGAGGAACGCATCTACGTCTTCCGAAACGAAAGTTACTGGACTACAATGCGCTATCCCTGAGGATCCGGAACTTCACACCAATGTTGAACTGTTTCTGGGTGTCTTCAAGAAAGGTAAACAACCTTCCTGGATGAACTGTACTCATTTTACAATCTGCATCTGATATAATTATGTTTAATCAAAGCATAAAACTTTGGCAATCTTATGCTAACGAATTTACAACCCCAACAGTTTTCTTAACAAAATCTAGAAAAGAATTTGCCAAAATATTAACGGAAGTCAATGAAAGTTGTCGGCCGAATTCTAACCCTTTATTTGCCCTTGTCGCCATCAGCATCATTGGTTCATCACAGGATACGCCTCAGTCGTCTGAACATCCTCCAAACTCAACCCTGACGAAGCCACCGTCACGCAGAACTGAAGTCGGACGGGTTCTACCATTTTCATCCGATGAGGATGAATTTTGTGCGATAGATCTTCTTGCGAGATTTTCCTCGAATTTGAAAGCCCAGGATGAAGTCAATCTCGCCGTCCCAATTGCCGTCTTACGGTTTGTACAAGAAAACGATGGAGAAATATATTCTACCCAGCGCGAAGAAGATTTTTCTATGGTTACCAAGTGTATAAATCGTTGCTTAGATGCTGGGGTCGTCGACGTCCTTATTTCGCCGCTGGATGCTCCAAGAGTCCAAGCTCTCTTGGTTCACGCATATCGAATACATAAAAGCGCGCGAGAAGAACAACTGCAGTCTACGGAAAACCGGAAACTCAGAAAACACTCGTGGGTTGGTGCAAGTGACAGTCAGCAACCATACGGATATCTTAGAGAACTCATGTTAGTATCTATCGCATTTGCCGCATTACTGTGGGCTCATGCTGTTCCACCCAGAATCGTTACTAATTGACACTCAGGGTCACTAAACTTATGAAACGAATATGCAATCCCGAGGAAGAGGTAGAGGATTCTCAAACACGGTATGCATCGTCGTTGAAAGTGTCTCAAGATACTCGAGGCTTAGCTGGGCCCGGTAATCTTGAAATCCTTCACGATCGCAAACACCTCGTTGAGATTGAAATCAGCACCTGGAGTTTCTCAGCCCATGATTTCTCAGAGGACGAACTTGTACACGCTTCATTCACGATGATACAACATGCCCTTAAAATGCCAGAATTGGAACATTGGCGAATCCCATCAAGTGCGTTGATATTTCTCTTTGCTATATGCATTCTTGTTTCAAAATTACTATTGCAAGCCCTAATTTTGTGCAGCCGAACTTCACTCGTTTTTACTTGCCACTCGTGCCACATACAATTCTTTCGTGCTATACCACAATTTTCGCCATGCTGTGGATGTTCTACAGTCGACTTTCCACTTGCTCGTCTGCATGGGAGTTTTACCGCGCTATCCGGATGGAATTACGCAATGCAGCACAAGGAGTCCAATTGCATTATTGCTGACCCCATTTGACGCTTTAACGCTGCTGATCACTGCTCTTGGTCACGATGTCGGTCATCCAGGGGTAAACAACATCTTTCTCGTCAAATTAAGCGCTCCACTCGCCCAGCTGTACAACGATACTTCGGTTCTGGAATCTTTCCATTGCGCTGCATTTTCTCAGATCTTACGGATGCATTGGCCCGTGGTTTTCGCGGATATGAAACTGCGTAAATTGATGATTAGTTCAATCCTCGCGACCGACATGGGTATTCATTTTAAATTTATGGAATCCCTGAATGCACTTCAGGAGAAATATCACAAATCTCATACAACGCAAGGGTGGAAGCCGCAAGATATAGAGGCTCATCGGTCGTTACTCTGCGGTTTACTCATCAAATGTGCCGATATTAGCAATGTGGTACGTAGGGAGTTTCTTAACATCTTTTATAAATTTTCATGAGCTACCGCAATGGACTGACGGTTTGACCTTTCGTACAGGCCCGCCCGTGGGTAATCGCAGAACGATGGACGAATATCTTGCAAGAGGAATTTGCTCACCAAGGCGAGATGGAGAAGAATGTCGGGATAGAAACTGCACTTTTCGGTGGCCCTCCGGAACTTGGAAATATTCCCAAACTCGCCAAGGGTCAAATGGACTTCATGAAGTTATTTGCACTGCCCCTTTTCGAAGGCATGGCGGATATTATACCGGAGATGGCATTCACTGCAGTCGAGATAAGACGTAATTGGTCAACTTGGCAAAGACTCGTGAGTGGAGATTTGCACAGCATGTCATCACATGAAGCGTCATCTCAACAGGCCCGCCCGTCGTCGGATCTTGCGAGTGTAGAACCTGTTGGAAAGCCTCTCCAGGGTACCGTTGTTGATCGTGAAAAGACACCACCTGCTTCATCATTACCATTGTCCCGTACGGCTGACCACGTGCCTCCAACTAAGGATAGTGGAATAGATGGGAATCTTGAAGCTGAGAAAGGAAATATGGGCACCCCTGATATCTCCTCCTCCGCCGTATCGACGACTGCTTCAGAACATAATGATTCAGCTGCAGATGGGAATCAAGTGTCCAATTCCAGACGGGTTCAGTCTCACCGCCTATCTCAGCGCTGGTCTACTCGTCCATCAACTATAATAGCACCGAATCGCCAAAGTGAGGTTACACTCGGAACGCGTACTCAAAGTGCCAGCACCTATACGAATAACACTGTGGTGACTCCCATATCCTCAACGACGCAGGCCAGCAGCTTTATCAGTGTCGGTAGCAGTAATGGCGACCAAGATTACGTGAACCCGGCGAGCGAGCCTGATCCGGAAAACAGCTTTCCGAGCTGCAATTCCCAAGGCCTGGCGGAACAAGATAATGGAGAGGGCAGCAGTAATCGCCCTACCCCTGTGGCTATATCAGCCGGCCCTGGCCGTCCGCATCACCTTCACCCCTACCACAATATCGTTAACGGCAGCAATGGGAAATCCCCGCATTTCATGAGTGCCCTGATCGACAGAAGTTTCGGCACCAACAAAAGCAATGGATTCAGCATAACAAACCCCACCTGCTCTACCTCCGACAACAACTGCCATCCAACCGGCAATCCACATTTCTCGAATCATGATCCCCTACCCAACCACAACACAAGCAACAACATGAATGGAAATACCAACAGAAGCATCTCACGACGAAGAAGTCGCTTAAGACTCGCTTTCTGGCGTCGCAACACAACAGACAATAGTCGCAGCCCATAACAGCGAGATGGATGAACCTCGGAGTTTTCAAAGAATATATAATTATCCCTTTTCCTTTCTGCTTTGGTGTTGTATACCTATGGTCGAAATTTCTAGGTTAAAGGGAGAAAAGCTATCCCCTCGAGGACTTTCGACAAGGACGGTGTTCTACGGTTTTGCGTTTGTTAGCCCTGGTTTTAATAGGTGTTCTTTTTTGGGATGGCGGGCTGTCAGGTGGCGGCGGATTGGGCATTAGTGTGAAGGGGCATGAAGTTGTTCGGTGAAAATCATTCTCATCATATACCATATCTCTTTTTCCTGTTTTTTTTAATTCTTTTTTGTAGGGCGATAGCATACGGTGTGTGCTATCTATTTCTCTTCCTCCCTTTGAACGTTATATTCTCCCATGTTAGAATTTGTTATTACCAGTGTATATATTGTGTGGCGCGTGTGGTTTCGCCCCTTTATCTTTTTTTCAAATGTTTTTTTAAGGGATGGGTTGGTGATTTGGTGGCTGACTGGTGTTAGCTTTTTTGCACTTTTCCCCGTTTTCGTCCAATATCCTTCTTCACTTCATGCGTTTTTATATTCTGCACATTTTCCTCTCCTATCATGGAGGATGAGCCATGACCTGTGTTGTGTTTCGTCATCTCCGCTTTTCTCTTTTCGCGTGTCATATTATGTTTCATTTCCATTTCGTATTTTTGGATATTTCTTCCATATATATAAAGTCCATATATGGTTCGATGTGCATGTTTGCCTCGATGCGGTGCTTATGGGTATTTCTCTTTCCCATTCTTCAATATTTTTTTTTCAAACAAGACACTTCCGTCCAAAGCAGAGTGCATCAATACCAATAGTACAGGAGTCTAGAACCTTTGGATAGGATAAGAGAAACACAGAGCGAAAATTCATTTTCTAACCAACGCTCACTCTTTGTAGTTCCTTTTTATGTTTGTAAAGTTCCCCCAGTGCCATCTATGAATAGCACATGTTAGATTTGCCCTACCATTTAGCAGACTTGCATTTAACCTGCGTTCACCTTAGATAGGATCGCAAATATTTGAATTCATTTTACTATAAAACAAGACAGCACCCAATGCAGGGATTCTCTCCCCTCCCTTCAAATACAACCACCGCCATCTTAACTTAAAGCGTTTCATTCATATCATGCAAGCACGGGTTTTACTCACAATCTTCACAAACACCAGCTTCAGCCGTAGTTGATTCCGTCTGTTTTTGCGTCTGCGTCAACTCCCCTCTTCCCCCTTTCTCCTCAGCACCAGATACACTAATCCCCTCCCTGCTCCGCTGCTCTGCAAGGGCACGGTCAATATGTCCCAGATCCCGCGAGGGATCAACGACGTTGCGAACGAGGGCTTTTAGCTGTTTAACTTCTAAAGAGAGAGGAGGACTATTAGGGAAAAAAAAAAAAAAGGAAACGAAAGGTTGAAAACTTCCACCTTAACTAGACAGACACATGTAACCCGCATAGGGAACCGTGGATGCCACTCTTAATCTAAGGAGGGGGAAATGAAACGTAAAGAAAAAGGAACATAAAAAAACATACCCGGAAACCCCCCCTGCGTCTTCCGGTCCCACAGCACCGTTTCCTCCGTTGAGAAATCAACATTGGATTCATGCAGGATGGCTACCGTGAACACCCCCCCTGTGGCGGGGACCAAAGATACCTCTCCCAGCGCTGTGGAGAAGGTTGAAAGGAGTTCTTGCGCGAACTGGATGGGGATGTACAAAATGACAGATTAGGAGAAACTTTGAGCTATATATGCAATAGAGAGAAAAAGAGATGGAAGAAGGGTGGGGGATCATTGGCATGTTATTATTTCATGGGAGACGAGAAATGGGGAAAAACGGGATTCGGGGGTCACCTTCACTTGGAGGGGGGGTTCATACATATGCCGCGCGAAGCATCCATTTGCACTGTGTGCAATATTTTATCGTCACCCGTGGCAGGTGGATGCGTGCTGTAGGCTTCTCGGTTAGGGGAATTGAGGTTTGTTGGTCTTGCTGGTCCCGCTGTTGAGCTTGGGTTTGTTGCTGATCGTCTGCGGGGGCGGGGTCCGTTGGATGTGATTTTAGGTCTGCCATCTCCTTTTCTCCTTTTTTTTTTCGTTTTATGATTGGTTTCCTCGAGGTTATTGTCTAGTTGAAATTGGGGGTATGGAGCTGAGCTGATGCAAGGAGGTGATGTTGGATGGAGTATTGGTTTCAATATGGAGGGATAGAATTGATGGATGACAAACGAGATTCACGTTGTTTGTTCTGAGAGGCCATTCACGACATGCTGCAACATGGGTTGGAAATGTCAAAATTACATCATTTCGTATACATCAAGTACTATTTTTGGTACCCAGGAGTCGATGGAGAAATATTCATACATATGAAAGATGAGTAGAATATTCTCAAGCTGTATTTTCCTGTCTGTCATTTTTTGCATATACCGCTAAGCCAGCGTCTCTCACCAGCAACCTCCCAGGTTAAGAGTAATAGTTGTATCTCCTAATATCAACGACCTAGCCAGACGCTGCAGCATCCAAAACACAATCGTGCTGCGACGGAGTAGATAAATGAGAAAACACGAAAAACCAGCCTTTGCCGCCCCTTCTGCAGAGTACACTCTCAGATTCGAAATACTTCTTAGATTTCCCATTTCCATGCTCCATTTTCTGGGGAACATGTTGGATACAATAGCACCCAAAAGTGGTGGGAACGGATATATCAAACTTATATATTGGATTCACTGTTTGCTGCCGTTTCGTCCCAAAATCTATTTTACAAGAAAAGATTGAAGGATGCCACACTGCTCCAGTCCTCACACCCAAATGATCTAAAAACAAACAGAAAAGGAAAAAAAAAAGAAATAGCCACAAAAGTAAACACGAAGGAGAAAAGGAATATCGCGTGCATATAAAGAAATGAAGAGAAATCTGCTCCACAGTGACTTAAATATCGCGAAACAAAACAGTGGTGAATGACTGATGAAAAGAAGAAAGGGATAAAATGAAAAAAAAAGAACAAAAAGAAAAAGAAAAGATATAGAAAAGATGAACAGGAGTAAAATGAAAAGAGAAGAAAATGGGTCATTGGAGGAGGAATTTGCACAATTTCCCTTAAAGAGATGGAAAGAAAATGTGAATTGGAGACAAAGGAAACAATAAAAGTTATGAAACAATGATGTGAGTTAGAGAGAATAGAGATGAAAGTTTACCAATCAATCAGCTTGCCAACCCAAGTGGTAGCAAAAAAGGAAAGGAAAAAGAAATTAGGAAGATAAAAAAGAGAAATGTGTATTTTGTGTGAGTAGCGCATTGTTCAAGGAAGGCGAGTGCATATATCCAACACAACAGTTATGAACTACGTTCATTTGTTGGCTGTCTGGAGGCGAATTGTTTCAACAAGGGTGCGAAAACATAGGGGGCATGAATGTCATCTTAACAACCGGTATTGAGAGACCTAGCCTCATTCAATACGCAGGCATATGGGCTACCAGCACCATTCATTCATGGCCGATCGTCTTCGTTGCAAGGAATATGTGGTTGTGTAGATGTTGGTGGTATGTCCCGGGTGAGAGATCGAGGGGCGTGTCGAGTAAGAGATTAGAGGCGGTATCTCTCCAGTCATTGGAGTGAGAATTGAAGATTTGCGAACATGCGATGGAAAGAAGGAAAAAAGCCCGGGTATAAAGTACTAAGGGAATAATCATTGGCCGTAGTGAATTGGGCCGTTCGGCTCTGCCAATCCATCGTCTTACATGATCATACAGCAGCCACCTGATTGTTGGGGTGCGTATGGATCTTCACGTTTGTCAATCTGTCATTTGTGGGGAGACACGTCAGTATTGGTGGAGATTTGCAGTTTTGAGAGTCAATGGGCGCAATCGTTTACCTGTCCCCAAACCGAAGGCACCATAAAATCCCGTGTGTTATTGCAGTAGTTGATGAGTCTACGGGAAGAGCGAATTTTTAAAATGGTCAGCCATCATGATCTTTTTATCTCCCCAGGTCCACAGCGCAGTGAAACCAAGATCGAAAACGTGGGTACTCTCTGGTGTTGACCAGAACTGATTTCTCAGCAAGTTATGGTGACACTCACGACATGGCCGCCTCAGACACCTTTACGCGCGGTCTTTCTAGATCTTCTTTCAATCGTACGTTGAGCTCATTTAGCCGTCGCAGTTTCAATTCTGCCATGTTCTGCTTCTTGTTTTTTACATCTCCCCCGGGTCGAAGCTCGTAGGCAGGGGCCATTGTGAGGAAGGGATGGCCCGAATTGCCGTTGTGGGAGGAGCTTGGCAAGAGAAACGATTCCGCAAGCGAGGATTAGAGAGGGAGGAATTCGGAGGAGGCTAAGAAGAATGAGACTCTGGGACCAAACCTGGGAGGTTGTTGGGAGAATAGACTGGCGGGTGGCGCGGGGGGAGAGAGACACTGTACCTAGAATGGTGTGGGATAGGGCGAGCGCTGGCTCGAAGACGCGAATGGATGGATGTCGATGCCGTTGATGGACAGAGAGGGGTTGCCGTTGAGCAAGTCAGAGAGTCAAGAAGCGATGATGGGCAGCGGTGGTTGATCGAGGAGATAGAATATAGGGATTCGGTAGTTGGTTGGTAGGCGGTAGGCGGGTAGGCGGTTGTTGGTGAAGGGGCAAAGGAGAGCGAGAAATAGCGAACTCCCAAGGCTAAAAACAGAGCCGGGGGCTGCTGTATGGACGTAATCTGGCAGTAATGGGGATGTTAGGGGACGGTACTGCGATACCGCCAGCAGGTCCCAGAGCGGCAGGTTGCAGGGCAAAGAGTCGTATTTGGGAGGTATTTACCAGGTATTGGCGCGTATCATGGCGTATTAGGGTCTCTCTTTGGCGGAAGGCTGGCTGTCATTTTGGTATTTTAATAATCAAACAAAGGTGGGTTTGGTGGAGCTTGACTGATGTCACTCTACACAAAATTCCGCAGTGAGGGTACCTATGCGTCAGCCTCTCGTCCCAAAGTGCCGGGATGGACGAGACGGAATCTCCATCGAAACCTTCTGATTTTAGTCGCGATTCCGACCTGTATAAGCCATGATTGGGCGAGGGAATTACATTATTTTTTCGCGTTTGTCTCTCTTCCCTCACAGAAACCGGGCTGGTGCCGGCCTTGAAGGCGAAAATGGACGACACATTGAAGCGAGAGATTATAGATCGGAGAAGTTTTGGCTACCATTGTCATTCCCGAAATTCGGAGCAATAAAATACAGTACACATAGATATTTTATCTGCAACAGTTGGAATCTCTCTCTGCCGTTTATCCTCTTGAGATCCTGCCGACAAGCGCTCTTGACATTCAATATGCGGCTCTTCAGACAACCAGCTCTTCCTTTTTCAGTTGCCTGCACTCCTCTCTTCATTATTACTCCCGCAGGTTTCTCTTCTGCCTATGCCTGGCTGTGCCCTGGCGAGGTCTGCGACGGTCTCTGCGTGCTGCGCACATACCTACATCAATCACCAACGTGACACACATGCACAGAGAGAGTGTGTGCTGTGCTGTGCAGTGAGATGCCCTCCACAGGTCTGTCAATTCACTTCAGGGCTCTTGTCAAGCGTGCCTTTGCACCCTGCCCGTATTTTATACTGATTTTTATTTTTCCGAGGTCCTCCCTCTTCCATGTTATTGGCTACCAGCCGTTTGCTTCTCCCTATGTCCTGCAGCCGGGTCAGCCTCGATGGGGCCTCCGGAGAGAGGCGAGAGGAGGGAAAATAAGCCCTTGCCCCGTTTCTTGGTTTAGCGCGGTTTAATTTCGGCCAGGGTTTTCTGGAACGAAGCTACCCGTCCACTAGCAAAAATTAGCAAATACCAACCTCTTGTTCTTTTCTGCGACTGTTCCGCCTTGAGATTGGCGTTTTCCAATCGATTTTGCACATCGTCTAAAGAAAGCAGAGGCGGGCTATTCTGCTAGGAACAAATGACGGAAAGATGACCTTGGGGTAAGATGCTGACCAGACGTCCTGTCCCCCTGTGGAAAAATTTTAGTAAATAGAAAAGTAAGTGGAATTCCCTTTAATACTAAACACCCAAAGGGCTCCGTTCTCTGTATAACTATATGAATGGTTCGTCCTAATGTTTCCATAATACAAAGTGTGAAATAAACCCAACCAGCAGTGAGTTACCCGGAACTGCTCTCTGCAAGAACCTAGATTTAAAACGCTCAACTTACATATAGCAGGTGCAACATCGGTACAATTTCAATGAATGAAGTCGACTGTCAGGCATCACTACGATAGTTCTTGCGGTGTTGGTCTTGCGAGACATAGTTTTCTTCCTCCTATGACTAGTGGATATGCGCTAATTATATGCGCGACTTGATTTGATGGCTCCCTTGATACTACATTTCATCTCCTTGCATGCGTTGCTCCGTCTATCCCTGAGGACTCCCAGGTGATTATATAAATATTCTGGCAACTTAGGAGCATTAACTAGTTACTCAACTACTGGAAGCAGTGATTCTTTATGATATAAGTAACATCACAAAAGACATCCTGCAAATGCACACACAGTCTTGCCCCCTTCAATGAGACAATAACAGCATTCCTTAATAACTATACTTATCCCTGCAAAGAATGTTTATACAAGGGGACCCTTAAAGCTGCCAAAACCACCGAAACACATCCAATCGGGGTCACATGTGGGTACAAAATTCTCCATGCCTTGACCGCAATTTCATAAATCGAGGGGTTTAATTGTTTCGAACTCCCTTCTTCAAAAGCTGTGCATGTAATTCTTCAGGAAAGGGTTCCTTCTGAGTCACTCCTCATGATTTACTGAATTCAATTTCATTTGCCGTGGTTTTGCTATTCTAGCTTCAATGACTCTTGATGACCAGGTTCTATTTTCCTAGGCTTTTTGCCCTACATCTACCTTGGTAGCTATACCAGCTACATGCAGGTAGTTATCATCTATCAATGACGCCCCTGCAACAGTTCGAAATATTGGTGAGAAGCGGGAGTTTACCATTTTCACTTCCTCCCTTTCCTTCTTTTTAAAAAGGTAGTTATCACTCAACCGTATTTCTCAGATAACTAATCTTTGCTGAAATCACGTTGCGTCGTTTGTTGTTTGTCAACTTCTGCCTTTGTTCATTGATCACATATTTAAGATACATTTCCAACCACTATCACATCCGACGATAATAAAAGCCGGGTTCTGAGAGCTTCCCTCCAAAGGCTGTCTCGAGGATATTATGCATGGCTTTAGACATTCTTTGACGAATGCCTGGACGGTTGCTCCAGTGGAATTCTTTTCAACACCGATGGAATATGAACCCTCTAGCCTTTCACTACCTCTCGATCAGTATTCCTTTCCACCATTGTCCTTATTTGCGACACTTTTTAAAACCAAGTTTTGGTATACGTTAGATGCCCCATTGTTGCTCACAGGAATTGGTTGAAGCTAAATCACGTGATTTCCCGCGTAACGCAGGGCTTATGTAAGACGGTGGATGGGCCCACAGGATTTTTCGCCCTCAAGTTCGCACAACCACAAAGAAGCTTGAACTCCATCATCGGAAAGAAACTCTCAAATTTCTTCTCCTCTGCCACCAGTCCACCGAACCTTCATAGCGTCGTTGGCTGTCTCGATCCATTCTGCACGCGTGTGCCTCATCGAGACTCCACAATCCGGTACCCTTCCACAATAGGAGAAGACCCTGCTCGTTTGTTTGACGGGTTTGAGTCTCTTGTCCTCATCCACGCTCGTCGTCGCTCGACCTTTGTGTGTTAAGGGGGAAGTTACCCAGCATGCCACCTCCACCCCATATCAGGCCTGAGAATGTCCTCAGGGTAAGGTTTCTGTCTATCTGGAGAAGGCCTATTGTCTGGAATCGGGGAACTGACTATATTTTTTTGCGTGTTGATAGCGAGCTGAAGAGCTCATTGCCGTTGGCCAGCAGCAGGCTGCGCTAACGGTTCTCCATGAACAAGTGGCCTCCAAGCGATCCCGAAACACCCCCATCGCAAGCCTTGAACCGGTTATGATTCTTTTTGTCGAGCTATGTGTCGATCTTCGAAAAGGCAAGTCTGCAAAGGAAGGACTTTATCAATACAAGAACATTGCGCAAAACAGCAATGTAGGGACGATCGAGGTAGGCCATTTTCCATCTTGACATCTCTGTGTACCTGGGTTCAAGTTCAAGTATTGTTATAATTGTTGGAGTAGGAATTGGATGGATGGATAAACGGTTGAAGAATTCGGGGCTGAGGCTAACTTGCCTATTTTCTCTCGAATATAGATGGTTTTGAAGAAGTTTATTGAACTTGCAGAGCAAAAAGTTACGGAAGCTCAAGCCAAAGCTGATGAAATCCAATCTTCTCTGGAATCATCTGCCCCTTCAACAAACATCGAAGATCTTGACGCCATCGAGACGCCGGAGACGATCCTTCTGGCAACTGTTTCTGGCGAACAATCTCGAGATAGAACGGATAGAGCAATTGTTACGCCATGGTTGAAATTCCTGTGGGAGACATATCGGACCGTGCTTGAAATTTTGAAGAACAATGCACGCCTTGAGGTCATGTATCAAACGACCGCTCTTCAGGCTTTCCAGTTCTGCTTGAAATACACTCGCAAGACCGAGTTCCGTCGTCTTTGCGAACTGCTCCGTAATCACGTTCAGAATGCGGCCAAGTACTCTAGCCAGATGCATGCTATCAACTTGAGCGACCCGGAGACTTTGCAACGCCATCTTGATACCCGTTTTCAACAGTTGAATGTCGCAGTCGAGTTGGAACTATGGCAGGAAGGTTTCCGAAGTGTTGAAGATATCCACACTCTTCTCAACCTTAGCAAGCGGCCGGCCAAGAATGTCATGATGGCCAATTACTATGAGAAGCTCACCCGTATCTTCTTGGTTAGCGAAAACTATCTTTTCCATGCGGCTGCATGGAACCGTTATTATAACCTCCTCCGTCAGTCTGCCGCTGCCATTGCTGCAGGACAGAGCACTAAAAAGGAAAACCCGGTTGTGACTGAAGCTGAGATGACGAAGACTGCATCTTTTGTTCTTCTCTCGGCCCTGTCCATCCCCGTTATTAGCACTTCCCGTTCTCGTGGGGCATTGGTTGACGTCGACGAGGTCCGCAAGAATAAGAATACTCGTTTGACCAATCTTCTTGGCATGCCACAAGCTCCCACCCGCGCTGGCCTGTTCAAGGATGCCCTGAACAAGGGTTTGCTTTCACGCTGCCGCCCTGAAATTCGGGAGTTATACAACATCTTAGAGGTTGATTTCCATCCTTTGTCAATCTGCAAAAAGATCTCTCCAATCCTTACCCAGATTGGTGCTGACCCCGAAATGGAAAAATACGTGCTTCCTCTTCAACAAGTCATCCTTACAAGGCTTTTCCAACAGCTCTCCCAGGTCTACGAATCCGTCGAAGTCAAGTTTGTCCATAAGCTCGCCCAGTTCCCCGAACCATTCCAGGTTACTCCTTCAATGATTGAGAAATTCATCATGAATGGTTGCAAGAAGGGCGACTTAGCGATCCGGGTTGATCATGTTTCTGGAGTCCTCACGTTTGATTCTGATATCTTCTCTTCCGCCAAGGCGATGCATCCTGGAAGTGCCGCTAGGTCTGCTGAAAGCGAAGTGGGATCGGTTCAGCGATTGCAAAGCACCCCTGCTGAAATCGCTAGGTCCCAACTTACACGCCTGGCGAAAACTCTTCACCTCACTTGCATGTACGTTGACCCATCTTATAACCAAGCCCGCATACAAGCCAAGCAAATTGCCTTGGCTAAGGCTAAGGCTGGTGCTGCGAAAGAGCACGAGGAGACGCTTGCCCGGAGAGTCGTCATTGAGAAGAAGAAGGAAGCCGCATTGGAATCACTTCAGAAGAAGCAACAAGAGGAGGAGAGACGCAAGCGCATTCGTACGCAGGAACTGCAAGAAGCCGAGAGACGGAGACTGCACGATGAACACCTTGAACGGGAGCGCAAGCGTATGAAGGACGAACAAGATCGTATTCGGCAACAAGAATTAAAGAAACAACTTGAAGAACTCAAGACGGGCGTTAAGGGCATTGATGTTAGCGAGATCAACTTGGAAGAATTGGATAGTAACAGCCTTCGAACTATCAAACTTGCTCAGCTCGAAAAGGAAAAGAATGAATTGAACGACCGTGTCCGAATAACAGCCAAACGTATTGACCATTTGGAACGAGCTTATCGTCGGGAAGAACTAAAATATCTGCCTGCGGATTACGACGCACAGAGGAAACGTGATATTGAAATCTACGAAAAGAACAAGGCAGATACCCTGGTCGCTGCCGAGCTGAAGCATAAAGAAGATGTTGCTCTCAAGCATCGCCTAAGTCGTTTGGTGCCCTACTTTAACGAGTTCAGAAAGAACCTCCAAGAGAAACGACATGTTGAATTTGAGAAGAATCGCAGAGCGGCAGAAAAGGAGTTCGAGAACAAGAAGAGACAGCGAATTAAGGAGGTGCAGGAACGTCTGCGACGGGAACGTCTGGAACGAGAGGAGGAGGAGAGACGCCAACGCGAGGAACAGGAGCGTATCGAAAAGGAGGAGCAAGAGAGAGCTGCTCGGGATGCAGAACGGCGGCGTCAACTTGCTGCAGAAAAGGCTGCCAGAGAAGAAGAACGAAGGTATGATTTTTCCTGCCAAAATCTGTCATGACTTCACCCTCTTTACTAACACACTCCCCAGAATACTCGATGAGAAAGCTGCAATTCAAAAGAAACGAGAGGAGGAAGCCGAGGCCAAACTCAAAGCCCGCAAGGCTGGTGCTGTTCCAGTTCGCATGGAGCGCACCGATTCTACCGAGCGCACCGCTCCGAGACTTAATCTTGCTGGCCGTACTGGTCCTAGCTGGAGAGAACGTCAAGCTGCGAAGGAAGCGGAGGCTGCTGCTGCTGCTGCTGGCGCTGGCACGGCCACGCCTCCTGCTGAGGCCACAGCATCTTCTACCCGAGAAGAGCTTTCACTTCCTCGAACGACTGGTGGATACGTTTACCCACAGCGACGCGCTGGTGCTGGTGGTCGCGATTTCTCCACAAACATTCCAGGTGAACGGATGTCCGAGCGCATGTCTGAGCGTGGTCCTCCACGGTTTAGCAGGGAAGCTGTCCCTCCCCCCAAAACACTCTCCCGAAGCCCAGCACCGACAAATTCTTCCCCTGCGCCTGAGGCTCGCGATGGCTCCACTCCCACTGCAAGCGGAACGCCAGCGGTATGGAGACCTAAGTTTATGCAACAACAGCAACAACACCAACAACAGCAGTAAAGAAAGGGTTTAGGTAGATGATATCACTGGCGGTCGGATATGTGAGAGTTTTTTGCTTCTTGAATCTTTTTTGACATGCTTTCGCATCTTGTCAATTTTTACTTCTCCGGACATGGGAAAGAAGTCGGATGATTCAATAGCTTTTCTAGTTGTATTTTCATTTCCTTTCATTCCGTTTCATTTTACGCTCAGTTCTTTAATCAATATTTTTCATCTGTATGTTCCTGTATTCCTGTAGCCCTTCTTCATTTTTCTCTATTTTTGCCAACATGCACACAAACCCATCAAGAGCCGAACATGGTGATGAGATGAGATGATGTCAAACATTGCTCCATCCCAGGTTTCTTGAAGCATGCACGTAGTGCAAGCTGAATGAAATAAAAAGATTGTTATTGTTTTAAGGTTTTGCTTTCGACTCCATTTCATCCTGATTTTGTTTCTTTTCTCCTATTGATTGATTTTCTTTCATACTTCCTGTCGTCGCTGATACGTTATGGATACGAAAACCTTCTAGTTTTGTGCCACTAAACTAAAATGCCCTAACTTATTGTTCTAGCAAATTGTCAGTGTTGCATTATGTGACATGCCTTTTGAACATGATAGCGCTAACTAACTTAAATTCATTTGTATTTCCGTAGCGAGAATTCGAACTGTTCTTTTTTATTACGACGCTTATAGAGCGTGACGAGTAGTTAATGTGGAGGAAAATCGACGGTTGCCCCTCCATTGGGATCCGTAGCCACCTTCTCAACCACACTCTGGGCCTCAAGAGTATATGCGTATACAAACATTAATTTAATGGAAGAGCACTGTGCTCTGTGTCCGTCATTTCTGTTCTACTACACACCCAGCGAGTCTGAACCGAGCAGCCAAGATGATGATCAGGATAAAAAGAATCAGATCGAGGCGATGAACAGTATCTTTTCCTCAGCACAGATTGTGCTCATAGCAGCATACAGGGATGGGATGGGATGGATTTTGGAGTCCCGGGTGTCAACGGTTTGAAAAAGAGCGGTAGTTCAGGAAAATGCAAATATTCTGGATTTGCGAATTAGAAACGTCGTTAGAGAAGCTGAGGATGACCCTCTGACAGTGTGGGACACATGTGGATGGACATACCAGGAAGCAGTTCTCTCGCGAAGGCCACTCTATTTCACAAACACACGCGCCGTTTTGAATGTAAACGATCAATGTGCCACGAAGATCAGTTCAATGGTGAAAGAAGTCCAGATGAGCTCATTTCGAGCAGGCTCACTATCTCTGACGATGAGTCCCCTTTTCAATCATTTTCGAGGCATCTGAGGCATTACACTTCCCGAAAGCTCAAGCATCGATCTGGTGCGTATGACGCCTTCTTTTGCATATCCAAGTTGTTATATGATGATGATGATGATGATGATAAATGGGTTACCTCGAGTAGACTTTGACAGTGTGCTGTTGTGGTACGCTGACGTCGGCATAAATTCTGTAACCCGCTTGGAAACAACCCAGGGACCGATCTACCGACATGGTCATGGTCTTCGATTATGGGACTATCTGATGATGATCAGATTCACTACCAAGCAACAGGTGTCTACGGATCTTTAGTGCCCTGGCATGATATAACTTCAACAGCCCTTATAAGAGGTCTTCAACATTAGCCCTGATTCCAATAATCCGGATGATGACTGGCAGATCTATATGGCCATTGCATGTAGGGAAGGATGTGTGGCAGAGCATATACCGTCACTCCTTTTCTTCCCCACGACTCATGACTTCGTAGGTTCGTGCGATGTTCGACATGCGCTGGAAAGATTAACTACTCTAGCCTCTGCAAGGGGGCGCTACCTTCAACCATCAAGGAAAGTGAATTACCACTACTAACAATTACACATGCTACAAAAGTAAGACCGGGAGGAGTCATAGCAACAAAATGTCAAGCAGCGTTTCTCCATCTGTCTCCAAGGCCTTCATATTCCTCCAACATCATCAACGAAGATGGAGAACGAATCGGGGAATTGTGCGGGGATACAGCAAGACTCAGAAGAGAACAGGGGCTCTGGCTACTTCGCCTGGCCATGGCGCACCATCGAACCTCACGTTCGAATTCATTGCCATTTCGTTGTCTGGCATCAGGATCATGCCTTATTGGGCCGAAAAAATCTTATGATGTTAATGGCAACGCCCTGGCTAAGGTGCCAATTGTGAATGTTTTGATGATTACCCGAGACGGGGATTTTGCACGTCGTCGTGAGCTTTGGCTGGGTATGCTTGGTTGATTGGGTTAGGTTGCGACGAGATTTGAGAGAGGTTGTGCTTGCTTGATGAATGTAGGGCATTTTGTTTGGGTTGATTGGTTATAGGATAACATCAGAGATCCATGAATTCTTAACAATTAATCGTGCTTCCGCGCACCCACACCTGATGTGGGTGCGCCACAGCGTAACGATAAAAACAGCGTAACGATAAAAAATATGGATAATTAGAACTTCAAAAATTAATATCTCATCACCACGCTGCTAATCTATGATAATTAATTTATCTATATCATCCGTAGTAGCTGTATTATTCGCGAGACGTTCATATATATCATTAACCTCTTGTTGAGTTGGATCCGTGGCATTTTTCTTCAAAGCTCTCCCAACATGTTTGACTCCCTTATAACGTTCTTTTTCTGCTTCCTCCTCTTTACATTGCGCGATCTTTCTATTCGCATCCCTGACAGTGAGTATACCTCCTACTTGAACCTGCCGACGTGTATTTTTAGTGCTGCGGCGTTTGGTTGCAAGGTAGTAACCCTCAATCTCACTCTCTCTTATAGCATTGAGTTCTGCCTGAACAAGACTGCCTTGGAAAATCTTGTTCCATTGATTGCTCAGGTGAGGTGATTTGGAATCAAGTATATCCTCCATATCTTGCATTGCCTTCTTTGCCACTTGAATATGACGTTGTAGCTTCTCGATTGTCTTGGGTGAGGATAGCTGTGATGAAGCAGTATCTGGGCGGCTTGATTGCAGCAAAAAGGAGTCTTCTCCATATATTTGCAACTCAGGGTAGTCAGGGACCTTTGAATCTAGCTTAAGCAGTATAGATTGCGGGTTGAATGGGACAATGCCACAATCTGCGAAGCCAGCCCGAATAGTAGAAGGTTGAAAAGTCTTTTTGCGGACATCAACTAGATTCTGTAGGAATTGATGTTTTTCATACTGCTCATATCCGTATCATGCAGCTTGATTAACTGCCTTTGAATGGTAGTGCTTATACTGCTGAAAAGGCACGCCGTCTAGAGGTTGCAGTATATGAGTTGAATGTGAAGGAAATCCATATAGAATAATCTTGTGGAGATCACAGTATTGTAGGAATTCTTCAGTGAGATGAGATCCATGATTGTCAAGAAGCAGCAATCGATGACTGCCTTGCTGACATTTTTTAGAGGCCTCATTAAAGTGCTGAATCCATGCAAAGCCAATCTCATCATTGGTATAGCCAGTATCTGATGTCGCGATTGTATATCCGCTCGGTAGGTTGCTTTGTGTATACCAATCTTTGAGTTGGGTTTTGGATTTCATGATGATGAAGGGATCCAATACCTCACCATCTGCTGAAACACACTCAATCACAGTGATCAATCCTCAAGAATATGATGAAGTTATAACTGAATTAAAGTCTTTAAAAGCAGTAATAACCCATTCTCCATGTCCTTGACCCTCTTGAAAGCCAATCTCATCAAAGTTGTAGATATCACAGGTTTGAAACGCGTACTTTTGAAGTAAGATTTCCAAACAGTCAAATCACACCTTGATGTAGCTAATATCCTCAACAGCAATTCTTTTCAGATCCATTGCCTTCTGCTTAACCCTTTTATACCCATCCAAGCTTTGTATATATCGATAGGTCCACATCTTGCTGACCATGGGTGGGGAGGTTGAAGGATCAGTATGATGGCGTTTGAGGATGAGATTCGCGTTATCTTGAATCTGCTCTGCGGTCGGCGGGCAATTATTTCTGTCCATATGAGCTATCCACTCTTTTAACGCGTCCTCCTGGCTCTTGCTAAGCTTCTTGTTCAGTGCAGTCTTTGCATTGCGTGTTTTTCTTCCATTGATTCTTGCTCGAAGACGTTGATAAGGAATGTTGAATTTGCGCGCCAGAGGTAGGATTTTCTGTTTTCGATTGCCATTATAGACTTCAATGGCACTCTGAATACGTTTTTCAAGATCATCTATCTTATTGGTCATGGTGGTGGTGATATATTAATATTTGAAGATTGATTAATGAAGAAGTTGATATTTTTATCGTTACGCTGTTTTTATCGTTACGCTGTGGCGCACCCACATCAGGTGTGGGTGCGCGGGGCACGATTATAGCCTAGATATTATTCTCCTGCGAGAGGATTGGCGACCCTTTTTCTATGAAAATTGTTGGTGAGTTTAGTGGAGATGAGAGTGACATGTAAGGGGAAATAGTACACATATCAACTTGAGTAACCAATCCTTATAAGAAAGGGGACATGTATATGTGTGTAGTAATTGAAAGGAAACATTATGGTAATATGTATATGATATGGTGAAGAGTAACGGAGAATATACGAGAAGTAGAAAAGGAAAGGAAAGAGGGGAAACACAGATATAAGGGGGAAATTAGTAGAATAATCTTCTAGAAACACCAGGAATCCATCCATAAAGAAAAGAGCTAGGGGAAACGGAAATGCAAACAAATGTAGACTGCACAACCGGGTCGGAAAGAAAGGAGAAAGACAACACATCTATCCGTTGTGTCTCAACGTCGCACTACTGTACTGTACGAGCCAGGAAAAAGGGGAAACAAAAATATATATAGATCTATGATGCGGCGGCAACCTCTGACCCAAAAAGCCGTGCCCTCCACTCTCCACACACAGCTTCAAAGCCACTCACCACATCTCCGCAAACTCTTCCAGCTTCCCGCTCTTGCAATCGCCTATCCCACTCTCCCTTCTCGATCCATCTCGTTCCCTCCTCCCGTCTCTCTTCTTCCCTCTGCATCTCCGCGACCAGTTCCCGCACGGACTTGAGCCGCCGTGATGCCGCCGAGATAAGCTGGCGGGACTCGTGGATGGTGTCATTGAGCGCCCGAAGGGTGTGGGTGAGATCTGACGTCTGAGAGAGGAGTGCTTGGAGAGAGTGGAGGGGATCGGCAACGGAGGTTTGAGATTGTTGGGAATGCGGGGTTTTGGGGACGGGGAAAGGGAGGTTTGGTAGGATGTCATTTATTAAGGGGATGAGGTCGTCTATGGCTTCTGAGGACAGGATGGGGAAAGGTGAAAAGAGAAGGGGGTGGGTGAGGGTTTGTAATGCGCGTGTCTGGGAGGTGAGATGGGAGGTGAGGGATGCGTGGGCGGTGATAAGTCTGGAGTATGTTGTCAGTAAGGAAATAAATATATTTAATGTGTTATCAAAGAGATAAAATACTCTGTAATATTGAAGAATAAGGGCTGATAATCCACCATACCTAGTAGCACTATTCTCAATCCCGCTCTGGCCAACCAACTCCCGCAAGCTCTCAATTATCCGCTGTACGATTTGCCCCGAAGACCCGTTGTTTCCTGTGCTCCATCGAACAAGATTTTCAAGTGCAGCCATACGCGCCTCCAGTCCTGGGGTGAGGTCACCTGGTTCTCCAAAATCCGAGTCATTACCATAATCCGAGCCGTCATAGAGACGTTCACGCCGGCGAGACCTTTGTTGTTGCCCTGCTTTTGATTTCTGCTTTGGAATCTGTAGACTCTTCCAATTTGACTCTCCATCCCGTGAATGCTCCTCGTCTGAATCGCTCCTAGCATCGTGTGTCCGTCTAGTCGTTGAATCATCTTCCTTTTCATATATCTGTACGTGATCATGCTCTTCATGGAACCCAGACTCGTCTTCTTCGCATTCCCCGTCCTCGTCCCAAACATCTGCCAGTTCGTCTGCAAGGTTCCCCAATCCGCCTCCACCCGAATCCGCCTGGGCCGTAAAATCCACGGAAAACCTTGCTGATCTGTCCATCGCCTCTGAGCTAGGTTGTCTGGGGCTCATGGGTGACATTGGAATGGGATATCTTGGAGTTTGCGGTGATTTTAAGGGACTCTGACTGTATCCATTTGGAGTAAAGGCTGAAGGGGAATCAGATGAAAGAGCTAGGTTGGATGGGTTTCTGCGTCGTCGAGACGGCGACATAGGGGAGGATGGCGACATCACGGTGAATTGTAAGATGAGACTGAGACACGGAGGAGCCGAATAGGAGCTATTATAGCGGGGAGGAGGAAAGGCTGCGAGGCTCGTGCATAAGGAGGTGATAAATATTGAACGGTATTAAATATTTATCCTATCCAAGAAACAGCGGCGCTTCTTTAGCGTCTTTGTTTTCTGTCTTTGCAGCTGGCTGCTAAGTTTTATTTTTGTTTATTAATATTATTTTTGTTCACGGTTCCCTGCTTGGTAAATATTCAGGTGAATAGTCCTGCACGCCCGGGCCCGGTCAGGCGTTGGCTCCGATCCTTGGAATTTCAGGGCTGGGTTCCACCGTACTCCGTGCTGATGATATCGGAGGAATTGCCAGCACATGAACAACAACAAGCTGTATGAGAGGTTCTTAAAGTCGTGTGTATCCAAGAAGCGTTCTCTGTGCCACATGGAAGCCGATGACAGGACAGGAGAGAATCTGCACAGCGCATCAAATGGCAGCGTGTTTGCATCCCCATCAGTGAAGTTGTTCATGTTTTTATTAATTTAGTTTACTTCTTTTTTATTGTTGTTTTGCCGAGTTGGTAACAAGCCCGTTTCGAGATCCCGTGACTCGATCACTCAGCTACATTGGTATCTGAGATACAAGATATAGATATATTATTTTATTTCCAATCACCCAGCATTAACGGCATTAAACAATATCAGAAAGCTAAATATTCGGGATCGCTCAGGTCCCCGTCGTACCTGAATCGTGCTCATTGGCCGTGCAAATATCTCTGGATGTGCAGCAACTTTTTCTGCTGCCCGCACTTCGCACCCGCTCAATATCAGGTTCTATATTTTCTCTGCGCAAGTACGGAGTTCGCCAAACACTTAGCCAGAACAAGAAGAAATACTCCAAATCAGCCATGGCCACTGTCCGGCGCATGACATCCTCCGATCTCTTTTCCCTCAACCTGACCAACCTCGACGCCCTAACGGAAAACTACGACCTCAATTTTTATCTCAATTACCTCATGAGGTGGCCTTCTCTCTTCAACGTAGTCGAAGATCGAGATGGCCAAATAATAGGCTATAGTACGTCCGTTATGGACATACCCCATATTGTTGCGGGTTAGATCTTATCTGAACTGCAAACTGACTTTCTTCGACTCAGTAATGGGCAAGCTTGAGGCCCAACACTCGTCAATGAGACACTCAGAACACTACACGCCATGGCATGGTCACATTACAGTATTAACGATTGCACCCGCCTGGCGCAGATTGGGCTACGCGCGTCGGCTGACAGAGAGCCTGGAACGGGTCTCTGATATCAATGATGCATGGTTTGTAGATTTATATGTGCGAGCGGGCAACACGATTGCTGTGGGAATGTATAAAGGGATGGGGTACGTCCTACACACACATACACATACACATATTTCTATTCCAGCTTTCTTTCTCAATTTTGTCCTCATAGAACGTTGCTCTAACTTCATCTTTCTCTACAGGTACTCCGTGTTCAGACGTGTGGTCAATTACTACAGTGACGACCCCACAGGTCTCTCAGAGGAAGGAGAAGATGCGTTTGACATGCGAAAACCCCTCAGTCGTGATAAAGATCTCAGACATACCCGTGAGAACGGGGAAACCTTTTTGGTCAACCCGGAAGATGTATATTAGATAGGGGAGGAAATCGCTAACAACTCTCTCTTGGTAGGATCTTTAACTAGTATGACCATAGATTTATAATTATGCATGATAGATTTTTGTGTGATTCTAAAATTATTCCTATGATCGTTGTTGCTCCTGTTATCTAGCTAGAGTTGATAAATATTTCGGCTGGTGCTCTTTCTGTATCCACAAGGCAAATGCAGCACTTGGAAGCCCGATCTCGACTTCAACTCCGTGTCAAGGGAGGAGTCTTCGAAACGAGTTAAGCATAAAGGTGTAATTTTTCAATAGAGACAGATTCTATTTTAAGTGATAAAACAACTAGAGACAACTAACGCACGTGAATGATACAAATAAAAGACAACATATGAGATCAAAAAACATCACCAGGCCAGATATGAATCATGATGTACAGTTTTAATAAACAAATAATTCTAAGGTAAGAGAAAGCGAGAATGCCTGCCTATGGGCAGATGTCGCATGAGGTATCGGTTAGTTACATATAAACTCCACTGATCACATCCCCTAGAACCATATGTAGAGGAAGACCATCAGGCATGGACTAAAAGTTTTGGTCCAGTAAGCAAGATGCGAGCAGCCATCAGTATCGCAGTGGAGACAAAAAAGCAGATGCCCACCAGCACTGATACGCCCACATAGCTCCCCGTGAGATGCACGATAGCACCACCAATCGGAGTCCCCATTAGTGAGCCCGAAGCGCAAAAGACAAACGACATCCCCAAGCGCGTGCCAAAATCTCGCATATCAGTTGTTATGTTCATAACCGCAATAGGTGCCACAGCGACGAACCCCGCCGCGGTAAATCCGTACAATACAACTAGAGCAATTAAGCCAGCCGCGTTGTGTATTCCAACCCACGCAAAAGCAAGGATGCCAGTGGCGAGGGTCATGGGAATCATGATATTCAGAGGGCCGATGAAATCGGCGACGTAGTTAGGGAGGATACGCCCGACTGTTGAACTTGCGTTGAGAATGGCAACGAGGTAAAACGCCAACTGTTCGCTCATTATGCCATTATCAATCGCGAAGGGTTGTATGTAGACAAGCACGTTATAGAGGCCAACGAAACCGACGAACTGGGCCATGCAGAAGAGACAGAAAACCGGCTCCTTGAATGCCGAAAGCTGCACGAGAGCACGCTTCTCCTGTGGCTTGAATCGTATACGGAGCAGAGACAGTGATATCAGCCCCGTGGTGGATGCGGTAAAGCCTAACACCCGAGTAGCCCACGCAAAGCCGAGTTTCAATTGAACCTGGCGGAACATTACGGTGTAAACCATCCCGCCAATGCCAGTTCCCGAAGCTGCGATTCCGTTTGCCAGGGCTCGTCGACGTTTAAAATACTGCGGAAGAACCGCCACACAAGGAACAAAGACCATTCCGCATCCTAGGCCGATGCAAAAGGCCTGCGAAAGCATGATCTGCCACAGCTCAGTGGATATACTGGTCGTCATGAGCCCGAGTGAGTAGAGAAACCAGCCACCTATCACCAGCATTCGGGTGTAGCCAGCATCGAAAAGAGGACCCGTTACGGCACCTACGAATAACAAGAGAAACGCCTGGATGGAGCCGATCCATGATATTGTCGATGGGGAATCGCCCACAAGAAGTTGTTGTTCATAGTACGTTTGAAAACTGCCATATGCAATCACAAGTCCCCTGTATCATTGGTATTATTTCGAATATTAGCTACGGTGATTGAATACAGACAGGCTCAAAAGACCCGAAAGGATAAGATGGATCTTCATGGCTACTAAATACCAGGTATTGAAGAAGAGGAAGAAAGACGCCAGAACTTGTGACCATGCCTTCCAGCCATGATCATAGCAGAGCTCTTCATTATCGTACGATAATATCTGATTCTCAATTTGTGGCTCTTTCATCTCAGAACCGCCCGATGAGGAAGAGCATGTCGACTCAGAGACCGGCTGAACCTTTTCATCTGCGGGTTCTCCCATAACCAGTATGGGCCAGCCGAACGTAAACCTCGGGACGTCGAGATATAGCCAGCAACAGACCAAAGGAAATTGTATACAAATGAAAAGAAAGGTTGTCACTGAATGTATTCAACCTTACGAATGGACTTCATAATGGCAAGAAGAGAAGACGAAATGATCAGAAGCAAGCACTGGGAACATATGAGCATATGTAGGGACAGCAATACCCGACTATTATATGAAATTGACGATGGAGATACCTTGGCTGCGGCGTCTTTTAAAGGGGGGGGGGGGGGGGGGGGGGGGCGGGGAAGATTCTTCCACATATTGTTGTCATTGCTCTCACATTTAGTGGGTCAGGACCGGCCCGGAAATTTTTCCTCTGCGGTAAATACTGCGGGGTTTTGGATTCGTTGGCAAAGGTGAGCAGAGATAATGGAGACAAGATGGGGGTGAGCTTGGGTTAGTGAAATACCTACACGTAGTTGGAAAATAATAGGCTTGTCAGGGCCCTAGTAGAATCGGCATTTGTTTTACGAGCTCGGTAACATCTGCCTAGACGGGATCATCAACGACCTTTTGGAGAATTGATGGAGCATAATATTGTTGCTTATCCATACAGGCATCAAGACAGTAGGGAAAACTGCTTTGGTGATGTTTGACGTTTGATGTTGGCGTTGGATGAGAGAAAATACTTGGCGCCTAGGGCTAATCCCCCAGCAAGCAGCCATCCAAGGGATCGGGGAAGAAACTGTCGATAAGGGACTCTTATTCCACCGCCAACATCAGCTAGTTGCTTGATCATCCGCATATGACATGGGGAAAAGATATCAGAAAGAGTAGACGAGCCATAATAAACCCCAAGGTTCAAAGCCCCCGGAATACTGGGCGTCTGGCATCTCTTCGTGAGGTTAGGGACAGGTGCCTGAACAGAGATTGAAGACATGAGGGATGATAGATGGCGGCGATTGCAAGACCAACTCTCATGTATAACATGAATCTTCCTGTATGTTGCAGCCGTTAGCGTTGGAACGGAGTTCAATTTGCTGGTCTGGTTCTCGGGGTCTGGTATGACATCTCTCTGTTAACATTTAACAGGGGATGACCCTCTTGCACGCGGCCAAACCCAAGTTGCACTGAATCTCCTGCATGTTACACCATACACCAGCATGCTCTCCGTCATATCGGATACATTTGTGGTCTTGATACTCGGATATAGTCAGTCCAACCCGGGGACCGAACTCCTATCAATGTGTTACCAACGGCAATGAAAAATCAAAAAAAGGAAACATTTTATGGATCTATGGCAATATAAAGACAATCGTCTATCTGTTCGCCATCATGTTTCTTCACCAACACTTTTGCTTCTCCTGTTGCTCTGAAAAGTTATTAGTGCAGGGTAAATCGGGTACCCAAAGCGAACCCCCAAACTCCACGCGCTATGCGAATAACATAACATATTAAACATAAGACAGAAACCCACGCTTGCACATTTAGTAATAGAAATTTAAAACAAAGTGATGCGCTCAAAGCAGCTCCTCACAGGTCCAGTCCTCATACCTATGGCCAGGGCCGGGTTAGACACGATTACACCTATGCACATAGGAGCTTAGGCTTACCATCCATCAGGCAGGTATCTCCTGACAATCAGAGGAATCTTTTTCTGGGCGAGTTCCTTCAGTGCGATTTGTAAGGGATCGGTTTCTCCTTCTAGGTCAACAAGGATCGGCGCGTTCATGCTGCAAACTATGTCAGCGATCGCTGCATACTTCGAAAGATTCTTCTCCTAGTACTCGCCCAGGAAAACTAACCTAATTTGTAGCGCTCGTGTACCCAAAACTCGCGCCCGCTCGTATTTTGTCATGTAGGGAGTTGTAGTGCGTTGATCATTGGGGACCTTCTTTTCCCGTTGCTGCAACATGACCTTGCCTTTCGATGCGCCAGCGTTAGGATCACCCGAAGCAGAATTTTCATTTCCATTATGAATATGTTGCCCATTGCCATTCACTATGGCATAGCCTTGGTCGCCCTGTTCTGCCTGCTCTGGTTCAATATAGTCCTCGGGCTCGTTATCAATATACTCGTACTCAGGTGGCTCATAGTCGAATCTATAATACGGAAAGCATTAGCAATACATTTCAAAGAACTGAAACGCCCTTTAGCGAATTTCTATCGCGGCCACGAGCTTTGCAGATAGATAGCGACTGAAAGGCGCATCGAGGGTGCTAACCCAGCGTCATCGTGATCTTCGTGATCGCCTCCACCGTAGTCCGACATCGTGTCTAATAAGAGGATTAATGGTCCACGATTCACAAAATTCAAGGTAGAAGAGCCTGTCAGAATGGGTTGTAATCAGGCTTTCGGGTCAGGCGTCGGTATCCTGAAAGTGTTTGTTGCTACGTTGTGTCGACCTGGGGAGCAGAAGCAGAAAAGTTAAAACTTCGGGCGCTAATTCGCAGAGTTAACTATTGCGCTTGTAGATTAGATAAGCGCGCACCGCACTTTGGCACGCCAAGATTTTCTGCTACGCAATAATTTTTTTACATCGAATTCTCAGCAATTCTGGCTGACAGCTGGGAAAGCGGATACCAATGCCATCTGCCACCTCCAAATGCCGACAATTTATGCTCTTTAGTTTCTAGTGAATCTCGGGGATGGAAGGTAGTCATGTCGCAGAAACGAGAAGCCTCTTCAGAATCCCAACAAAAGCCAAAACGGTGGCAAAAATCGGCTCCATCAGAATGCCCTGGTAAGCCCTGGAGATAGCTATAAACAGCTCAATTCTCTGACAATTCTGCAGATATTGTCGAGGATAGCTCTCAGTCAGACTCAGAATCTCAATACTCGTACTGTATGAGTCTCGATGGTCAGCAGAAAACGCCAACGCCCATCACACCGGTCTCTCCGGCGTCCTCAAGATACCCATCGGACCGCAAAACACATCTTTGCCTGTATGAAGGATGCCTCAAAGCATTCAACCGGCCTGCACGACTTGCAGAACATCAGAGATCGCATACAAATGAACGTATATTTAACTGCACACATGAAGGCTGCGAGAAAACCTTTCTACGAGCCTCCCATCTCCGCCATCATGTGAAGAGTGCTCATACTACGATTCGAGACTATGTATGCGACAGAGAAGGGTGTGGCAAGACATTCGTCACTGGATCACGTCTACGGAGGCATTTAGCTACACATGAAGGAAGGGATAAGTACAGATGTACCGAATATTCCCCCTGCAACGAAACATTCCGCAAGCATTCCACTCTCCAAAAACACATCATAAGCGCCCATTTAAATAAGAAGCCATTTCCTTGTCCGCACGTCGACCCCGTGACTGGAAAGCAATGTGCACAGGGATTCGATACGGCAGGGCATCTCCGGGCCCACGAAGGTAGACTTCATGGTGGTGCACGATTCACTTGCGCGGAATGCACGTCCTCGAATTCAATAAACGATAATACCCCAACCATTTCCTCATTGACAGATGGAACCATGGATATGCATCGGAATGCAGTCTTTCCAACTTACGCTCTACTTCAAGCACACATGAGATCTGTGCATCCACCCACTTGCCCAGAATGCAACATGACTTGTTCATCCGGCCGAGACCTCCGTCGCCATCTCGAAATCACTCACGGAACTATCCCCCTTGAAGAGCGCAAGATCCACCCATGCTACTACCCAGATTGCGGCCGTAACTTCACCAAAAAGGGCAATCTCAACGTGCACATAAAAACCGTACACGAGGGGGAGAAGCGTTTCATCTGTGGTGAAACGGATCTATCCAATTCGAAAAAAGTAGAAGGTTGGAATTCGAAAGATAATAGTTGTGGGAAACGTTACGGGAGCAAGCTTGCGCTGGAAGAGCATGTGCGGACAGCGCATCTGGGCCTGAAGAACGCAAAGGCGGAGCGGAAAGAACTTCTTGGCCTCGCGAAGAATAGTAAAAGCAGCAGTTCTCGAACCAAATCCAAAGATAAGCCGAGCCAGTTGGCGACCCCTTCGAATCTCACCATGTTGACCGGAGAAGGCTACGCAGAAGAATCTGGCCGGAACATCCTATGTTTGCTAGAGCCGTGTGCGCATCGCTTCCATCGGGACTACGACTTGTGGCTGCATATGGCTTCGAAACATAATTTAGAAGATAATGATATTCAGATACTATTTATGCAGCGTACGATGCAGGGCGGGGACCAGAGTTTCGATATCGACTTTGGAAATCTGCAGGGTTATGGATATGGGTGTGCTCCTGGCCCTGGCGCTGAGAACACTACTGATATTCACGCCAAGGGGGCTTTCGATTGTGGTAGGGAATTGATAGTCGGAAGGGCGGCGGATTATAATGCCAATGGATTCGTCTCTACGGGTCACGGCTACGGTAATACCGACATGGCTCTGATTGATCCTGTCTTGACATTTACACATGATCATCAGATGGACGATGAATAAGTTGAGGCACGAAGACTCTGTCGCACAAAAGTTGCTTTATACGTAGTGCACTTGAATCGGTTGCAATCCTTGTAATGGCTGTTGGTTGTTTGTTACCCCTTTCAGGAAAAGCAGATACGTAGCAATGATATAAATCCATACGTAATAATACAATAATACTTAGCAAAAGTCATGTTTCCTTGTGATGAAGCAATTGACAATTTGGTTTCTTTCCTGCTGTTAACTTGATAAAAAATAAAAGGACTTCCATGCCAGCCCACAGCAATGAACATTTGTAATATGAATGTAAACCAGAGGATTTATCTCATCACATTCCGTCATATAAAATTAAAGCAGAAAAAAAGAGTAGAGAATCACAACGTAATTTAAACGAGGTAATAAGATGTGGGTACAACTTAAAACCTTGAGAGGCTGTGACGCTGTTAAGTCATCAGACAGCGTTCAGCCAAGGGACAGTCCGCAATAGTTATACATAAACGTTCAACCCACTGAAACTGGGAGTGTGGGATACGCACAAAAATCAAAGCTCCTAACAAATACACATAAAACAAACCATCGTAACTTGCAGCTTCATCTTGCATAGACAAGAGAGAACAAGAAAGAGTTTGCATAACTCTTGCCCGTAAATTGCGAAAGCAGGCATCGCTCATTCGTTTATCCGTTCATTTAATAACAATCTTCGAGGCAGATATAATCAGTATATACCATCTACGAAGGGCCGAGTGTATAATTCGACTGGAAATTTGGAGCCGCAGTGCTCAGTTTCCAGAGGAAAAGAACCAGGAAGAAACCTAAACGCACCAGGCAAAATACAACAAAACTTAAACCGCTGAGAAGAGGCTAGAAGTGACAAGTTAACACATAGGGACTGGACACCAAGGCAATCTTGAAAATGGAAGATTGAGGGGCCACATATCATGTAGACCAACACAATATTAGTAGAATCTTGGGCGAATGTACGTTCCAGCAACTAAGTAAGCGAAAGAACTGCCTTTCCCTCATCACTTTTAGATACTCTTTTCAAAGTGCTCCAGAGATTTGCAGATTGGGGAAAGGAGTATAAGCAGGCCCCATCAAAACTTTTGGCCCAAGGAGACCAAGAGGGAGTTTTCCCCAAGCAACTCAGTCCTGAACACAAAAAGAGGATGTGGCTGATCTTTCCAGGAAAGGGTTGGAATAGAACGTGGCCCACGCATATGCTTCCTAGAGGAATGAAAAGAACTGGATAATTGATATAGGTCAGTGCAAGCTGGACGCACAGGTACAAAAATATTCATCCGTATAAATAAAGAAGGGAGAACGAACGTCTTTGTGAGAGTGTTTATATAACTACGTCAAGCAGGTCTTTACCTCCAGGGTTTCTCGAGGACACTGGGCTCATCTCTCTCTGCCTCATAACTCACACAATATCTCCACTTCGTCTAGCTCCTCTTGATAGACACTAGGTGATGTGTCATTGCGTCCCCTTCTCAGTTCTTCGAAGATCATGGCCCTGGCCTGTCTTGGCGTACAGTTAGGGGCTAAGTCAGCGCGTTTCGGTTTCGAGCCCGTCTAGTTATACCACCGGAGTCAGTTATGTTCCTTTTCCAGAATAGAATAGGAAAAGGGACGAAAGCAAGAAGCAAAGTGGAAGAGGGAAGGAAACATACAATTGGACCTTGCCCTTTTCCAACCTCAGGTTCTACATTTGGCTGGTAAGGAGCAGTTCGAGAATGGGAATAATTGTGTTCATCCCTTTCAGGTTTGCTCTTCAGCTCCTGATAAACCACCCTTTCCTCCGTCGCGTCCAACTCCTCCGTGTAGGCCGCAGAAAATGGAGAGGTCTGATTCGCCGCCCAGTTGCTGGGATCAGTGGGGAGCGCAGGCTCGTGACAGAGCTTGTAGAATCTGGGCCGTGACTTTTCCAACCTGGCCCGCTTTCTCAACGCTGCTTCTTCTTTTTTCCAGTCACGGACTGGCCTGCTGGAGCGGGGGCGGTAACCCCGGATCTGACCTGGAGCAGCGGGGAATGCCGTTACCCTTCTGAAATTCTTGTCCGCTTGCACCGAAAGACGCAATTCATCAGCTCCGGGAGTGTATGCTTGGTTAAGTGAGTTGAGGATATCTTCGTCATTCGAACCCTCATTGGAGGTGGGATATCGACCTATAATGTCGTCGAGGTCAAACATTACATTGCATATGGCTCGGACCAAGAAGAATTTTTCCTCAGAGAGCTTGGCTGGCAGATCGTGGGAGGAAAACCTCCTGGCAACGTCACAGAATAGGTCGACTGCTTCGACGCAACGTGCCTGCGCTAACCAACGGGCAGTGTTCATCATGTGGTCGATCACGTCGTTCATGGTGCCAATGCGGTTCTCGGCTTCAGGTTTGTTCTGCTGGGAGGAAGACGACCTCGCTTTGCCGACTTGGTCCTTGTCGTTGCCACCTCTTCGTTCCACTCCTTTTTTATGATGCTCGAATCTATCTTCCTTGGCGGGATTGGGAGGTCCCATATAGAACCTAGGAATTTGAGGTTTAAGCATCCTTACAAATGACCTGCGGCATATATTCATCCTAATCAATCGCATGGACATTGTCGTCTTCCTAAAGTTCCCATTATGTTCAGTAAAAGAAAACTCATCTGATAATGACAGCTAGTTAGCGTTTGGCTGTCACCAAATGAATATGTTAGGTTGTAAGGGAGAAATTTAGAGGAGTATTTACTTTTTCCATCCAGAAGAGTGGAACGGGATTTGATTTCGAGTTCAAAATTGAAGATGGCCATGTAAGCCTTCTTCAACGATTTCAACTTGTTTATGTTCGAGATCAAATCTTTGTCCAGCCAATGAATGGTCTCACCCCCATCCCGCAAAGGCTCGACGAGGTCTCGAAGCAGCTCAACCTCATTTAGCAACTGAAGTTTATCCGCGCTCCATGCTGCAGATGGGCGATAGCCGGCGATGTTGCGAACTGAGGGCCTAGAATGTGTATTATAGAAGCTTATCCGCATCTGACGCTGAACTTTGGTAAATGTTTCATCTGGCTCAAAAAGCAAAAGAAGGAAATGTCTATAGGAACCTGGAGTAGCACCCTTCACAAGCTTCTCAATCAAGTCTGACAGACGTCCCATCCACGCTTTGAGATTAAAATCTCGTCCAAGCTGTTTGATTTGTTCTTTCAGTCGTACAAGTCTGACTTTCGCAGGGTCTCCCTCTGTTTCTGACAAAGGTGGTGTGTCACCTCTGCTAAAGAGGAGATTAAAGTCTTCATCACCAGGGGGAAGCTCAAAAGGAAGTGATTTGCCCGGTTCTTTATTTGGGTACTTGGGAGCACTCCTTGCAGTGGGTTCTGGATCGGAAGGGAAACTCCCAACTATCTCATACCTAGTCCTAGGTAAGCGCCCGTAAATGCCTGCCTGCAAGCCTTGGAAGAGGCTTTCATCTCCATCAAAGTAACTAGACATGATGATAGATAATTGGCAAGCAAAGCTGATGGCAATTCATGAAATGTATCTGGTTGTACTCTTTTGTCTCCTCAATGATGTATATAGAGGTGCTGATGCGTTAGAGAAGACTATATACTGACTATATCCTGTATTTGAGAGAAGACAAAAGTACACGATGAAATGTGCAGGAGAGAAACAATGAGATATATATCTCAAAGAGCATTTAAGTTGAAACAGTATTGACTGAGAAGAGAAGAGAGATGTAGAAACAAAAAGAGATTTGTGATGTTGTCAACAAATCTAACTGAAGGAGAATGTGATACCGCAACATTGGAAATTTCCAGAGCAACACAAAGGAAGTGTGCAACCTCATGAAGGACACATCAACATCAAAGACTATGAGAAAAATAAATAAGTTGCTGGGAGATTTAAGAAAATAACAACCCAGATGTGGTTAATAACCCATTTTAATAAAGATAATCGAATAGTGCCATGCTGGCATTCTGACCACACAAGATGATAAATAACATCTTGCGTTTATATCCAAAGCCGGCCCGGTAAAATTTTAGGAGAGAAGACTATGTCCCAAGCGAAGAAAGGGATAGGAAAGGGAATAACTACTTTCCCAAACATGGACCAATTGAAGGTATGGGATCCAAGGGAAAGAATGGCGATGGGAGGGTAATATGGAAGGGAGATAAGCTATGCCGTAACGGCCCAGCGACGAACCCCCTCAAAGAGAAGAGCTTGCAAAAGACAAAATACAAACTGGATACTAACTTCCATAATTTTTATTCATGAAGAGTGGATGATATGGTTATGGGAAAGCTTCGAGGAGCGAAAGAGAAGAGGGTGGAGATATGAAGGGAAATCAAAAAGCAAATATGGGTGGTTGTGACCACCAGGATTAGGTTTGAAATCGGCATTCAGAGTCCGGAAATGGCCCACGGGAATGATCACCGCAGGTCCCCGATACATACATTCATGAATCCAGGGACATTGTCCTAACAACTTCTGAGCAGAAGGCCACAGACGGAGAGGGAGACAAGAGGCATCATCCTCAGAAAAGCAAATGCCCTGAACGGAGTCATTGTCCTCGAGAGGCATTGTTTTTGGCGTCGCACACGAGACCGGAGAAGATGTCTAAGGAAAAGTTCCCGAGAGTTTGCTCATCTCTCACTGACGCCAGGGCTCGTTGCTGTCGTTGCTGGCCGTCGTTTTTGACGAGAGACACTATCGACATGCTCACCGGAACCAGGCCGGAAGAATTTATCTATTCAACGACCGTTGGAGCTGAATGAATCACTTAATGATTCAATTATTAAGCTTTTCGGAACAATCACGGCTTGCCATACGAACCAGGGAACGTGGGCGGTTGGCCGCCGCTCTCATTATTCAGGCTAAGTTTAATAATTTAGTTTGCCAGCGTTTCAGAAACGAGCAGCGAACAGCGGGTAGAAAGATGTCGCAAACGGTTCGGCTCTGGAGGATGGGAGAGGGGAGGCTCCCTTTCCCATGCAACGACAATACCGGGGGCTTTGATAGAAGCCATGATTAGATGATTTCAATCAAGGAGGTTTTTACACCGCTAGCGTAGTTATCAATTGCGGGCTATGAGCAGTCCGTTCTCCATATGGCAAGCTATCCGGCCGATGGATAAACGGTTGACCCGATAAGGCAGCCGTGCGTGCGTGCACATCGCTGGAATAGCACGATATTGGTTGTTCCAACATCGGCTGTGCTGAATTTAAATTATTTGTAAATTAACTGAGTGGTTTGGAAAAACAATTGATTTAAGCTTAAATCAACCGCACGGAATCCTTCCACGGACGTGGTTTAGTCAGCGGAAACGAGGACCTCGGCAGCCAGCGGACAAGAGACAACGACAAGATATGAACGTTTTAATGCACCATGCACAGAGAGCGGAGGGAGAGAGAACAGAAACAAAACATGCATCCGAGGTGTGACGGTGGATCCTCCGATGGCGTCTCTTTGACACTGCTCCGCTGGAACAGCTGTTGAGTGGGGCTGTGTGGTTCCAGCGAAAGTGGCTGGAAGTGGGACCCTGTTACTAATTGCTTCAAGTGGTTTGACCCCGGAGGCAGAGAAAGATTGCTGCTCGGAACTGCTGTCCGCAGAACGAGGGAGCGATCAATGGGCTCAGGATATCCGATGCTAGTGAAACAGCTCATGGCGTTACTACCATTTTATTATTCTTATGCCGAATCACAAATTGCTGGAGCTTAATTGTGACGCTGACGATCGCTTGGCTGGAAGTATGTAAACATTTTTTTTTTCCAGGATTAATAAGATAAACTTCCGGTTTCCGAGATATGGCAACACACCGAGGAGGAAATGGGAAAAAATGAGGTCACAAATGGCACAAGCAAAACAGAGCTCGTTGTGATGGGCGATGATTATAATGCTGATGCATCCATATCAGGGCAATCATTTTCTTTGTCCCAACCGCCACCTTGTCTTACCCACTGTGCCACGGGAGTTAACTTTACAAAACCGACAACAGATTTGCTTGGCCCCAAGAAAAAAAAATGAACAGGAGAAGGAAAAGGGAAAACAAGGGTAAAATCGAGAGAGAGAGAGAGAGAAAGAGAGAGAGAGAGAAGTGGGGAAAAGACCCCCCAAAAACCCCCAAAAAACCCCCAAAAAAGAGAGAACATAAAAGCACGCGTCATCACCGATCAATCATCGACCCCGGGGTTTTGGCCAGCGAGTTAGCCAAACAGCGATCGCCGAACAGCCCGCTTGGTCAAACGCAGACGGAGAGGTAGGGACCTGCAGCTGTTGGCGACGGTTGGCTCGCCCTCCATGGACCATGACCCATCGGGCCGGCTAAAAAAGCCTAGTCAAAGGACGGGGAAGGCTGCCAAGTGGTGCTTAGGCTGTGCTGACCAGTGACAGGGCGTTTCTGCCTAAGGACATCCGGTTGGGGCTCAGACTTCAGAGGAGAAATGACTCCAGGGCTCCTCCGTGGGGAATGTGGCTTGAACCAATGATCAATGAATCATCCCTGGCATTATTCTGGCAGGCCCGAGGAGCCATGGCAGGCTAGAACTCCCTGATGAGCCATCATGGTTGAAAAGGGTTTTGTTTAAAAAAAAAAAATTGTACTTTAGATTGTTTTATTTTATTTTATTTTATTTTTTTTTAAGTTGTGCATTGCTTTCCGCCACTGCTGTAGTTGAGGGAATATGTGAGAATCGAGAATATGAAGGACATAAAGGGAGGGAAGGATTATATCCATTCATTATCCGGGCTTGGGCGTCTGAGACGACAAATAATACAGTTGATTGCAGGATGCTTAACTGAGACATTGTCCAGCGCCAGGTCACGATTTAGTGCCAGGTGTGAGGATACAGGGAAGAGAGAAGAGAGAAAAATAAAAAATTAAGCAGACTCTGGCGCAGGCAAAATGCGAGACCTTTAGAAACAAAGCAGAAATCCGGCCGACCTCAGGCGGACGAGTAGATTCTTTCTTATACCGCCATCCGCCGTAATTACGTGCAGATTTTATTCTCTTATTCTTCTCCTTCTCCTTCATTCTTCTTTCGGATCTTGCCGGGCTCCTCCAAACAAAGCTGCTTGTTCTGAAAACCCCAACCGGCAAAAGTCTCTTTGATCTGCTTTGTTTAGCTTTTAAAGTTGAGTTTTGAGATTGGCCCCGGTTGAGCCTTTTCAGTTGAATTCTCTGGTGCGGATCTGACCACCCAACCTTAACCGTCCCGTCCCACCTGACAGTCAGTGGCTGTTGCTGCTGCTGCTGCTGCTGCTGCCACCGGGGACTGCGACACTAACTAACTGCCTTTGCCCCACACCCGCGCCGTGACACACACCCAACACGCACAACACGCCGTTCGTCGCTCTCTTCTCCCACCGCCTCTTCAACATCTCCACTCGCTTTGCTGTATTCTCTTCTATCTGCTCGTCTACTTCTACTTCTTCTTCTCCTTCTCCTTCTCCTTCTCCTTCTTCTTCTTCTTCTTATCTTCTTCCTTCTCCTCCTCTTCTTCCCTCGCTTGTCCTACGCCTTGTCCCAGACTGTCATTCTCTAATACCTAACTACCATTCCTATTCCACCATGGGTTTGACATGACTAGCTGATGCATCCCTCGGCCCAATAGCCAGCCGCCTGACATCATCACCCGTCCAATTCCTCCTGCAGATCCTAACTTTACTCTTCCTTGCCTACCCGCAACTTTCTAACCCCCCTTGGGATCACTGTGCTTCGACCTCCGCATGTATCTGTCTCAAAAGAAAACATACCGTGCAGCAGACACAACGGATCTAGTACTCGGTGGGAAATATAGAGAGTTTTAGCGCTCTCTATCTCTCCCTTTTTCCTTGTAGGCTGTTGCACAGCTACTCTGCGCGTCTCACAGTTCCTGGCTATCGTGGGAGGGCTTCCTTTCGGCCGGAAACATGGGTCGATATCGGGGTGAGTAAATATTGATTCTAAGCCTGGGCAAAAGCATCATCCCTTATTGCTACAACCCTTGCATACTCCCTCTTTCAATCATGCTACCGATTTTCAGATTCCAACTTTGGAAGGTTGCTAAAACTGCCGGTGTGATCATCTAGTCTTTTCTTTTCTCTCAGCCAACAGAGCCAACTCGAAGGATGATGGATCGTCGACTTCTCCAACTCCAACTGCCTTCTTCTCGCGCCAGAGGCACAATGCCCACCCTCTTCCTATCGACAAGGTCCCCTCCAATACATTCGTGAATGCACAGTCGAATACACTGAAGCAGAAGATGGACCAGCCGCTGCCGAGGCCGGCTTCTGCTGCCTACTTGCAATCGCCTCTCATGGACGTGGCTCCAGAGACTGTCCCGGAATTGGAGCCCGTCTTCAATTACCTGAGTGGCCAGGCAAACAAGCTCTACCAGGAAGGCTACTTGTTAAAACTAAATGATTTAGATATCAGTATGTGACTTAACGATTTCCCCCCCCCCTTTTTTTTCTCTCTCCCCTTTCTTCGACGTGAAGGAAAGAACTAATTTGAGAGCTTTGGTTCAGATGGTCGATCATTTCAAGACAGACAATGGGTGGATTGCTTTGCTCAGTTGATTGGTACTGTCCTTTCATTATGGGACTCAGCTGCGCTGGACGCAGCAGGTCCAGAAGGAGACGCTTCACCAACATTCATTAACCTAGCTGATGCATCAATCAAGATGGTATTTACCCCTGCTTTTCTTTTGCTCGGAAATCTACTATTTTCAACCATCATACATAGAAATTGCACGGAGAAATTGACATTACAACCAGATTGAAAGTCTGCCCACTCGAAATGAAGGAAGCAAATCCCTCCAAAATATTCTCAGCGTATCAACGGCGGGAAAGAACCGATACCTCCTCCATTTCTCTTCAGTACATTCATTAACCCAGTGGACAGCCGCCATCCGAATCTCTATGTTTGAAAATACCCTGCTGCAGGAGTCCTACACGGGTGCGCTTATTGCGGGGAAAGGGAAGGCCCTGGTTGGCATAAGGGGTATCCTGGAAAAGACATGGTTCGTCTACGAAGACTGGGCCCGTGTTAGATTCGGCCCGGGAACTCCTTGGAAGCGATGCTGGTGTGTCATCTCACCACCTGATGAAAAGGAGTTTCAGCGAATGAAAAAGGAACAGAGAAAGAAGTCAGTCTACGACCGAACTATCCCCTTATTAAAGGGTAATATCAAGTTCTATGAGACCAAGAAGACGAAAAGGGTCAAGCCGATCGCTACAATCACCGATGCATATTCCGCTTTTGCCATTTATCCCCAGTCCCGACCTCTAATCGACCAGTCCACGCTGGTGAAGGTGGAAGGCCGAATAACGATACACTCTAAACCAGAATCAACTGCGGATGGATTTATTTTTGTCTTACCAGAGATTCATCCTGGAGTCTCTGGCTTTGAGATGATGCTTCGGTGGCTGTTCCCAGTGTATGATACATTTGGGCTCTATGGTCGACCAGCGCGACTTATCGCGGATACTCAGAATACCCGTAGCCTGATGTTTGCGCTTCCAAAGCACCAACAATCTGGATATCTTGATATTCTTGATGTGACAGCGCTTATACATACCGAAGGAAGCAATAATTGGAGTGAACGGGAATGGCGGAAGGCGATGAAGGAAGCTACAGCTAGACGAATGGCCACGAGCAGCAACAGTCGAGAGAGCAGCGTCGCGGGAAGTAAGCGCTACAATCGAAGCAGTCTCCCTTCTGGAACTGGCACGTCGTTGAGGTTCGCGAGCGGTATTTCAAACCCTCCAACCGGCAAGGCGGAGTTTAACCACTCCAGTGATGCGGTGAATTCAATGATTTCCAAACCTGGCCATGGTGCTGCTGGAACAATGTCAGATCGCAGTCAAGCAACCCCGCCTTCCATTTCATCTCTCGAAAAGAGCTTGCCTGAAGAGGATGAATATGCACCACAGCCGCCAGCGCACCAGACCTCCCAGAACAATGGAGTATATGGAACGAATGGGCAAGAGCAGAGGAACAGTTCGACAAGCGATATCCAAGAGCACCAGACATTGGAACATCAGGCTATTGCTAGTGGTTATCAGCAAAACCCGCCTCCCGCACCCGTATCAATGCCCCCAGCTTTCTTGCATGACCCGCGAAGTTTGCCGCCCGTCAAGCCCCAACCATCTCCAGACATTCAAAAGGCAGGAAGCCGTGTGTCACAAGGGACTCTGTTCCAGATGGTGGATATAAACATGGCGAAGAACATGGCCACCGCCGGCGCCGCGGCAGCTTGGGATGACAAGAACTCGGCTCCACAGTCGAAAGATCAAGGTCAGAATGGGGTAGTGGTGAATCATGGTGACCACGAGCAGAGTTCCACTAACATGAATTTTTCATCCCAAAGCCCAATAATATCACCTGACAACACCGCAAGACTGCATTATTCTCAGATTGCCCAGACCCCTAGAATAAAAGATCCCACCCCATCCCAAGATTCCTCGCGTCCCAATTCCTTTGACAAACGGAGCTCTAGAGCAAGCTCCCTTTCTCTCGATACCCACAAGGTAACAACCCGAAAACTAGTTGCTGCCCGCCAGACATATGAAATCCCGTACTCTAGCAAGGCCTCGAGCCTTGAAAGCTTCCGTAACACAATTGATGCTGAGGCTTTGGATCGAGTCGTGGCTCGAAGGCGGTCTCCGTCCCCGCCCACCGATATTATTTCCAACGATGAAGAAAGCGTATACGACCAAAACTCTGTATCTAGCCCTGACTATGCTAGCTCTCACAGATCCTCAACCTCACAGCGGTCGGAAAAGTCCATACCAAAGCCAAGAATGGGAGTTTTGAAGGTGATTGGAAAGGATGATTCCGAAGTCGCGATTGGTGATGTGCGCTACTACCATGCCGATGCCCTGGCCTCCCAGAAAAACAATCCTGATATACCCCTTGTGGACTTTGGACCCACCCAAGCGTATGTGCCAACTTCCAGGCGGCCTACATCAGCAGATACGCTGGCCCTTTTAACCCATAAGCGCATTCCTTCCGATAATGTGGTTAGCCGCGACCGGGATGAAAGACGACCCTCCCCTGGAAACGGGAAAACGAGTCACAGCGGTACTAGCAGCGACTCTCACCTCCCCAATACCACTTCCACCGATGACCATCGTCGGACTGCAATCTGGCAACCGGGGATGGTAAGGGAACGAGCCAGCGCTGGTGCTTGCATTACACCGAAACAGTTTGTGAAACAGAAATTAGAGGCTAATCGAGGCGGCCTTCATGTGCGTGTCTCATCGGGTTCTAGTCAGCCTCCCCGTCCCGCATCTGGCGATTGGACCAACTACCACCGAAAACAGTCAACGATGATACAAGATATGCCTGTGCGGCCTCACTCACGTGGCGCCAGCGTCATGCTGGGCGCGTCGGGGCCCGGAGTCTCGCCGCCGGCCAGACCAGCGTCTGGAGACTGGGCCAATACAACACGCCAACAACTAATGATGACTCGAGATGCGCCTCGTCCCCACTCACGTGGCGCCAATGCAGTACTCGGATCGAAGGACATTTCCTCACATCTTTCCGCGCGGGAGCAAGAACATCTCGCCCGCATGACAGGGTCTTCCTTCTTCAACTTCAGCAGCCAAAATCAGAGCGCGGCTCCAGTTCACGGAACGAGCCTGGTAAGTGCCATTGATGCTCGGGAAAGGGAGAAGAAGGCCATTAAGGAAGGGGTTCGCGGGCATACGGTGCAGCAAGCTATTGCACAACGACAGTATCACCAAGCGCAAGCGCAATTCCGAACCCCTTCGCCGGCAATACCGTCGCAGTATGGCACTGCCTCATACTTTCCGCCACAAATGTATCACCAGCATGCCAGTTCGGGTAGTTCTGTCAGCAGTTATGGTTATGGTTACCCACAACAGCAGCAACAGCAACAATTACCGGGATCGTGGCCGCTTGACCAATACCCGCAACAGCAGCAGCAGCAACACCAACACCAACACCAACGACAGCAATCCTGGTCAAGTGCTCAACAACTTTTCTCCTTCACACAACAACAGCATCCTCAACATCCGCCAACTCCGCAACATCGGCAGCAGCCGACTAGAACACCACCTCCAGGCTGTCATCCGAATCTTTACTATCAACCACCCCCACAGCCATCCCCTCACAACGTGGGCTTTGGAACGCAAAACCATTAACCAGCTTTAAAAAATCCTACATGAGTCTGGTATAAAAAAACAAGCGGCGCCTTAATGAACATGCAATACATTTTACTGGTATTTCCTTTTTAACCTATGGAATGACGATCTGGGTCTGTTTCTTATCTTGTTCTAGTTTCCAAGCTCCTTCCCTTGATATTCCACTCTGTTTTCTGTCATCGCTTTCTAGAAAAATCCTCTTTCCTGTCCATCCAGTGCATTGTTTCCTACCCATGTCTTACCTGTTTCAACAACCCTTTCTGACCTTTTTTCAGCTGCATACAATCATCGCATTTGCGCTTTTTAGCACGTCAAGATCATTTAGCATTGGGACGGCTCCTTTATTCCTTTTAAGTTATTATCACATTATCGTAACAGCATTTTTTATCTTTGCAAAGGGGCATCAAATCTGTCTTACCACCTTTTTCTCTCCTGTCTCTGTTTTACATTCCTTCTTTCCTTTCTGCCTCTGCATATCATGTCCTTCATTACCTAATAGGCTGAACTGGCATTAGGATCCACCAGTTTCCTGTCACTTTGTTTTCAGAAACCTAACACATTCCCTCATGCATTTTATCCTCACCTCTGCATCTTTCTTATTCTTATTATTTGTTTCATCTATTCATAAGTGAAGTTTGCTCCTTTGTTCATTCTCTCTTCCCAACCCCTTTCTTATACCTGTCTCTCAATGTGATTGTGGCGTCATTTTTATAGTGTGATGAACTCTTGAAACATGCTCATTTGCTATGAATACTTTCTTTAACCTTTTTCTAGTTACCAAATAACCCTGGTTTATTTCATAGATGTCCTATAAAGGAAACAAACTCGAGTTGTAATTATATTTTGTTTAAAAAATTTGTCAAGCTTTTTCTTTCTTACAGTGGAACATGCATTCTCTCCTTATGATGATGCCCTACATTCTAGGATATATATGTTCTTATTTGACGGACAAGGCATGAAATAGGGAGTAATTGAGAATAAAAACCATAACATGATATTTATTCAAAAAAAAAAAAAAAATGCAAGTCAAGTTCACCGAAACACAAGCATTTTTAAATGATAGAAATACCCAACATATCCCAAAAAAAATAAAAATAAAAAAATTATATAAAAATGTAAAAAATAAAAATAAACCAATCGAATATCAAAGTCGGATGAACAGAAAAAAAAGGAAGGAAAGTAAGAAAGCGAAACACCGGATACGTATCAATTCTAGTGAACAGCGAAGGGAGATAAAAAAAAGGGGGGGAAGAAAAGACAATCCAAGTCCTCGTAGTTAAGTGAAAGCATTAGGTGGAAAGGAGTAGTCGAAAAGAGATGAAAAAGAAAGTCGGCATCGTATTACAAAACCGAAAATATAACAAACTCCATATGGAACGCCCTTTCTTGTAGGATTTCTTTCGATACGCAGGTCAGTTGGTTGGGTTGTGTGGGATAGGATGGAGAAGGGGAAGGCTAATGGGGTGCACTGGTTTACTCCCTACACCCCCCATTGTTACCCCTCATTCCATTCCGACAATTCCATCTATCATCCCACACTCAAGAATAAATCCGAGATAACTGGGTTAAGGTACTTCAACAAACGTATGAAATGGAAGGAAAGAAAAGGAAAAAAAAGAAAAGGAAAAAAAAAACCGGGAGAGAAAACTAGAAAAAGAAGAAGAAGAAGAAGGGAAAGCATTGCAGTTCTGAGAGGTTGACCCAGCGCAAGGAAACTAGAGGATATAGAGGACATAGAATGCAATGAAATGTAGAGAGACGAAAGTAAGGAGAAATCAAATCAGCTCTTGTGTAGCTTTTTCACCCGTGCAACTCCTTCATACAATGCCCTATCAACGGCAGCGGCAACTGTCAGCGTTCCACCAATGACGGCACACACACCGGTTAAGAAGCCAGAGAACGTCTTCGTTCGCGCCTCGCGGTTGATCACTTTCATTGGCGAAATGTCATAGTTGACGAAGACACCAGGGATACCGCCATGAGAGTGCAAGCGCTCCTTGTGTCCCTCAGCAGCATCGTCGCCGCCGTCAATGGAACGCTTGTGCGAAGTGACAGAGTACTGGTGTGTCTCAATGCTTCCGCTGGAGCCAAAATGTACTCCTTGCTTGCCCAAAGGCGTATTCCCGAGGGTGGTCTCGTGAACTGAGCTTGAAAATTCTGGAGACCAACCAAGAGGCAGATAGGAAGTAGACACGACCTTAACAAAGTACATGAAATTGTATCTGGGATCAGTAGTATGTTGCGAAGTGTTGTCCAACGGGTTGGTGTGGTGGTGGTCAGTCCACTTCCAGCGGCTTGAAATCTCATCAGACAGCTGGGGCCCGAAGCGCAGCTGGTGGATTTTATGGGACATGTGGTGTGGAACCGGGGTGTGGTAGTAAGTGTCCAGGTCATGGGCATGAATGTTGCCGCTTGAGAAGCTGCGGCCTGGAGCGATATGGAAGTTGCCAACAACTTTATTAACGCGAAGCACGCCTTCAATGCGGCATCCTTCATTTCTCTGCGCATCTAGGTTTTTGCTATAGCCCTCTCGTTCGCACTGCTCGACGTTTTCTCCGCGTCCGAACGCCCAACTCTGGGATGCGTACGCCTCTCTAACTTCTCGCAGGTAGAGCAACAATCCTGGTTTTGTCGCATGAGATGGTGGAGGAGCTCCGTAGCATGGACCGCAGTAATCTGGGTCAAGGTGTTTGGCAGCGTCTGTTTGAGTGTGCCTGTATGCCATGCCATATTAGCAATGCCGACTGAATATGCGGAAGAACTGCAAAAAAAAAAAGAAAGAAAGAAAGAAAGAAAGGACTCACAATACCAACGCAGTAGTATCGATAACGTGACCTCCCTCTGATTCAGGGGCTAGGCGCACTTTGGAGATACCGTGAATGATCCCGGATTGCATCTCGCCGGAAACATCCATCACATCTAGAGTGAGGAGCTCACAGGGCAGATGTGGGAAGGTGATATTCAAGTGTATTTCCATTCTCTCCCCTAGCACGAACGGCTTAGCTGTGCGCCTGCACACTGCTCTCGAATGCCCCGATAAAAGAACACATACCTCTCCCCTTGTCAACAACCAACTCCGGCAATACTACTATACGTCTATACTCATACCACTCACCCCAGATAAGGAATGATATAACAAACAGCGCAACGATTGTGACCAGCCCCCCTGATCTAGTTCGTATCCGCGCATCTTCGACAGTTTTTGTAAAAGCGTCTAGTCGCGCAAACCGTGATTTTGGAGCCATTGTATCAGGAGCAGGGTATCTGATCAATCGCAAGCGCTCTAAGACTCGAGGGCGGGAGGAGGGAGTAGAGAGCTAGTACTCCGTAGAAGTCTGCCCGAAGCGGCTCCAGATCATTCGATAGACTTTGGTTGTTCTAGAGCTTGTGATACAGACAGAGACCATAAGCCAGTGCCCGCTAGAATTACCTATGTAAGAACGGAACAAAAAAGTAATCGAGATCGTTGAAACTTCTCGGCGGAAAGGACACACCTTTCAAGATAGACCAGCACTCCTGATTGGCCAAGGCAGCGCAGCAAGCCTAACCTAAATCGGTGTTATCATGTGATCGCGCTTAGAATTTCCGAAATAAGCGACAGACGCCCTTCAGCCGCTCTCTTCACTCGAATCAACCTCCAACATATCCCACCTCACCATACTGCCTGTCTAGGCTGTCGTCCTCGATCGCAGCCATAGACACTGGAAATCTATATTATTTCCCATTCTCTCTATTTTCTTTTCCAGTGAGCCTCCACTGTTTCCTCAAGCTTGCCACTTGACGAGATTATTTCTCGCTGCATGCACGCCTTGCAGACTACCTCCTGTTGAAGGGGCGACCATCAGACCCCATTATATCCTCTCCAGGTCTCGCTATACCCACCCTTACTTCCTTACGTTCCTCCAGTGTACATTTAAAGTTTTTCCTCTTGCACAATGAATGGCTCGAAAGGCTTGAGAGGCTCTCGTAGCCACACTGGAACTCCAGATCGTGGGGGTATTCGCAAACGAGGTACCACTGCTCGAATCGATCGGGATGGCGACCTGGACATGGATGGTGCGGGATCTGGAAGGGGTCGAGGAGGAAAACGTATGCGTAGTGATCCTGGACGAATCGCGGTAGCTGGCAGTGTCGGTCAAGGGAGAGACACGAGAAGACAACTGGACAAAGATAAAACTTTAGATGCTCTGCAAAAGGCCATCTTTAGCAACGCATCTTCTCAGGCGAATGTCAGGCAGGGCCGCCCTCGGACGCAAGAGAAAGGGTTGGTTCAAATGACCGTGCGTGGATGGAAGCAAAGCAGAGCGGCTTCCAATCCGGATGGCGGTATTGAGAGCCTCATTTCGTTCCTCGAGAAGAAAGCCCTTCCTCCACACCACGATACCGCGTCCCACTCGAGATTGAAAATTTCCAAGGTATGTGTAAGATCACCTTCTGGCGGTCTCCGACGTATTTCGCAGAAATATCCTCCCTGGGTTGTTTATCGTCCCCGCGCCAATATCCCAGACCGACGATTGAAACTGTCGAGTTATGTCCCAAAACCGTTAGATACCTACAGTTTCAAGGTTATTAAGCCTTGCTAATGTTAACTAGTCGCGGGTCGAAGGTGACGCTTTTGTTATATCAGTTCGTCCGGAACAGGTGCCTTGGGTTTTACGAATCAACGGCTTCAGTTTCGTAGGACAGCCACTCACGATTGAAGAATATCGGGACTCCGATTTTGGCCGTGCACAAACGCAAATAATCTCACAGACTACCCTCGATACAAAAGCTAGAATGACGGCTTTCCTGGGGAAGCGATATTCTGAGCCACAGAAACTCCTAGACCTCTCGCATCTCGGTACTGATCTGGATCTTCTTGCAATGGGCATGTTCGACACCACGACTACTGAATCGAAATTTTTCCCCGCTCTCATGAAAATATGCGAACTCACATTTGGCTCTCTGGATAAACGGAGAGACCTAGTCCAGAGTGTTACTCTGGCTCAAAACAAATTACCCAATGTTTCCTCCATCACCACGCTGTCACAAACGTTCCCGGAGCTAAAGAACCTCGATTTATCGAACAATCAGATTAAGGATATCCAAAGTCTACTGGCTTGGAGGTGGAAATTTAGAGAGCTTGATTTCCTCGATCTTACGGGAAATCCAATTAGTGCCGAACCAAACTTCAAAGAGACCATGCTTAAATGGTATCCAAAGCTCAGAACGCTGAATCAGATTCAAGTTCGAACAGCGGAAGAAATAGCTGCACAACGAAAAACTCCTATTCCGATTCAACCTGCTCGTTTCCAAGACGAATCCCAAATCGCTGAAAATTTTATAAAAGGTTTCTTCAGTGGATTTGATAACGATCGAAATGATCTCGTGAGAGGTTTTTACGATGCAAGATCAACGTTTACGTTAAGCGTCAACCCAGGCGCTCCACGGGGATTGCAAGGGAACGGCGTTGCAGGATGGGATTCTTACATCAGAAAGAGCAGAAATCTCATGAAGGTCAATCATCTTCCTGCTCGAATGGCTAGGACTTTTGTTGGTACTGATAAAATCCGCGACGTATGGAACTCGTTACCGAAAACGAAGCATCCCGATATTATTTCAAATCCACAAGATTGGCTAATAGAATGCCATCCCATTCCTGGACTTCCCGATCCCATTGGTCAGAGCGTCACAGGTGTTGGCGGTCTGCTTATCACCGTCCATGGAAAATTTGAGGAATTCGACGGACCTACTCCGTCAAATAAAGCCCAAATGCGTAGTTTCGACCGAACTTTCATCCTAGGACCAGGAGGTGGAGTTGGCGGTTTACGAGTTGTTAATGACATGCTCATTTTGAGAGCCTTTGGAGGATCCGAAGCATTTGTACCAGAGATTGAACAATCCCTTGCGAACCCTATCGTCCCGCCACCGACTCAGACACCCGTTCCGACGCCACAGCAAGTCCACCCTGAAGCGAAAGATGGGTTCGGATTACCAGCACCTGGTAAAACGGAAGATCAGGTCCGGAAGGAACAAATTGTTCTAGAAACCAGCTTCCGAACCAAGATGACATTGGCTTTTTCGGAGATGGCTCTCTCCGGTAACAATTGGGACATGCAGGCAGCTTTGAAAAACTTTGAAGAATTGAAGGTATTGCGCTCCCACATATTGTGCAAACCGATTTAGATACGGGCCTTGATGCTAACCGAAAGCTCTGTAAAGGTTCAAGGAAAGCTCCCTCCAGATGCATTCTTGCCTGGAGCATAAAGGGAAACTCTTCGCGGGATTTTTGATGCACTCAATAATGTTGAACATCGACAGTGGCTACTACTTCTCACTACATCGGCTGTTTTAAATAAGTCATCCAATGGATTGATAAGATACCTTCGAAAATTCAGGAAACTAGAGGAAATGAAAAATTGTTATGGAAATTGTTATTGTCGGAACAAGTTGCCAGCTCTACTAGTTCAGTTGACACGGGCGGCAACGGTAAAGGCATAGGTTGTTTATTTCATGTTTCCATGCTTGATGCAGAGACGTTTGTTTATTCTAGGGATTTCAGTTTACTTTTTACTTTGGGTTGTTTCTGCTTCTTGTTCTAGGAGGCCCAGGCGCAGGATCAGCTTGCCACCACCGCAGGGTATAGTTGTATCACATGGATCAGATAGACGAGAAATCAAAGGAATTATTTTCCTCACATTCCAAACATCGTACCTCGTATATTATATCTTTGGGTGTAATGAATTTTCATTATTCAAATGGATTAATATCGCTAACTTAAGGGGTTTCGTCTGGGCAGCTTGGGTCCAATATAACTAGGGTCACGTGTTGTCACCACCAACGCGACGACATCAAGATTAAACGACCAAACGTGGACAACAGACCAAAAACAGAGCTTGAAAAACCATCAATCCCTACTCATGGCCTCTAAAAACTGAACATCTCTTATATACACTCAGCAGCAAGCTCATGTTAGCAGGGTGAACTGCATTATGTGGTCAGTTGCGACATCCAACTCATTCGGATGTCAGCCACCGCATTCATGACAGGCAACGGCGTATCCAACCCCGATCCACTGGATGGAGGCAAGCTCCCAATAGCTGACTGAACCTCACATTCTAAGCTGACAATTTCTCTATAGCCGACTATGACCCAATCGACCATCTTAATGCTATATTCTTCCATCCCTCCGCACTCAATTCCGTGTCCAAAACATCCGACGCGCTCCAGGCATACCAGGAAGAGCTCGACAATGATATCGCCTCGCTTGCTGAACAGCAAGCCGCTTCTAATACGGAAAGCGTGCAAAGAATACAAAATGCTAAAGCGGACATGACAGAACTATTCAAGAAAATCGAGGATGTTCGTGAGCGGGCTTTGAAGACGGAGCAGGCCATCACCGAGATGACAGCGGAGATCAAACAGCTAGACAATGCGAAGAAGAACTTAATTCTGTCAATGACGGCGCTGAAGAGGTTACAGATGCTTACGACTGCCTACGAGCAACTGAAAGCCTTGAGTAAATCACGACAATATCGGGACTGTGCCCAGCTCCTGGCCGCTGTGATCCAGCTCATGGCCCATTTTAAGACTTATCGTTCCATCGACCAGATCGCCACCCTGAGCCGGAATGTGGCTGATATACAACGAGAGTTACTAGAGCAGGTTTGTGAGGACTTCGAACTTATTTTCGCGAAGGGCGAGATCCCGCAAAGGAAAGGTGTACTGGCTGAGGGATGCTTGGTTATGGAGGCCCTGGGAGACATGGCTAAATCGAGATTAATAACCTGGTATTGCAATACACAACTAAGGGAATATCGCCAAGTGTTTCGCGGAAATGAGGAGGCAGGATCTTTGGATAATATCTCCAGGAGATACTCTTGGTTCAGGAGGATGCTAAAGACGTATGACGAAGAGCATGCGTCGATATTCCCACCTTCATGGAAAGTATGTGAAATTCTGGCAAATGTCTTCTGTGAAGGGACGAGGGAAGATTTCAAAGAAATCCTATCTCGATCGGTTCAGAATGGACAAACGCTAGACGTTAACCTTCTCCTCTCCTGTCTTCAAGAAACCCTCAATTTTGAACAGTCTCTTGACAAGCGATTCACCTCAGCTTCTCGTACGTCTACTGATACGTTTACTTCAATCGATGCTCCCGTTTTTGGCCAGTCAATATCTGAAGCGTTTGAACCCTACCTCAGCGTGTGGATCGAGGCTCAAGATAAACAGCTAGCGTCTCTCATACCGAAATATCGGCAGCAACCAATAAGGCCACCAGATGAGGACTTTACGTCACGACTTGTTATCCCGTCTTCCACTGATCTGTTCACTTTCTATCGTCATTCCCTCGCTCAATGTGCCAAATTATCTACAGGTGCAAGCTTATCGGAGCTGTCGAAACTATTTGCGAAATATTTGGATCAATATGCGCAACAGGTGCTTTTGTATTTCGTCACCGAGCGCGCAAGTGGACAGACTCCCTCTAGAATTCCGTCGCTGGAGGACCTTATCCTGGTCTTAAATACTGCTGATTATTGCTACTCAACCTGTAACCAGTTGGAAGAGAAAATCAAGAGTCGAATTGACGAGAGTTTCAAGCAGAATATCGACCTACAAAACCAAGCAGATGCTTTCATGGGGGTTGCCAGTTCAACCGTTCGCGGGCTGGTCCGGATAGTCGAGGTTGAATTGGAACCCTCATGGAAGGAAATGCGTAATAAAAGCTGGAACAGACTAGAAACCGTCAGTGACCAGAGCTCCTTTGTCGCAATACTGTTAAGCAGTGCCAAATCCAAATCTAAGGAAATTCTGGAAATGCTGCACAAACAGCAATATGCACGAGCGTTTGCGGATAATCTCGTAGAGCATCTCTCAAGCAACTACATCTCCAATATCTTCCAATGCAGACCAGTCTCAGAGACGGGTGCTGAGCAGGTAGAAATGACCATTTTCCAATCACATCGTCAACAAAATTTCCACGTTAGCTAACAAATATTGCAGATGCTCCTTGATGCGTACACAATAAAAAGCGGAATTGCCACTATTCTCTCACCACCACCAGCTGGGTTCACGAAGCGGCTAAACACATCATTCCAAAAAGTAGACTCCCTTCTCAAAACTCTCCAGGTCCGCGCCTCGCCGCCAGAAGCCTTAGTTCAGGCGTATCTAATCCACATCGCCGATCGAAGTGACGCAAACTTCCGCAAAATTCTCGAAATAAAAGGGATCCGAAGTAAACAGGAACAAAACCACCTGGTGGAACTGTTTCAAATCCACAAAACATCTGATCGCCACGCACCAAACTTACAACAATGCAATCCTCTCGTTGCGCAGTTACAGCCCGCAACCTCGTCCACCACCGCCCCTGCCACCTCCTCTGTATCTCAGGGGCTTGGCCTGAGCCACCTTGGTGGCGCTGCCACCAGCTCTCTTGCAACAGGTACTCTTCCGGCCCGATTCGATGCGTCGAGCCTAGGTTCTGCACTCATATCCGCAGCCAGGGATGGGGTAGATCGACTCGGGACCCCTCTTGTTGGTAGTCATGCCTCTGGAGGCGCGGGAATAACTTCGGGAGCCTCCCCGCTTCCGGGAGGAGGTACTTCAGCTGCCAGTTCAGGTAACTCAGGGCAGCGCGGAGACAGTACGGAAGGCGCCGGACTAGGATCTACTAATCTTAATGAAAATCTTAAAAATCTTGGGAAGTTCCTCCGCAGGGATTTGGGAGGGTTGGGTGGACGGTTTGGCAGGGGTGGAGATGAAGGTGGGGGGAAGTAGATGGGAAAAAGGGAAGTGGACTGGAGACGGTGGTTAACTTGATTCATAAGCCTGGCCTTTTTCCCTGTGATATAGACTATTATAATTTTCTGACGAAATGTGGAGAAAAGAATTGTATTGTATAGGCAGATGGGAACAATAGCATCTGTCAGCTGAGATTTCAATTAGACCTCACGCTCAGGCTCATTCCAAGATTTGGTATTATAGTTAAAATCGTTATGCCGTTGCCAAGCTCTCCTGATTAGACGTCTTGAGGCGCGGGACGCAAACCTATTGTCAATATTAAGTTGAACGATGTCTATCAAAAGAGTCAGGTATGAGCGTAAATATTTCATAATCATCGATTCTACTCCCCAGCTAAATTCCTAAGAATCCATCAGAAGATTACTCGAAAGTGAAATTGGCACTGACTGGGCTACTAAAGGGAATTCGGACCAAACATAAACTTATCAAATGGAAATCAGGACGGAAGAGATTTGCTATTTGCGGACACTGGTTGGTTAACCAGCCTTCTGCAGATGAAACTACACAGGTTTGTAAAATACATATCCTTTGAACTAGCATGAGTAGAGGTTTACATGAGGGTCACACCCCATACGGTGACCTAATTCTATACTGGCCAAGGACAGAATCTACGAAAATCAGATAGGGGCCGGGCGACTGAAGTTGGGCGAGTAAACCAGTGAAGGTAAAGCCTAAACTTAGAGAAACGAGGAAACTCTAATTTTAATTAGCTTCTTAAACCAAGGAAACCAAATGCATACGGAATAAATCAAGGTATAAGAGTAGCGTCATTAAAAAATTAGAGTGTTGTTGCTGTTTTGTGATCTTCACGGAAACCAAAAGGGGGAGAAGGAGGCTCGGGAGGAGCGTTTCCTCCCCCCCAGTTGGCAAAAGCTCAGGGTTAAAAAGATTTAATCATTCGCCAGGGATGGGCTAAGGTTGGGGGAGTTGGTATGCAGTTGCGTACTTGAGAAGATATCGAGGGAAGATTTGGGAGATTGGAGAATGTTTACCATTTATGAGAGGTTGTCCTGCAGATTTGATATGGAAGCACAAATTAGGGCGCAAAATGAAGTTAAGTGTCAACAAAATGGATTTTCGCTTTTTTGTTTCGATTACACAAGACGTAACGGCCACAGATATACTACATTCGTTATCCATTTAACCGAAAAGGTCACCGAATCCTAGACATATGGTCAGTATTCACACGAACTTTGATATGAGGGTGGAGATTTTATATCAAGGTGTACATACCTTCCTCTCCGCTCTCCTCAGCCTCCGATTCCTCCTTGGCAGCCTCCTTGGTCTCCTCTGCCTTTGTTTCTGCTGCAGCTGCAGCTGGAGCAGCAGCAGCATATGCTTCAGGATTGGCAATGCGGTCTTTGAGGGTCTCAACCTCGCTCCAGCCATATTCTGTCTCGAGGGCAATCGCAATCAAGTTCTTGTAGGAGTTGACCAGAGAGTGCATGACGGATGGCAAAGTTGGCAAGTTGGTAGCCAGAGAGATGGCGGTGATGGTACGTATGGCAGACTGGAGTTTGGCCAAGAGCTGCTCCTCACTGACATCCAGAACCTCAGGGCTGAAAGTCTGACCCTCATCGTAGATCTGGGCAACAGTCATACCGTACGTGAAGGGAGAGATGTTCAGCATGTTGAGGAGGGTGGCTTCGGAAGCACCGACTTTTGAGCCAGCTTCAACGAGCTTCAGATCGGTGGTAATTTCAATGGTACCACGAGCAATCTTGGTGGGGACACCGAGAGCCTGGAAGAAAGAGGTTTTACCGGGTTCCATACCGGTGTTACCAGCGGGGACGTAAACATCGAGAGGGGCGATGGCACCGGCACGAGCAGGAGCAGCAATTCTGTTGGACACAACCTTCTGTCTGACCTCATTCAGGTCCGCGTTGGTGAAGATGAAGCCAACGTTGCCTTTGACATGAGGCAAGAGACGCTCATATTCCGGGTTGTCGGCGACGAAGCCTTTGATGGCACGACGAACCTGCAATTGGCAAAAAAAATTGTCAGCAATCCGCAGTTAGAAGTCATTTGATCTTGATGAACACACCATGGTATTTTTTCCCATGAGAACAACCGCCTCGCCTCTCAGGCTGTGGCGGATCTCGTGCATCTGCTGGGAGCTGACATTATCGACATTGACGATGAGAATCGAGCGATGCTCATCCAGCAGTCCCTTCAGCTTCTCGAAGTATTGGGTTTTGCTCGCGGTCTTGCCCCCCATGTCTTCTTGTTTAGTTGAAGATAGGATATTTAAGGGCAATGTAATAAATTGGTGGTAGGAATTGGAGAGATGCGGTTGCGGATTGGTGGTCGTGGGTCTTTTCTTCGGGATTTTGATGTTCGGAATTTTGTTCTTGTGGATTCGGCTAACGAGGGCCAAGACATGGTCACGTGAAGCTTGATCTGATAGCCCTTCAAACTTCGATCATTTCATCCGTATACTAGGTAGGGAGGCATATTCTGAATTCAATTCTTGTATACGGAGTTCTCTTTTTTCATATCATCTTTTTAAATTACTATTGTTGTCTCTGTTTAAGTCATATTTTCCACATTGAACTTCTGAGAACTGGGGCAATTTTACTTCAGCTCGCCGACTCGATCTCAGTGCCTCAACTGCGGTAACTAACTACAGTAGCTAATGATGTTAAAATTATAGTTAACGTACGCTTCCTACAGATTTATCAGATGCGGCACCAATTAAAAACATACATATTTTGCATGATCCAATTACCGCATCATGGGCTTCCAACATCCATTCCAATGCGTAAAATGCCTTGAACAATCGGGCCCACCAGCGAAAAGTTTTCTTGTTGCCGCTGCTGGTCCCAGGCTGTACGTCCTGGACCGCAAAACAGGGAATCGGCTATCAGTCTGGCCTTCACCTGTAGTGCCAGAGACCAAGGGCATGCATGCAAAAAACTCTGATTCCCCCGATCATGGCGGAGCTGAGAGCAGTGAGCCTCCAGAGAAGAAGCGGAAACTATCTCCAACTCCCTCAGAAAACGGCCTTGGAGTTGCGGGGAATGAAGAATTCAATACCAAAACCAATGGGCCAGACAAAATGCAAGACTTGAAGCTGGAATGGTCGACAATCCCGATCGTGACACCTTCGAAGTCCGGTAAACATATCGTTGTCGTTACCGCAGAGGATAAGTTTATACGAGTCTTTGCAGTTGATCCAAACGGAGTGCTCTCCCAGTTAAGCGAACGGTAAGCGTTATTATAGAGAAATAAACACTATTTCAGAAAAGAAAAGAAAATGATTAATCAGGTTTGCTAACAGGAAATGTAGATGTATGCCCAAACGGCCATGCGCAGTCGTTCTATCACCTGATGAATCCACGATCCTATGCGGAGACAAATTCGGAGATGTCTACTCTTTGCCATTATTCCCTAGGAATGACTACAAACCACGTCCCAAGAAAAGTTCCCAGGCATCACATCCAGCCCAGCCGTCTGCTTCAGCCCTCACTGTCCATACAAAGCGAAATTTACAGGCGCTCGAACAGCAGCTAAAACGTGGCGCGACCATATCTGAGAAAATCGGACCTCTCTTTGAACTCAAACTCCTTCTCGGGCATGTGTCTATGCTCACTGATGTCGCATATGTGACTTTATGCACAGACGCTGAATCCACTGTTCCCCGCCCGTACATAATAACGGCGGATCGAGATGAGCATATTCGCGTTTCCAGGGGGCCCCCTCAGACTCATGTAATTCAGAGCTATTGCCTGGGCCATACGGCTTTCGTGAGCAAATTATGCGTCTTGCCATGGAATACCTCGACTCTGATTTCGGGTGGGGGCGACGATTATCTTCTAGTGTGGCGCTGGGCGAAAGGTGAACTTGTGCAAGAGGTTCGAATTCCTTTAGATGGTGATGACATGGTAGCCTCGAAAGGGGACTCCAGTGATAAAAGAGCGGAGAATATCTCTGCATCCGAAGTGGCTGTGAATGGGATTTGGCCAGTATCGCTTGCAGAGAACGAGTCGTTGCGAAACAAGACACCGGGTGTGGTTATCGTTACTTTGGAGGGGTAAGCAATCGGCAATTAGTACGCCTACGTATGCACACCAAGATGCTAACGTCCTCTACAATAGGATTCCAAAACTCTTTCCATTTACTCTTAGCCTTGACAGTAAGATGGTCGCGCAGAGCCCCGTTGGTCTCTCTGGTAATGCACTTGGGGTTACATCCCTCGATAACGCAGGAAACATCATTGTAGCAGTTGACAATGTCCACGAACCTGGGTCGGTAAAGGACCAACGCAAATCTCCCGATTCGTTGACGCGTCTCATTCAAGCATTTTCTGTCTTAGAAGAGCAGGGAACTATGAAATGGACGGAGGTTGATACCTCCATGGTGAATACGGTCAACGGACTGGGAACATTTGAACTAGCTACGTCTGAAGAGGAAAAGGAGATGAAGAAACTTGCACAGGCCCTCACTGCTACACTATATAGTTTTGGGAACTTGCGGAAATGGGGGAAGGGAGATGATGAATGAATTCAAGGTGAATTCCGGGGCTGCGTTGCGTATGGTGCCCCTTAACTCTATTAATGCGTTCTGCATATATTCGGAATTGATGTAAACTCTTCATGTCTCGAGACAAGGAATGGAAGTTCACGGGAAGTCGAAGCATAACAATTCAAAACTCTTCCCCATGGTTTATGAAAAATTACCAATACTTAAGCCACGGTAGTAATTTTAAGAATTAATACGCTGCCGAACCACTCAACTTGCTCTGGGTTACATAAAAATTATATATATTCAAGCAAGTAGGTCAAGCAAGCGAGGAAATAAGAAAATAAACAAAATAGATATTGGATGTGGGATGTGGGATATCTGCTCTCGAACTCGACAATTTCCATCCCCTTTGCGAGTCGCAGCAGCAACAGCCGTGAGTGATATCGTCATTTTTTATTTTCTCTGCGAAGTTCACGTTCTTCTCGGAACAACCACCTCCCCGTCATCATGTCGCCTCAATTCGAACCCCTTCAAAACGACCTTTTACTGAGGGCCGCACGAGGTATATTTGCTCAGTTGGTATCTTTCTGCTTAAAATCATATATCTAATCAATGTTTTTGCTGTGTAGGCGAGAAGATCGAACGCCCTCCAATATGGGTTATGCGGCAAGGTATGTCTGTCGACTTGCCCATGCCGTCCTCAAAAAAAAGAAAGAAAAGAAAAGAAATCACACAGAAAATAGAAGCTTAATAAGATCTACAATCACAAATAAAAGTGCCCAAAGCAATTACTATCTCTAACTCAAATCTCCCCTTTCTTCCCCCCAAACAGCCGGGCGCTACCTCCCCGAATACCATCAAGTAAAAGGCCAACATGACTTCTTCGCATGCTGTCGCTCCCCCGAAATCGCCTCAACCCTCACCCTCCAGCCCGTCGAGCGCTACTCAGGCCTCATCGACGCCGCCATCATCTTCTCGGACATCCTCGTCATCCCCCAAGCAATGGGCATGACCGTCGAGATGATCGATAAAAAGGGCCCCAGCTTCCCCTCACCCGTGAAAACCCCCTCCGACCCTCAATACCAACAGCTCCTCGACAAACAAGTCGACGTCGCCAAGGAGCTCGACTACGTCTACAAAGCCATCACGCTGACAAGACAGAAGCTGAAGGGCCGCGTGCCGCTGATTGGCTTCTGCGGCTCACCGTGGACGTTACTGTGCTACATGGTCGAGGGGGGCGGGAGTAAGATGTTCATCCAGTCCAAGACGTGGGTGTATCGGTACCCGGCGGCATCGAAGGCGCTGCTGCAGAAGATAGCAGAGATCTGTGTTGAGCATCTGGCGCTGCAGGTTGAGGCGGGGGCGCAGCTGGTGCAAGTATTCGACTCGTGGGCGGGGGAGTTGTCGCCTGCGTCCTTTGCGGAGTTCTCGCTGCCGTATCTACGCTATATCTCTGCTCATTTGCCGAAGAGGTTGGCGGAGATGGGCCAGGAACGCGTGCCCATGACTGTCTTTGCTAAAGGGGCGTGGTATGCGCTGGATGTGCTCTGTGAGTCTGGGTATGATGTTGTGAGCTTGGATTGGTTGCAAGACCCTGCTGAGGCGGTCAAAATTGCAAAGGGGAGGGTTACGTTGCAGGGCAATGCGGATCCCGGGTGCTTGTATGGTTCTCGCGAGGCGATTACTGCCGTTGTGGAGAATATGGTGAAGGGCTTTTGGGATGGGAGGCGCCAGGGGTGGATTGCGAATCTGGGGCATGGTATGTAAAAGCAGAGTTTACCTTGATCATTGTATTGGTGCTAATATCCGTGGAATACAGGTGTTACTCCTCTTGTCGACCCGGAGGATCTGAAGTTTTACTTCCAGGAAATTCATCGGTTAACGGCTGCGTGAAGTGGAATCAGTCTAGGGTCGCAGTCTGGGTTCAAGATATGTTATTTGTCAACCGTGAAAACAGCAGCAGAGTATATACAGTGTACAGATATGGCCAACATTTTACCATTCCAAGCCCACTTCATGTATACCAAAGCAATCCTCTTTCTAACCATTCCTATTCCCACTTTCTACACCCCAATAACATTTTTGTTTATAAAAAAGAAAGAAAGAAAGAAAGAAAGAAAGAAAGAAACATTCACCATATCTCCGGCTTCTCTCCAATAAACTTCCGCATCACGTCCTTGCATTCCCTTTCATCCAAGACAACCACTTCAACGCTACGGCTCAACAGATACTACTCGCCGCCAATGAACGTAGCGTTCTCCCCAATCACGATGCGCTTCACTCTATACAGCACCCAAGCCCCCGTGCACATGTCACCAGGAGATAACGCAGTATACATCGTAACTCCAACATAGACAGAGGCGGGCAAGTGACCGGAGTTTTCAAATGGGGATATCTCAGCCTGTAGTTGAGTATGCTTAGCTTGGAGAAATGTGAGCCTATCCATGTGTTTATATATGCTAATGAATTTGTATCTACAAAGATGACTGGGCAGAATGAACGAACGAGGAAGACTTGGGAGAAAAAAGGGAAAAAAAACGCCTAAAAATTCTATTTTAAAACGGATATGCAATAGAGCGCTCCCCTTTTGTACGCGCATGTTCCGTCCCTGCCCAAGAATCTTGCCGTCACTGAGACCAAACAGGCACCGACGGGTACGCTGCCTTCAGCTAAGCCTTTCCTAGCTTCTTCCAAGGCAGCAATGAAGCCGCGATCTTGGGCAGCCTTTTCATTAATTTAATTTTTTTTCTTTTTTAATTTTTTTAAACCCCTTGGGTGGAGATTTGGAGTTCTATTGACAGGGGGGAACGGGGGGGGGTTTGTTGAGGGGGTAAGATAGGAATTTTATAGGAATATGAAAGATCAAATTTTGTTCTCTTATTACTCTCTTTGTTGCTGTTAGTTCTCTTGTATTTGGTTCCAAGTATCAGCTGTTCCGCAACGTTGCGCCGTACATCAATATCCCAATATTCCAATATCCCCAATATCGCACATAGGCGGGGGGTTGCTCTAATGGCCAAGGCTAATTTTGCCTTGTTTTCGTGCACTACGGTCTCGGATATTTAGATAATCCGTGGGTCTAGTAACAAGTTGACTAGTAATAGTCAATGATTCCATCCAAGGGAATAATAACCTAGTAGTTAGTGGTTAGAACGGAGTAGTTAAGTTTAATATACGAGAACTGGTATGGAGTAACTCCGTATATGGAGATCAAATTGGAGTGATGTTTATCTCCCTTCCATTTCCGCAAGGCTATTTTCGTTTCCTCATTTTGAATTGTTTTTCTTCTTACGAACCGAGTTTGGTTTAACTATGACCCCAATTACTAGAACGTTCTCTCGCATCTGCCTCTTGGTAAATGAATCGATGATGAATCCAAGGGCGTTCGTCGCAGGGTCAAACCAGGGGATGGCGATGGAAGGCGACAGAAACGCGTAGATCAGGCTGATTCCAGCAGTAAAACCCGCGATGGAAACGCTTAGAAAGAACCGGAATCACTGCAGAAACCGCGCTAAACCGCATACGGCACTTCGGCCTGCCCGCATACGGTAAGGTTCTGTTTTGCCGGTTCTAAGAATGTAATTGATGTTATTCCATGAATTTTTCAAAAGGTACCGCGGATGTTATTTCTCGGAGCTGGAAGCCTTGTACTCGGGAAGACATGCCTTGGAAAGAGAAATCATCTAGGAACTTTGATTTGGGGCGTATCATTCCAAGGTTGGCTGGCTGATTAATATCCTGTGCGTATGAATGCAAGATTGGAAATATACTATATATATAAAAAAAGAGAGAGAGAGAGAGGCATAACGAAGAGAGTGTTGCTCGATGTTGTGTAACTTGTGTTGTCTCTGATTAATCTAAGGTACTTCAGGGATACCTTTGAACTTGAGTCAGAATTGCCAAGTCGGGTTTTGGTTACTAATGAACCATCTCGAAAAGCAGCCTTGTTACCAGTCAAATACGCAAATACGCAAATACACGAGTACAACAATACAATAAATACACGCGGTTCCGGTCTGGGGAAGCTTTTTTTTTTTGCCTTTGCCTTTTGCCAACCAACATTTATTATTTTATTTTAGTTCGTTCCTCACTCACACTCATGGTCCTTTTTTCGATCCAACCTCACAACATCAAATCCCGCCTTTATTGCCTGCCCTTCCCCTTCTCCTCCGTACACTATACTCTGGCCTTCTTGAGCTATTTGCGCTCTGGTGGCCGCTCTTAAAACCCCCCTTTTGCCAACTCCGGGTCACATGCCATTTGCTGTCGAGATACCCTTTGGACTCTTTCACCATCATTCTTCAGTAATCATTACATCTGATTAGCCGATTGCCTGCCTAGCTTTGACCGTCCACTAACCCATTCGTCGACTTCCCATCGAGATTTAAAACCGCACGAATAGACAGAAGAAAAAGAGATCGAAAAGAGATCTCTGTACTGAACAACTCTGTGTGGCTTTCTTTGACTCGAATTCCTTGGGCCGCCCCATTGTTTCTCCTCTCCTCTCCTCTCTCCTTATCTCAAATTTTTCCTTGGCTTGTTTGTTTGATTTTTATCAGCGGATTGTAGAACTTGCGCCAACATGGTGAAGGAAACCAAATACTATGACGTTTTGGGGGTATGTGGAGTGCTTGATCTCTCTCCCTCGGCTGCAAATTTTGTATGGACATTTCAAAAAAGAAAAGAAAGTAGTCCTAATCTCTTCTTCTCGACGAATAGGTGTCCCCAAGCGCGTCTGAAGCGGAACTGAAAACTGCTTACAAGAAAGGCGCTTTGAAACATCATCCTGGTATGTGACAGTCTTCTCCCTTTCCTTCTTTCTTGCGTTTGTACAACAACAGTCTGACATAATCTCCTGCACACAGACAAGAACGCACATAATCCTGAGGCAGCAGAGAAATTCAAGGCCCTTTCTCACGCTTATGAAGTTCTCTCTGATCCCCAGAAACGGCAGTTGTATGATCAATATGGTGAAGAAGGTTTGGAGCAGGGCGGTGCTGCTGGTGGAATGCAGGCAGAAGACCTGTTCGCCCAGTTCTTTGGTGGAAGCGCCTTTGGTGGCATGTTTGGCGGCGGAATGAGAGAACAGGGCCCCAAGAAGGCACGCACTATCGTCCACCCTCTCAAAGTCACCCTGGAGGATATCTACCGTGGCAAGGTTTCAAAGTTGGCGCTGAAGAAATCCGTCATTTGTCCTGGCTGTGAGGGAATTGGTGGTAAGCCAGGTTCCGTCAAGCAGTGCGTTGCCTGCGGTGGTACTGGTAAAAGAACTATGATGCGCCAGATGGGACCTATGATTCAACGATTCGTTGTCGAATGTACGGACTGTGACAGAACGGGACAGGTCATCAATGAACGTGACCGCTGCAAACGATGCAAGGGGAACAAAGTCATCATCGAGCGAAAAGTACTCCATGTGCATATAGACCGGGGTGTCAAGCCGGGACACAAGATTGACTTCCGCGGTGAAGGTGACCAGGCTCCAGGAGTTATAACAGGCGACGTTCAGTTTGAGATAGACCAGCAACCGCATCCGAGATTCCAGCGCAAAGACGATGATCTCTTCTACCAGGCCGAGATAGATCTCCTGACTGCCTTGGCTGGCGGTACTATCAACATCGAGCATTTGGACGACCGATGGTTGACAGTGCAAATTGCTCCCGGCGAACCCATCACACCGGGTAAGTTTGCTGACATACGTTGGGCATAACTCCTGACCCATCCCCATTGCCCCCCCAACAAATATCAACTCTTCACACACATTTGCCATGCGCAAAGCAAGCGAAGCAAATGAAATGACATGTCTGCTAACCAAATTCTCCCCATCTCTGCACCCCACAGGCCAAATCAAACTAATCAAGGGCCAAGGCATGCCCTCCTACCGCCACCACGATTTTGGCAACCTCTACATCCAATTCAACGTCAAATTCCCCGAAAAGGACCAGTTGCAAAACATCCAGCTGCTCGAGCAAGTGCTGCCACCGCGTCTGCCACAGCCACAGCCACCAGCCGACTCGATGGTGGAGGATTTTACACTTGAGGATGTCGAGGCGAGTGGGCAGGAGAGAGCGCACGGAGCTACGCACATGGGCGATGAGGATGAGGATGAGATACCACATGGCGCTGAGCGGATGCAGTGCGCATCTCAGTAATTTTTCTTTTTTCCCCTTTTCTTGTCTTTCCATTTTTTCCTCTTCAATTTTTTTCCGGGGTTTTTTTTTCACATTCCAATGGTTCAGTTGTGGGGGTTGGTTGGGTAGTTAGGTTGCGGAAAGAAAGGATAGGAGGAGGCTCGTCTGCCCCTCCGACAAAGCTCTTGAATTTTTGCTTTCTTCCAGGTTCTTGTTCTCTATTTTTTCATAAGGGGTTTTTTTTTCCTCGTTCATTTTGTTTCTATTTCGTGTTCATTGCAAGAAATGGTTAGGGGTGTACTGTTCCTTCTTTTTTCTAATTCCTCATTTCCCTTTTTCCATTTCCACCCACGTCTTCCCTTTTTTTTCCCCTTTTCTCTTTTGCTCCTGAGAACCTCCGATTTGTTAAGTCGCATTTGTCTCTTTTTCTTCTCTGTTCAGTTTCTCTCTTTGCCTTTTGCTCTCCAGCTTCTCCTTTTTTTTGCCATTTTTTCTCGAAACGTCCACCGTATATGGGGTCCCTTCTGCAAATCTTATATGTTATGGATGAAATGAAATGGATGGATTAGACGGTTTCTCATTTTCTTTCTCTCTTTCCCTATCTTCGCTTCTCTTTTCCGTGCTTTTAAATTTATTAATTTATTTTTTTTTTTTTTAAAAAAAAAAAGGAGAGAGAGAAAGAGAGAAGAAAGAAAATAAAAGAGAAAAGAAACTCTAGCAGCAGCCAACTTTATTTCCTTAATTCACGCTTCAATTATTATTCTAGCAAGTTAAGCATCAATCGATTCATAGATGTTTTTGTGTCTCTCTCTTTTTATTTTTTAATTTTAATTTTAATTTTTTTTTTTTTTTTTTCAAACTGCTGTTCAACCGTTGCTAGCCTCGTTTGATCTTTTATTTTTCAACTTTCACTGCTTCATAGGGTAGATATATACATTCTTTTCCTTTTGCTGGCCCCCCCGCCCCTTTCCTTTGTCAGCAAGAGCCAATGCAACCCTGTCCGTCCGTCCTCCCAAAGACGCTGCGTGCTGCGTGCTACGTGCATCAGCGAATTATCTTCTACGTATGAAGAAAGAATGGCAATAGTTGTTTTTTTTTGGCTTTCGATATATCTAGTTTCTCTTACTTAATTGACGTTCTTTCTCCTTTCATTGCTTGGAAACGAAGCGAAAGAGCGTATGATGGTACAGCCGTGCATGGATGGTTGCATTGCGTCCCATGGGATATAGAATGTCATTCGCGGGGGGAAGACGAGTAAGAGAGGAGGAGGAGGGCGCCTTGGTTTATTTATTTATATATTTTATATTCATATATTTTTATATTTATACTTTTTATGAACTTTCTATACGTTAACTGATTGCAAGATGCTGCCGTCTGCATGTATGCATCGGAGAAGGATCTTTTTCTCTTTTAAATGCAGTCTTTCGGCCGTCTCTGTCAGGTGAATAGGTCCCGTTAGAGGTTATACATATAATTAAACACACTCAGCTATTCAAGCATGAGAGGCAGAGACCAGGGTCCAGGCTTCTGTCTGCTCTGTAAGGGGGGGGAGGGGGAGGGGGAGGGGGGGGGCCGGGCAGAAAAGAGCATGCTTGTCTAAATATTGGTGTGTGGGCGATACTACAAAAGTCATGCTACCCATATTTTCTACAACTCCAGCCGGCCAGGCTTGCATTCATGAAAGGGTGGGTGTATTTGCATCTGGAGCTGAAGTTGGTCTCTGATAACTAATGCTTCCTGGGTGGAACAAAGGGGCGGAGGAAACCATCCATCCATGGAACGGGGCTCCGTCTCGGCATCAGTCATGTGAACAACATCTAACATCCCCAATCCGGCACGCAGCTCTTATACATTAATTAATATGCTCACGTATTGTCTGTATTTGGTCCGCGGCTTCGGAGTTCGGCAGGAGAAGAGTCTAATTGATTTCTAATGTCAAATATTGCTGCTTTGATATGCTGTGTAAGCATGCTTTAGCAGACAGTCCACTTGCTGGGATCTGTGCAGACTGTGCTTGAACTAATTACTTCGTCTGCGTCATTGGTTTCCTTCATCTTCCCCTCTCTGGTTCCCTTCTAAAGACAACGATCCATATACACCGTTGGCGAGGTTGCGTTGAGGTGGCGGGAGACATAATGGCATTGGAGTTTGGTTTTTTGCGGTTTCCAGAGGAGGATGCTGTGGAATGGAAACTCCATTGGGCCTGGACCTTATGCGCAAGTAGGGTAGAGAAAGGGAAATAAGATGAAAAAGGAGAGGCGAGAGCTGAAAGCACCGGGAAGACGGCGAGGGTTTGTAACTGTCGTTCAAACGGAATTTGGAGAGGAGCCACGAGACGATCAACGAGGAATGTCTATAGGAGGAAAGAAGTGTGGCGGAAAATGAATGGAGGATGTCTGGGATGGAAAAAGGGAAAATTCATGGGATAATCTATCTGATGGGTAGATTGGATAGCACAGAAAATGCATACCTTGGTCTCAAGTTATATTATTGTTTCTATGGATGTAATTTATATTCCACTTTTACAAATGGAATCGAAGCACTGGTTGCATCTATCTCTTGCTCCCATCGTTCCCCTCAACAAGTGCCCTCTGGAAGATAGGAGGCATAGGAGAATTGTATGGAATCTTCCATATAACCTTTTCTCCATCACCTTACCACATCCATGTCTGCAGCAATTTCAATGCCTTCAGGATCAAGAAGACGGGGCTTACGACCTTCCAAGTCTGGAGAGGTCACTCTTCTTGAGTAATTTCCGAATGTCCTTAATTGGATTTCCACGTTTCGTATCTCGTAATGTCAAATAAGAAGTAGATTCTTGCAAGGTTGTTCTGTAGGATGGAGGAGAAACAAGACACCAGAGAGCCCAGAGATCTTTCAAAGATCTTCTCTATCGTGCATGAGACCGAAAGACGAAAGAGTTGGCACCTTGAGATCTCTGTGAGATCTATGTGAAAATATGATACATTCCATATCAATATGAATTAAATAGTCTCATCAAATTCGAACACTTTTTGCTTGGGGCCCCTGACAGCAGTGTTCTCTTCATGCAAATCTCCTGTCTGCACAGCTAGATTAGTTACCCCACGCTTCGGCAGGATAATTAGCTGGGCAAGGCCAGCCAATCTTATTTATTTAACGTTTCTTTTATCTGTTCTCTTGACCTTCATGGGCCTGGAGGTTTTACTGGATGCTCTGCAGAGTTGCCAAGCGCGTTTCCCTCTCTTATCCGCCCTGTTCACTATGTATTTCCTAATTTTGCGCTTTCTCCATGGGTCAAACTCTGCTTTTGAAACAAGCTTGAGTTGCCTCAGAGCGCCTTCTTATCCCCTCATCTCCTCCTCGGGAGATTGATACCAAGGCGGGTTTCTGCAATACCAGCCCTGAAATACCTGCTACAACACGAGAACAGGCAAGGATCAACTATTCCCAAAGCGTTGAGAGTCTGAGGCAGCCAGAGGAATGGTCTTCACTCTTGGGAAGCATGGGTAGCATGGCCCGCGTGGGCAACATCGCATGAACTAAAACTATTTAGATCCCCCTTCGTGTGGGCGCTTTGTCAAATTCTCCGCCTTGCTTCCGGCTGGATATCAAGCCAATAAATGGGACGACAGTCGTGGGTGTTCTGCATGGTGGGGCTTTTCAATCCCATGGACATAACCTAACAACGACGGCGCCCATGGTCACCAACATGGATGCCATTCTGCTGGGTGCTTAGGTGCATGTTAGATGAGAATGATATCCACGTGCTGGTTGACAGACACACCGAGAAGTCCTCTGCAGATCGTTGAAGAGCACGGAGTCACTACACATGACATTGTGCTGCAGCGCAGGCGAGGATAACTACATCAATATGACATACTCCCTCAGAGCATCAAATCTGATATTCAGATTGTTTCCCTTCCAGCGCTGCCATTTCTGCACCCTTTTTCAGATATTCAGATATTCAGATATGTGAGCATGCCGCATATCGGCTTGTTCCCCCTTGGATCCCATCGCGTTGCCTGTACGTAGGTACGTTTGTCATAATCAGTCATTGATATGGCGTCTTTCGAAGGGGCCGTGATAGGCTGAAGGCTGTGTGGTTGCCAATGCTAGTCCCGGCCCGGAATGCTAAGCGACAGCCGCCATGGATTGTTCCTCTCCAATGGCTTCAGTGAATAGATATATAATATATATGAACCTTCGGAAGCAGACAACCCGACTGGATGTAGGGAGTAGAATAGCACACGGTATCCCAATACCAGCATTTGTTACTGCAACCGCCGCTCACTTGTGCCACGGTTTACATTAACATTACCGGTTAGCTGGGGTGGTTTCCACGGTTGGGTGACGGTCGCATTTACAGTGGGGCCTGTCCGCTCTGGGTTCGATATTGCACCCATTGATATTCATAATCCAAGGCCCAACCACATACAACACGCAAACACTCTTCCCAATGTTTGTTGCTCTCTGGCCGTCTGCTGTAAACGCCAGGATTGGCCTTGCCGAGATACGACAACTTTGCACCACGAAAGCTTGAATAGTGGGCAATGAAGGAATTTTCAGTCAACTACACATTGGACTAGGTTAAAGCGAGCCTCCGTGGACAATTCCTAACGCTTCCAATCTTTGACTCGTGCTCAAGCTGTAGCCTGCTGCTGGAATGTCGTCTGTGGCTTCTCCAGTCTGCGGAACGGGCGACAGATAATAATACTTGCGGATAAGGAGCTCGCACTTGATACGTTGATGCATACCTCGCAACTGAAGTTCCGCCAGCCACTCCGCATTGCTTCATTTTTGTGTGTTCGATCTAACTACATAACTACCCTCCCATTGTGCTTGCGTGCGTGACCTTTCTGTTCAGCGAGCATTCTAATCATCAGTCCAACCGAACGAATTTAATGGACTGAGCATGCGTGAGAATCTGATCTTGGCTGCAGGGTAAACCCATGGACGACCAGACAGAGAATCGACGGGAAAAGAGCCAAGTTAAAACAAAAGGGACAAGGATGTAATGAGATGCATAACTTATCTCCTCCACTGTCAGGATGGATTCAACGCACCTCCTCTGTGGGTTTCCGACCAGTTTCCCGCCTGGAAACATCTGTGCCCCCAGCAGCAATTTATCCCTGGATTATTTTCCAAGTTAACTACGTCTCCACGTTAATTTTGGGGCTTCCTCCGAAGATTATGAACTCTATCTTCGCCCTAGGAATAGCTTGTCATGCAAACCTGCATCTTGCAACTTCGACCCCTTGTCCTAGAGCCTGGAATTGGAGCCTCTCCACTCGCTGACGATTGCGTGATGCCCTTCGAGCCTGTCGAGCTCGCTTTGCCAAATTGTATCATCAGCGCCCTCGCCAAAAATACCAAATAAAATCTACAAAGAGCCCCTCGTGTTTTATATTTTCTTCTTTCAACCACCCCTTCGTTCCCTTCGTCCCCTTCCATCACCTCTGTTGCTCTGTCCCTTGCCGATCCCCACTATTAGCCGTCATTGTTTCTCGGGACATTCTCTTCGTGTCAGTTGGGATACTTGTGGGTGCTTTCCGTGCAGTCGTCTTCCAAACTTCGCTTGTTTTTCCACCAGCTGAGCTTAGTGGAACATACAACGTTCTAACAACCATGAAATCCCAATTCTGATACCATTCGTGGGATTTTGGAGCATTATTTGCTATTTGCTCCCCAGAAAAGCTTTTCTTTCCCCCCCCCCCCCCCGTTCCCTTGGCGACCATCCATTTACGCTCACTCTTATATATCTATCCCGGCAACCCCCCCACCTCGTCCTTACCCGACTCCTCCCTTCAACCATTCAACCATTGCTCCCTTATAGATGTTTCAATTATACCCCTGTTAGAACCTGCCTTTGACGTAATTGTTCTTCTGCTACTCAGACCTGAAAAGGGTCGATTCGTTCGTTGGTTGTTTTGCCTGATCCCTTGAGCTGTCAAGAGGGCGGTATGGCCACCCCAAATGGAAAGATGACGACTAAGGTCGGAACTCTTCTTGCTAAAGGGCTAGGCATCAAAAAGGGCAATCAAGATCCATTCGGATCCGATCCTGCTTACGGAGTGTCAAGTGTTTCTCTTGGTTCGGCAGGCCCCTATGTCGAAGTAGAGCCAGACTCAGGCGGATGGGTGCGTGAATTGGTACCCGGGCGCCATCAAGTTCTGCCATACTTTCTCAATCTCTTCCCGTTCTTGCGGTGGATTACCAGATATAACCTCCAGTGGTTTATCGGTGACCTTGTTGCTGGTTAGTTTCGTGTTCCCCGTGAGATATATTAACCAAGAGATCATCCGTATCTAAACGCATCCTGTAGGGATCACGGTGGGCGCAGTTGTCGTGCCGCAGGGTATGGCGTATGCAAAGCTAGCTGAACTGGAACCCGAGTTTGGGCTTTATTCATCATTCATGGGTGTCTTGATATATTGGTTTTTCGCAACCTCCAAGGACATTACAATTGGAGTGAGTTTTAGATCGTATCCTCTTCCCGGCCTCGAATCTGACGTGTCTTTTCTTTTCTTTTCTTTTCTAGCCCGTTGCAGTCATGTCGACTCTCGTTGGTCATGTTGTCATCAAGGTCAAGAAGGCTCATCCTGAAATCCCAGGGCATGTTATTGCCAGTGCCCTTGCAGTCATCTGCGGCGGCATTGTCACTTTCATCGGCCTGATTCGATGTGGCTGGATCGTGGATTTCATCCCTCTGACCGCAATCACCGCCTTCATGACGGGCTCTGCCATTAGCATTGCGGCTGGCCAAGTGCCTTCTATGATGGGCATGAGCGGTTTCAACACACGTGACACCACTTACAAGGTTATCATCAACACCTTGAAACACCTGCCAGACACCAAAATCGACGCTGCTATGGGCCTGACTGCCCTGTTTCTCCTTTACCTTATCCGCTGGGCGTGCAGCTATGGTGCCAAAAGGAACCCTAGTCGGAAGAAGCTATTTTTCTTCCTGGCGACTTTGCGGACCGTTGTCGTTATCCTTCTTTATGTCATGGTCAGTTGGCTTGTGAACAGACACCATCGCAAGAAGCCGACCTTCAAGATTTTGGGCAATGTGCCTAGAGGTACGCAGTAGCTTTCCGTGTTTCATTGACCCTAAGACCTTTGTTGTTTTGCACCCCTGTGTGGTTAATTGAAAACATGCATATGAGCATAAGTCCTAACGAAAGAATAGGGTTTCAACACGCTGCTGTTCCCCAGGTTGATGCTAAGATTGTAAAGGCTTTCGCTGGGGACATCCCTGCTGCAGTTATAGTTCTGCTGATTGAGCACATTGCCATATCCAAGTCGTTCGGGCGTATCAACAATTACACCATCGATCCGTCCCAAGAACTGGTTGCCATCGGCGTTACCAACCTTCTTGGTCCTTTCCTTGGAGGATATCCCGCCACAGGATCCTTTTCAAGAACCGCCATTAAATCTAAAGCCGGAGTGCGCACACCATTTGCTGGTGTCATCACTGCTATTCTCGTTTTGCTCTCCATTTACGCGCTCCCGGCAGTCTTCTTTTATATTCCCAATGCGTCTCTATCTGCCGTCATTATCCACGCGGTAGGGGATCTAATCACACCGCCAAACGTCGTCTACCAATTCTGGAGAGTCTCCCCACTCGAAGTCGTGGTTTTCTTTGTCGGTGTCATTGTCACCATCTTTTCGACAATTGAAAACGGCATCTACTTTACCGTATGCGTATCACTTGCCATTCTCCTTTTCCGAGTTGTTAAAGCGCAAGGGCGGTTCCTTGGACGAGTCAAAGTTCACTCTGTGGTGGGAAACCAAACTTCTCCCAGCGGCGGGAAATACGACGGATTAGGATCGAGTGATGGAGCCCTTACTAGTACCAACCCGTCGTTCCGAAACATATTTCTTCCTCTTAATCATCTTGATGGTTCAAATCCTGAGATTGAAATTGAACAGCCTTCACCAGGTATCTTCATTTATCAGTTCTCTGAAGGATTCAATTATCCTAACGCAAATCACTACCTCGACTATCTCGTCACCACAATCTACAAACACACAAGACGAACAAACCTAGATAGCTACCCAAGTGTGGGCGATCGGCCATGGTGTGATCCGGGCCCTCGCAAGGGTCAGGTTGAAGAAGATCGCTCACATCTCCCCACCCTAAAAGCTATTATCCTCGACTTCTCCTCCGTCAACAACGTTGATGTCACCTCCACCCAAAATCTAATCGATGTTCGCAACCAACTCGATAAGTACGCTGCTCCGCAACCCGTCCACTGGCACTTTGCCCACGTCAACAACCGCTGGACCAAGCGTGCTCTCGTTTCCGCCGGATTCGGCTATCCAACCCCCAGCCCTGGAGGAAATATTCGATGGAAACCGATTTTCAGCGTTGCTGAGCTGGGCAGTAATCACACTGGCGATCCTGACGCGAGCCCCGAACAGCGAAATAACTCATGGCAACCTACTTCGGGAAAGCAGTTCGATATCGAGGCAGTAGAACCTGCACCAGTTGAGAAATCTCCCATTAAAATAACTGCAAAGGACGTCGAAAATGGAAGCAGCGGGTCCGAGCACGAGGTTAGAACGGATTGGGATCGTAGACAAGGATATATCGCTGAGAGCCGCAGGATTGCTGTTGTCCACAGTCTCAATCGACCTTTCTTCCACCTGGATCTTACCAGCGCGCTGCAGAGTGCTCTGGCAAATGCAGAGGCTTCTGCTGTTGCTACGAAGCTTCCAGATAGTTAGATAGGGGTTGGACTTCATTGATTCTTGGAAAAAATATTCGCTTGAGCGTTAACTCAAGAGCAAGGGAAAGGAACTATATATATTATCGTGATTCTAACCCGTGGTCGTTTTTTAATACCCATCTTGCTGCTTTACTATTTAGCTTGCTCTACATTATGATCAAAGCCACTGCCCAGATGCGTATGGGCTTATGTTTGGGGATCTAGTTTTATCGAATATTCCAAGGGCTCCTTTGGTGGTTTGAATTGATGTTGTCAAGTGTGTGTTTTTAAAATATCTCATTGCTCGTTGGTGATTGAATTTTCGGGCTTCCCTCGTTTCTCGTTGCTCTAGTCCTTTTTCTAGGTAGGCCTACAATTCTGCTCACGGTCTTTCCTCCGCCCGAATCTTCAGTCGTCATAACTCCCTTTTTAAACATTCCATGATTCTTTGTTTTGTGTTTTTGTTTCTTCACCATCGGGACATGAAGGCGCTGTCCTTATATAGAGAGAAAGATTAACGATAAAATTTGGGTCGATAGATTTCTTGTAGGGTTTCTTTTCCGATTTGTAAACTAGATATTGGGCCTTCTTTTCAGACTGGACTTGTTTTCACATCCATTTATGTTATATAGATATAGATCTGCTGTTGGGGGAGTTGGGGGTAAAATAGAATTGAGAAGAAGTTGAGAATAGAAAGGCTCCTAGCAATAGTTATATGAATTGCTATTTCAAATAACAGTCTACATATTCCTATTTTGAGTAGTCGGTATAAAATTTCTCATTTCTCCAAGATTAGTCGTTAGGAACATAGTTTGTTTTTCCAAAAAAAAATGGAGATTCCCTTCTTGTCCCTGCTTCCTCTCTCTCGTCTCTCGTCAGCCGGCATATCAAAGCGCAGTGTTGGATCCAGGTTGACTGCAGAACCAACCACCCAGAACTGGGATTGAACATGGCGGCGGCTGCGGTAATCGCGGCAAACCACTAACTTAGCCGATGACGACTTTAACAGCGCCCAAATATTTCTTCAACAACCACTGTTACAATCATAAAAGCCAGCAGATTGATTAGGTGTCTTCCCGTTCAATAACTTCTTATTCTTGTACTAGTCAGTGTAATTACGAGGCGTCTCATTTCTCATGGATAGAAGCCCTGACTAGTTAGTTAAGTAACTAGTTTGCTAAGCCTATGATGGTCTTGGAGCCGAATACGACTTTCAAGTCCCCAGTCCCATGAATCGCAGTGCCAGGACTGCAAAGCTGGAAATTTTCATGGCAAAACCCGGAACAAATTCTGGACTCCGTATTAACCAGGATTCCGTGTCGGAATGTTGTGGCCTTATTGTGCCTTGTCCGCCATCCCACCCAGACCCGATATGGTGTTGGGACGACTCACGGGTTGGCAACTCACTTGTTGGCCTTGCCTTTGCATTTTAGCTGTTGGTAGGGTTGACCATAGGGCGCACACGATGCAGAAAATCTCTTTCGTTGCTTTGCGAACTGCTGGTTCGTGACATTGTCAGAAGAGAGATATACGAGTTGATGCTTCAAAAAACCATCCCAGCCTCGGGGCGAAGCTCGTTGGAAGAATCACTTGGGCCATTGAATAACGTCTACTCTGCGTTTTGAGTTATGTTCTCGTACCCATTGACTTCGGATTACCTCCTTAGTTGGTGAGGTATTATATAACTCTTAAGCGCACGGTGGTCGTGGGCGCAGCGGTTCTCTCATGTGTGGATTTATTCACATTAGGAGTACCGGCCTACCCGCCAAATTTTCTTGTATCAAAGTTCTATGCCCGATCTTAGGCAGGCAGAAAAAGGACAAGCCAGATAGATTCTTCTTACTAGAAGCGAGAACGAAGATTTTCCCACCTCGGACAGCTCGAGACTAAGCTTACTCTACTAGTCTTACCCAGAGTGGCTGTGAAAACGAGGTGCTTAAAACTTTAAGCTCAAGCTGCCTGAAGCTATATGAGGACCTCATATAAAACATGTTACCTCTCTGGGGTTATACAATTACCGGATTTCGGATATCTTTTTCGACCCTTCAAGTTTCATTTTCAATTTCAATTTTCCCCCCACTACCATTGTGTGCCCATATTTCAGAAATGTTATACCAATTTATTAAGAAAAAGATCTATGCCAGACGGCAACCAAACGAAGTAGGAGAAACAGAGAAAGCAAAAAAGGCAAAGAAGAAAGGTCCATGTCGCCATCAGCAACAGAATCGGGATCGTGTAATAGAGCCGGAACCTGTTGGAATGGCTAAATCTGGGGATCAACACGACAACGCAAGCAAGAAACCCCCCTTCATCCCACATCCACCCCCAGAACAGGGCGATCCAGTTGGTCACTGTCCACAATGTAAAAAGGAGATTCACGCCGCCAGAGTATATCGCTGGAAGCTGATTATTGGCCTGCTACTTCCATACTTTCTCGCATCGGTGGATTTAACTATAGTTGCTTCTGCGATGCCGTTTATCGCTTCTTATTTCAGTAGGTTGTCATGTCTCACTCTTCATTTATCGACAAAGTTGTACCCACTTCTTCTAACGTTCTGCATGTAGATAAATTGGATGAAGTCAACTGGATTGTCACCTCATTCACCTTAACCTCTACGGCATTCATCCCAGCTTTTGGACAACTGGCTGAAATCTATGGCCGTCATTTCGTGCTCCAGCTTTCCATGTTTTTGATGCTTGTTGGCAGCGTGTTCTGCGCCGCTGCACCGACCTGGGGAATGTTGCTCTTTGGCAGAGCTCTACAAGGGACTAGCTCTGCGGGAATTATGAACTTGATTCAAATTGTGCTCGCTGATAATGTATCCCTGAAAGAAAATGCGAAGAACTCCACTATTTTTCAGTTCGTGTCTGGGATTAGTTATAGTGTCGGACCAATAATTGGAGGGTAAGTTTCCTTTTCCCTATCTTCGAAGCATCTTTTACCCCTGTGGGGAACAGCAAATTGACGTTTTTAGATATTTGACCAATGTATGTCAACCTGTATAGGAAGTAGTTTTTGGGACTTTTCTAATAACTTCTAGGCGAACTGGCGATACTGTTTCGTTCTGAGTATACCCGTATGTCTTATGTATTTCCTTTTGTTACATATCTGCACTACTTCTTGTCAATTCGCCTGACTTACTCTCGATTGAATGACTAGATTGCCGTTTTTGCCCACTTCATCATATTCTTATTGCTCCGTAAGGAGTTAGTCAAGGGCACTCACTTCACCGATGGTTTTAAACTATCATCTTTCCTATCGGGGCTTGCCACCATTGATTTTGGTGGTACTACCCTTTTCGTACTTGGAATCGCCCTTATTATCTTAGGCACTACGTGGGGAGGCGCAGCATACCCGTGGGAGTCAGCAGCAGTTCTTGTGCCGTTGGTGTCTGGGTCAATCTTTTTTGTGCTCTTTTTTGTATACGAGTTCTACCTCGAACCAGGACGAGTGCTTGCGAGGATCTTCCCACAGCAAACCCCCATGATCCCGTTCCCTATGTTTAAAAGGAAGGATACATCGCTGCTAGCTATTCTTGATTTCGCTACCGGAGCAGGTGAGAAACGAATAGCTTCCCACCAATCAAACCTGAGTACGCTGTGCTAATTTTCGTTGTAGCTATGTATTCGGTATTTTACTTCATTGGGATATATTTCACCCTCGTGGAAGCCTACTCCCCGGGGAAGGCAGGTATACAATTATTATTCTATATCCCTGGCATTGGAGGTAGGGTTTTATTTTACTCCTTGAATCATCCTCTACGTCCTTTTTCACCATGGCACTACTGATGCCAGGTTTCTAGCCGGCGTTTACTTGGCCATGTTCGCATGTAATGTGTGGCCTTTGCAAACCTTCGCACCGCTGAGCTTCGGCACCTTAGTCGAAACAATAGGTGTTGCCCTTCTCACCTGGGCTGTCACGACTCGCAATTTATCTGTGATCAACGGGATGATGGTTGTAGCCGGTGTGGGAACGGGTCTTAGATTCATGCCCGCCTCATTACACGCGGCAGGGATCTGGCCAGATAAGCTCGCAGCAGCAGTGTCTATTACGCGGTTTTGTATCCCTTTCGGTGGTACTATTGCCCTTGCTATCATGGGCAGCGTCTTCAATAATAAGATGGCGGGTATTTTCCAGATGTCCAGTGGGTCACGGAGCGGAGGGTCTGACACGAACTCCAATCAGAGTTTGGATGATATCAGCAAGCTTCCGCCAGGGGTTCAAGAGAGCATCCGTAATACGGGCAAGAATGCAGTTATGTGGGCGTTTGTATCCATAATACCAATTATGGCGATCAGTTTCGTAACGGGGATGTTTTTGGGGAATGTGTGGATTAAAAAGAAAAGTGACAAAAGTGCCGAACAGAACCAGCAGAATGATCCCGCCCCTGCAGCCGATGACGATGAACATATCGCCAGCAATGAGGTAGTGTACTCCTCATATCTGTGGGCACTCTTAACGGTATGTGTATTTCCTCTAATAGAAGGCTTCCCTTTGTCTACCTCTTTTAATTTTCGATCCGAAAGCCGAAGACTACAGTTGTTCTAATCACGCAGAGCAACAGAGAACCCTAGAAGCAAAGAAACACATCACCAAGCCCCTTACCAAAGCCGAGAAACAGAGACAAGCAGCTGCCTTGCTCGAGGAGAAGCGACAGCGGGTAAAGCAAAGGCATCAGCCATCGGATGTTGAAAATGCTCCCTAGCCTACCCCTCGTCCTCCTACTCCTCTTCGCTCACTTGCGTCTTAGTTTCCGTCTCACTGACCTTATTTCGAATCCGGCGTAGCACTATACCTGCTTCCTTCCGTTGTTTCTTTTAGGATCTGTTTTCATTTTGAGATGTATATAGAGTGTGGACCCCTATATAGATTCTCTTCTTGATTCTATACATTAAATACTTGATTTTATTTCTCCATATGTTTCGACAATCTAACATAGAACTGCAACCGATTGGCTAGGCATCGGAATTACACCATTCCCCTTGTAAATTCCATTTGTAGTGGGTAGGGGCCTGAAAGGGGCGAGAAGAGGCAGGAGAAATACTATATTTGAGAGATCGACAAGATATCGATCGGTGTTGATGCCCACACAACCAGCCATTATTACTCCAATATACCCCATCCCATTTACGGTTGTAGCGGTAATACGTTGAGAAGCTCTTCAATGTCTTGGAAAACGCCACAATGAAGTCTCCCTCTTTGCATATATACGGGCATTCCTGGGTTCATGGTCTATACTGATTACGATAGTTGCATTATAAAGAAGAGAATAGGCAGCGAACACTATCTCAGCACGCCCCCAACTCCAGCCCACCCAAGCACAAAGCCACTAAGCGCTTCCCCCATGGAACCACCACCAAACCAAACATCCCTCCACGCCCCCTTTCTCGTTTGACTACCCTCCTGTTTATTCAATTTCGAAGAACCGTCTCCTTGCCCTTCAGTGATAAGTTCCCCTGTACCCGGGAAGTACGCGCCAACACCCATTCCATTGCCAAACCCGATTAGCACTGCATGAAACAGGAAAGAGACGATGAGCGAGCCCAGGAGGTAGAAGAGGAAGCCTTGGGAGGAGCGCAGACCAAGGATTCCGGCAGAAATTCCAAGGAGAAACGCGGTTAGGGAGTGGAGGTTTGAGAGAGTCTGTTTGGAGTGGGAACGTTTGTTAGTTTGGGGTTTAAGATGGGGAAGTTTTTTTTTTTTTTTTTTTTTTTTTTTTTTTTTTTTTTGGCTTTGAAAATGCACGTACACGGTTGTTATGCATGACTGAATCGGGAACGAGGGGATTGATGAGGAGAGAGAGTTCTTGTGATGTTGGAGGCATTGGGACAATTGTGACGCTTTTCGATATTATCAAGCTCTCTCAGTATGTTTGTGTATGTGTTTATATGGGTTGCAGGCTCCCCGTATTCGTTGCTAAGATATCTTGTTCGTGTTGACCTTGAGAGCAAAAAGTGCTCAGACAGCGGTCGAATATGTCCTAGGGAGAATATAGCAAGGACACACAGAGAGTTCTCCCGTATGTACTTTTAATTCCTAAGCAAATCCAACCCTTTCAAAATGGCAGCTGGCCAACGCAAAGATGTGTCCAGTTATCAAAAATGCGTTTCTGACCGCGGGTTCGCCGTTGTCACAGCATCAGGCCCCTGAACGGCGGAACAAAACCGTAACAATTGAGTCAAGTAGACGTTGTGGGAATGTAGTTAGGAGCTATGAACAATAAACTCTGGGATAATGTAATAATCTCGTATTGTGTGGGAGGTTGTGGGATGGTTCAATCTCGTCTTGGGTTGAAAGAGCTGGCTGTCTATACACACGAATCACGTGCAGTGGGGCGGAGGAGCAAGATCACATGATATTAATTCAGGTGATTTCAGCAACGGCAGTGGGATCGTAAACGTCACTTGCAGAAGCAGGTTGGTTTCGTACTTAAGGCAGTGATGTATTTGCATAATCATTTAATGGGCAGTTTAGTTTAGTTGGATAGCATCAGGGTTGACTCTATAAGCCTAGGGCGGACATTTTCAGTATGAGACGTCTTTATTGCCATCCTCGAATAGTTTGGAAAGACGAAAGGGGGAAATAAACATCCGAGGTCTCTATGGAAGAAATGGGTTGAGATGCAAGTAGTCCTATGTAAAGGCGAATGGGTGAAGAGGGTACGGTATCTCCTTTCGTCGTGGTACGACTTAACATGATAGGCGAGTTGCCAATTTCGATTAACCGCCAGAAGATATAAGAATAGAAGAAACAACTGAGGTGAGCAAGACATTAATAGTTTCTAAACAATCGTAGCAAGGTCATACACAATCATGACGTAAAAAGGGAGAAAGAGAGGAAATGGGGAAGTTAGTTGAGAAAGAAAAAGAAAATACGAGAGACGAATATTAGATAGTGGCAGGCGAAACAGACGGAAAAAACCCCGCAATGCTAGATCAGAAGGGAGTCCTGTCAATATTACACAAGAAAAACATTAATTTTCTCTCCCGGCCATGATTTCATCCCATCGATGATCGGTCTGGTTTGTATCCATTGATCTTTGTCCAACTTGGAAATATCTGCGTCTCCCAAGTAAGCGGAACTCGACCGCGGTAAACTGGAATGCATATATATCTAGCAATAGGAGCTGCTCCGTAATAAAACAAAAATTATAGATCTTCTTTCTCCTGCTGCAAATTAAGATAACAAAAAAAGAAAATACAAGAACTGGAACAAGCCCGTTTCTTGATTAGAAAGTTCAACTCGAAAAAATAGGTTTAAGATCCCCCCCCCCCCCCACTTGGCTCTTCCGAGGTTCCCGCAAGTTTGGGAACAACGAGGTTGCGAGGTTAAAGAACGGAATCCAACTTTCCTTCTGCTTTGGCGTCTTTGACTTGCTCAAAAACCTATTGAACGGTTAGCTCATGTTGTCAAATAATAGCAGTATCTCATGTTGGAACTAGCCTTTAGCATCTTGTTTCTGGCCCCAAGAGCATTCACACCACGCTCTTCTAGTCCTTTGTCATCTAATTCGATTAACTCAGTCCACTTAAGATCCTTAAGGTTTTCGGTATACTTGTGAAGACGAAGAGATCTAAGCCAGCTGGGGACATCTTGGAGTAGATGAGGATCAGTTGGATCTTCTGGTGGCTTGGAGCTTCCTCGTCTCCCGCGCGGAGATCGACCTCGTGTCATCTCAGAATAGTCAGAAAGATACCCCTCATGGTTACCAGTGAAATGGCCAAGATTGAGCCCAGCAAAGCTGTTATTCAATAATGAACTCGTATCGTAGGCCGCGAGGAATCCGTTGTTCTGGGGGGAAGCAAAACTCAGGTGTCCCATGGCTCCTTGCATTGCAATCCCTGGGGAGTTAGGTCGAGATCGACGACCAGCCATAGCAGCTTGCTGCTGAGCCTGTAACGCCGCAATTTGTTGAGCATTCAAAATCTGACCAACATCATTCACCATGATGAGATTTGTTCCTGGGATATTGTTGTTATGAAGTCCAGGAGAAAGAGGCTGCTGGTTAGTATTTACATTTTTGCCTTGCACATCATTAGACCGCGCACGACGATATTTTCGTGCATCGTCCAGTGCAATACGATTATTGACGGTAGACATAGCGGCCAGCTTCATCGCAGTGGCATTGGCAATCATTTCCGAATGCTGTGAGGCATTTTGTTGGTGATTAAATGTCGGCACGCTCGGGGTGTTTGTCATTGATGCCCAGCTAGCATTTCCCATGTTGTAGGGAGAAAGTAATGGAAGCTCTGATGGAAAATCCGGAGCAGCAATTGTGGTGTTCTGGATATTAGATGAGCCTTGACCCAAAGGCCGGGGGGAACGCAGCCCTGCCGACTGAGGCGGTTGAGCGAATTGGCCCATGGGCTGCTGATGCTGTTGTTCGGAAGATGATTTTGGTCGAGCAATGGGAGGCTGAGGCTCGGGTGCACGTTGAGCCCAAGGAGATGTCGGCTGTTGAGCTAAATTGTCTTTGCCGCTATCCGGAGCAGAGATGGTCGGCGCGATCAGGGAGGAACGGTCCGCAAAAGCAGCACTATTTCGATTCGAGGCAGGAACGGTTCCAGTCTGCTGTGTAAACTCAGCCTTCTGTTTCGCGATGGCTGCAGCAGCATCTGGAAACATGGCATTGATTGTTGATGAATCTAGCGCTGAGTTGCGCTTGTTTCCAGGAGAAGGAGGGGGGCGGCCAAAGGAATTGCGAGAGCATCTCAACGTTCAATTTTGACATTGCATCGGTGAGGCGGTTGTTCATAGGATCTACAATAGCGTATCAGACATCTCATATCTTTCATCAGGAAGTGCAGGTGCGGCCCCTTACCTTTTTCACCAAAGTTAGCAGGGGACAGGACGCTAGACATGGGGTGGCTCTTGGACATCTGCTGAAGAACCTGTATGAAAAAGCGGATCTGGACTTGAGTAGTTTGCTGGAGCAGAGCATAAAGAGCAGCGGTTCTCTCAGCTTCACTGAGAACACAGAACCATTGTTCAATAGCGCTCAGTTCATCTTTGAAATCCTGATCCAAGGTGGCGGCAGCCATCTCCTCCAAGGTAGTCTCATACTGGTCAATATCAGCAATCCACTGCAGGGCAGCTTTGTCTATGTCATCGCTGTTCTGAGCATGCGTTTGCTGATTGTAGAAGACTTCGGAGGAAGGGCGAATCCCCCTGGCAGAGAGAGGAGAAGCAAACGATGACATGTCTGCGGAGGCACGCAACTGATGGGAACCACCACCAAGAGCGCGGGATGATGGAGGTCGGAGCGAGGATTTCGAGGCTTCGGGGGTGCTGTTTCTATTTCCAATAATATGGCTAGCCATGCTAGCAACAAGAAGAGCGGCTGAAGGAGGGAGAAATGGGCGTTCAGATGACGGGACGGGATAATTATCGAGGGGGCACAGATGTTGATTAGGGCAAAGCTCCTGCAGCACCGGCTGACTTTGCGTAAGTATATGGCGGTCGTGACTGAAAAACGGCTTCACCGACTGTACCAGTCACTGTTGATGGAAAATCGAGGTAGGATAGAGGAAGCTGACTATGCTCTCCAGTCCCAGATCGATCCGAACGAGGTGGTTCAGATTGGGCAAGCGATTAAAGACAGACCAGTCCAGTGGCTGTACTGATTGGGTGTGAGATGTAATTGAGACAACTAGGGTAGGTTGTAAAGAAACACAAATAAGGAGGAATAACAGGAAGATGAAGGATGATTAAGATCTGAGTTGGTGGGTCAAACTGCGAATGGAGGATACGAAATTAGACAGCAGTGTGTCAAACACAGCAGCGAACGACAGTTAGGAGCTAGACCACCAGAAAAGGACGAAAACGGGAATTACGGAGAAAAGAAGAGAAGATAGAGAAACGGATGAAGAGTATGATAGAGAAGGAGTGAGGATGGGAGAGGGGGAGGAAGAGAAAGACGGGGGAGGATGATGCTGAGGAAAAGGACAGTGTTGATGGTGAAAGACTTGAGTTGAACGAGGTTGAAGGATTTTTGAGTTGAAAGAGCCCCGCTGACTAAGGGCGTCAAAAATTTCCCGGACAAGGTTTAGTGCCTGGATCAGCTGATTTCTATCATTTTCCCTAATCGGGAAAGGTGAATCCGGAAAGTTTGTTCTATCAGATGTTCCACTTGGAACGAACTATAATAACTAAATCTCTGCAACGGCTGAAGACTTGGAAACAGTGCCACAGGATGTCATAAATGGCGGTTTCCAGAGCTCTTCTAGAAGGCTGTCTGAAGTTCTGAAAGTTGTTAGGAAGTTTACATTCCATCTGTAAAAAGAGACTTGTTAGTTTTACAAGAGAGATGTCGGTTTTCTTTGATATCCACAGTCTGAAAGCTGTGACGAGATGTGTTTGAATATAATTTCTTTGTCTTCACGGACGTTTCTGGAGAATATGGGAGGTTTCTAAATTGCAACTTTAATTCAGAAACACCAGACAATGGCCCTGTTTTATGTCAAGCAGGGACTCTTCTCTCTCGCCCAAAGAATTTCGAGAAATTTTCTGGAACTTGCTCAGATCTAACCATGAGAGTTGTCAAAATTCAACCGAAGGCTCTACAATGTAGTGAACTATGCCAACCTTAACTAAAATTCAAATATGAGTTCAATTGAGCTTTTTAATCTAGAAGGGGGTGATCATGGAAACAAGCAGTCAGGGTAGATGTTGATGACTTTCATAACCTTTGTGATATCATATGTGGCAGTGGCCTGAAACTTCCCAAGGGCAGAATAGGTTACACATCTCGAGGTCGGCAGGGCAACTTCCATTTGCATTGACATGTCCTGTACTACGGAGTTTCGTATAAAGGAGAGCTCGGAGGTTGGGTACGGTACGCTGGGTTTATCTAACAACTTCTTCGTCCAAACCGGCCCCACCCAAGTAAAAATAGACTTTTAACAGAAACAAAATAAATATATGTCATTCGATACAAAATTTATGTATGCATAGAGTCAACGATGCCAACACCGTAAACACCAGATGAGATGGAGAATATAGAGATATCGGGTTTATAAGGAAGGAAAGAAATCCAAAAATCCAAAAGGGCACTGTCGACAATATACCAATATATCTAAAGGTAGGTACAACCAACTCCCGGTGAGAATCCCAAATCCAATACATATTTATGAAATATACTTAATGATGGTAGATTATGGTGAAACCATGACTTCAGACTTCACCGTTGCTGCCAAACGCTTCCGCCGGTTTACCAAAATGTGACGGCAATAAGAGTACCCCACATATATCATCCCAACAAGGAGGAGCATCCCACCCGGGACTCTCAAATCCCATATCAACGCCTGCGAGCGCGTTTGGAAAAAGAACGTGCGTTTCTCACTCCGCCGAATAGCGACGAGCTGCGAGAGAGTGGACCAAAAGGATCCAACAAACGATTCAGCTCGTGTGAGTGCTGTTGCTTCGATAATCGGCCAGTATGTGGCCAAACGCCACTCAAACTCCGCCTCCGGATGAGCCTGCTTAACAATCTCCTTGCACTTGTCTGTCATCTCCATGAAGCGCGCTCGCCCATCCAGTCGTTTAACAAGGTCGCGGACAATCTCGCCTTCGCGATCATCTGTTGCAATAACCACGGGCTGCTCCGAATTTAGCTGGGCGCGCTTCACGTTGTCATAGAGATACGAGCCTGTCCATTCACATTTTCCGAATACGTTGCGGAGGACTGGTACTTCGTTCTGATGACATGGGTCCTTTTGGCCGAAGGAAAGGTCTGATGGCCAAGTGCGAATGTGCAATGCAAGCGCTTTGGGAAGGATGTCGGGTAGCATGTCGTTTACACAAGCATCGAGAGGTGTTGACAGGGTGAATAGTTGCGCGGCTTTTCTCCATGGCGCGGCTCGAAATGGAAGAATGAATGCATCCCGTACAAACCCAAAGGCAGACCGCTGCCAGTATGATTCAGTTGGGGCAGTAATTCGGACAACCTGCTCCTGCGCTTCTGCGATTTGCCTCGTGTAATTCACGACTAGAGTGGGGGCATCATGTAAGTTGGTAGCGACTTGCGGCCTTGTGTCATACCCCAGTTGTTCAAGTCCCGATGCATCAAAAACATCGGTGACCGGTATCAGATGCGATTTATCAACTCCGCGGACGGCAGGACAGGTGATCCCAGGCGATAACAGTCTTCGGGCAGGAAGAGGGTTTTTAACGGCCGACGAAAGGTGAAGAAGGAACTGATTATTGAAGTATGCGAAGTCTGGATTATCCCACTGTAGTTACACGAGAAGTTCATCAGTAAAATGATATAGAATCCCACATGATAGGTCCTCGCGGTGAAAACAAACGGACGGAATCGCCATACTGTGAAATATTTCTGACTGCCCTGGTAAACCACAGGTGCTCTCCATTGAGGCAAATAGAGAAACGAGACCGTAACCAACAAAATTGCTACGAGCAATAGTCCGCGGAGAGACCATTTCATGATTTCGATACTGATTAAATAAGATCAAGTACCAAACGTCGACTTTTGCCAGAAATGCAAGTATTCCCCTCGCAAAACTCTCAGCCCTCATTCTCGAAACGGATCAGAGGTTTGGCAAAACCTCCCATGCCATGTTAGCGGTTAAATCGCTCGCATGCTGCCTGCTCGAAGGGACCAATAACAGAATTTCCCCCTCCACCTGAAAGCAATAGGGGCTGTCGCAAAAATAGCCGCATGATAGCGCCACATATGCACTTAACGCCGTAGTTTGAACAACGACGTCCGTTTCCATTGGACTGAGAATGACCGTCTCAGGGATACCCATGCTGGCTCCTGTGAAACTCTGAATGAGAAATCCCCATCTCCGCCATCGCTTGGCACTAACAAGCGTTGCGGGAAGCTTTTAGCCGAAACTGGCATCGCGGGGATAAATGAGAGCCACTTGGGGTCAACTAGAACAGCCATATTTCTCAAATCGGCCCTAGCGTGTTTAGGTGGGAGCTGTCGATCTAACATTGGAGTATATTAGTTATGTACAACCATCAAATCAGCGAGAGGCGCACACCCGATCCCTCATTCCTCAAGGGATTTATATTTTTTTTTGGTGATGTTCCCCAAAACATAGATGGTAGGCTGTTCCAGCGAATAATTAGCAGCGGTTGGATAGATCACAAATTCAAACTGGAATAAGCTCAGTTTAGGTTTTCCGTTACAGATGACAAAGGGGAGAGTTGTGAATGCCCTGGCGCTAGACCCGTTGAAGGATAGCGCCTTTAAAGGAATTCAAATTGTCCGCAGAGAATGGACGAACATATGCCATTGGTCTACAAATTCTCCGCTATTTGATAACTATGAACTATCTCTCTTAGAAACTTTTGGAAGTTCCTCGCGGGTGTTGAGCAAGGATTCTCGATTGCTGATGAAATTTAGGAGCACAGACAGCTGCAGTAGGACAAATTCAGCAGCTTTCAGCCCTACACTTTTCAACAGCAGCCAATGGAGATTCCTTCTCAACCTCTCATTCCCCACATCAGAGATCACAGGGGTTATAAGAAGAAAATGTGAAGACAGATATGAAAGCCTGCGTTGAAGGTCGAATCATTATGAACGAATTAAGGAGAGAACTCCACTGTCTGCCTCTTCCATCATTGCTATATCTGGAGATCCTAAACCAGTGGAGGATTTTTATAAGGATGACAATAATTATGCTAATGCAGCCATGTTGTCATAATCATAAAGATGGGTAATGTTTCAGTGATTATATCCTCAAAAGCCTTTCTCAGCAAGAGGAATATTCGACCGAATTTTATGAGTCTCTGATGGGATGATGGCGCATTTCTTCCTGTCATTTGATCACTTCATCTCGTTTATCCCTAGGTTTAAACCCTTTCACTCTTCACTTTTCAACATCCGTAATACGTAATCATTTTGCCTAAAGTTATCAGAAGCGAAAGCACTCCAACAGATTGAAATCCCATACAACTAAAATTCAAGTTTCCCTTCAAGAGTTGCTTGAAACTTACCTCCGACTCGAAGACACCCACCCTGAGCAATTATTTGTACATACAAATATCAGTCAAAAATATCGCAGATAGACCCTCCGTGTGTATCTGTGGATTTAAAGGCGGTCTACAGCTCCTTGAAGCCCTCCTCATCTTGGATCAGAACTGCGTAGAGATGATAGTAAAGTGGGAGAAAAAGCCAATCCATAGATTCTACTGGGGATTGAAACAAGCATACATACCTATCGAAATCCACGCTGCGCCGATGCGTTGGCGGGATGACCAATCAAGCGTTGCTGTCCCTCCGACCAATCACGCGCCACAAAATTAGACGGGCGGAACCTTAAAACTGATAGGACAGGTAACGTGACCGGCGTCTTTCAATATGATTCCGCGGGCGACACACGACTCGAGCTCCGCGCGCCACTTTACACCCAAAAGCTGTCTAGATACTTTAGCCATGTTTCCATGAGATTACTTAAACTCAGAACACTAATGTTACGGTATTAAACCTCTAAACCATTCTAACTTGTTCTCAGCTCCTCTCCAAGAACCTCTTCTCTTAGGAGTAGTATGGCGACCCACATCACCGGGTAAAAAGCAGGTTACCGAATCTCCGGAAATAACTCCAAAGCCTGCCATGGAGGGAACTGAGGGTGGTGCAACTGGCCAGCCTTCTTATGAAAGCTCTTATCCTGATATCCCCTCCAGCATTTACCTAGCCAGGGGAGATGGTACACGGCCTGCCATCTCGGGAGCTGAGCAGGTTCAAGATATTTCCATGGTTTCCGGGAGTGAATCGGGTTTTTCCGGTAGTGACGTGCCTGATGCTAATGAAGAGCATGAAGGCTCTCACAGGAGCAACCAAAAGTGGTTTCTCGAAGGAATAGAGGCTTACGCAGATATCCCAGACATTCAAACTTCTGAAGAAAGCTCGTAAGGAAATATACCCCCATAACCCCTCCTAGGTTAGATTTTGAACTAATTTGTCTTAAAGGAGTGAACCCGAAACTCAAGAGGAAAATCAGGAATCAGGAGAGGAAATCGATCCCGATCTAGGATTGTATGGCCGTAGGAGAAGAAAGGGCCGTTACGCAAAGGATGGGCCATCTAATTTCGGTGCGCGAGGCGGGAAAGGCATCAAAAGGGGTCCCAGAAAGCCAATCGAACCAAGTTTGGAATTCAAAAATCTACATTCCGAAGCGACCTCTGCTTTCATTGATACCGACTATGAGAGAGCCACTGTCCTGGTTAAACAGGCCATCCAGATAAACCCTGAAATGTTTGCTGCGCATTCTCTATTATCGGAGATTTTTCTTGCACAAGGTCAGAAGGACAAGGCGCTGGCCGCACTATTCAGTGGTGCCCACACTCGCCCAAAGGACCCTGCCGTTTGGATGAAAGTGGCGAAATTGATCCTGGAAAGGGCTGGAGAGGATCGCTCTTCAGCACTGCAAGATGTGGTATATTGTTATAGCCGCATTGTTGAGATTGATCAAAAGAATTACGACATACGATTTAAAAGAGCGGCAGTGTACCGCGAACTGGGTCATAATGGGAAAGCCGCACAAGAGTATGAAAGGTTACTGAAAGATCTGCCACACAATACAACAGCTCTTCGGCACCTTGCAGAAACTTATATTGATCTAAACGAGGTTCATAAGGCAAAAAGCCGATACGACGAAAGCATCTCGTATTATACTTCGCTGAATTTGGAGGAAGCCACTGACTTTACCTGGTCTGATGTGAACATTTATGCTGAATTTTTCAGCTACTTGAATGATTATGAACAGGGGATATTTCAGTTAAGATCCCTTTCTCGGTGGCTACTCGGAAGGAAGGACGATACAGAATGGGACGACATCATTGAAGACGACCGGGAGTGGGATGCTGAAGACTTTCCTCGTCGAGCAGATGTGCCATTTTTTGATCCCAATAAATATCCGACCGAGTCTTACGGGATTGGCCTTCCCTTGGAACTTCGCGTGAGATTAGGAATATATCGACTGAAATTGGGTCTTCAGTACAGGGAAGAAGCCTTGGTATGCAATTGCAAGATTTGATTATTAATCGAGTAGAGTGCTGATATCGAATAGTCTCATTTCTCCTGGCTCAACCCGGATGACGCCTCAGAAGGCGCACTACTCTATGACTTCGGAGATCTCTTTAGGGAAGCAGGAGATGCTCTCAAAGATGCAAAATTATATCAAGATGCTCTTACTTATTACCAACCACTTCAAAGGAGTCGTGAATATGCTGATACCGGCCTGTTCATGGCGATAGCAGAATGTAATACGGCTTGTGAAAATGATGAAGCAGCTGAAAATTGTTATTTAACGGTTGTTGAATACGATGAGAACAACATCGAAGCGAGAGCCAAGTTGGCAAAGTTCTACGAAAAGTTAGGATTGATTGAGCAAGCCTTGAAATATGTTAACGAAGCGATTGAACTGGGACGACGGGAGTCAATGCCAAGGCGAAGACGAAGATTTGGCTCTAGGGCCTTGCAACTTGCAAAAGAATTCCGCTCGACGGAACCCAGAGAGTTTGCGATGGCAACGTACGAGGGTCCTCTTGGGTCAGAAAATGATGATTGGGCAACTTCATCTTCGCCAGCGGGTGTGTCCGGCGGACTCGTGACGTCTGCAACACCAGTTTCAAAAAAGCGGAAGCAAGGGAAGGAGGAGGACGTTGGTACCGACCATATTAGCTATCTTTACTCTAAGTTATTAGAGCTTGGACCTGAGATGAGGGAGGGCCAAGAAGACGCAACAGAAGATTGGCTGGATATCGCAGATGCTCTATTGAGAGATTTTCGATCAAATCGGATCTTTTTCCCAATGCAACGGCATATGATGTTCCTGGGATACTCCAGAGAAGCGCAACGAAAAGCTGGACGACTGAAATCGACTACAATAATGGACGAAGTGGAAGAAATGGCAGGACGACTTCAGGCATCGCTAGGTAGGTACAGAATTTGATAATTAAAATTTTGAGAAATGGCTAATAAAATATGCAGGTACTCCAGAGATTGACCCTGCCACGATACCAAATGACTACCACTCGATATCATTCAAACAGTGGTTAGACATATTTCTGGAATATGCTCTCGTCCTGGCAGGGCAGGGCCAATCGGAAGAAGCCTACGATACCCTCTCTGCGGCTGGTGATGCTAGCGTCTGGTATCATTCCAAACCAAGCAAATTTCAGATTTATACCTGCTGGTTCAGTAAGTTGGTTACTTCCAGCCCCGAGCCTGCTGCTACTTACCCTAACAACTTATAACAGCCTGCGCTCTCCGACTCAAGGATGAAGAGACGCTCTCCAACATTTCCCGCTGGTTCATGAAAGAGTACCAATTTGTGACCGACACATACCGTCTCTTCGCAGCTCTAAGTCGACTTTGTGGTGATCCACGTAAGTCCCTGTTCCACTCGTCTCCTAGCATGAAATTCATGCTACGCCAAATAAAAGCAATCGACTACACCCTTCCAGATGATCCGCTGCGGCCCACTGCGGCCCGCCGTACTCGAGCTTCCGTCTTCCAAGAACGTGCAACCCTGACGACCAAGGATGCATCTGGACAACCCATTCCTGCAGAGGACATGGATGTTTCACTCCTAGTCCTTTATGGCCATATTCTTTACGCCGGGGCAAGTTTCACAAATGCCCTCAACTACTTTTTCCGCGCCTACGCCCTCGCCCCAGAGAATCCAATGGTTCTCCTATCTATCGGCCTCAGTTACATCCATCATTCCTTAAAACGACAGTCTGATAATCGACACTATCTTATCATGCAGGGACTGTCGTTTATGCAAGAATATCGACGTGTGCGAGAAAAGAGTCCGATTCCTCAAGAACGCCAGGAGGTGGAATTCAACTTTGCGCGTGTCTGGCAGATGCTGGGATTGATGCATTTAGCTGTACGGGGATATCAGCGATGTCTTGCGTTCAGTGGAGAGATTGGAGCTGAGCGAGAGAGGTTTAAGAAGCAGAAAGAAATGGCTACGGCTGTTGGTGATGGAACATCAGATAAAAGGGTTTGGGTGGAGGATTTCTCTCGCGAAGCTGCATTTGCTTTACAATGTCTTTATTCTTTCTCCGGGGAGACTAAGTTGGCAAAGGAGATCACTGATAGGTGGCTTATCATCTAGTAAACAGGTTCACTATCTGTACATTTTTCTTTACCTCAGGGGTTTTTTTTTTTGCATAGCGATGTGACGAACCTCAGCAGAGGTGCTTCATTAAAAATCACCCGCTAAATATCCACAAAGGTCATATGCCCCAGCGAATAGAACTACTATTCTATATGGGCATCTATGCATACACATAACAAAAGGAATATATAACATGTCAAATATCTGTGTCCAATGCCCGCCAAAGTCGATCTGTCGTCTTCCCAATAACCATATTGATCTATATAAGTACCTCGCTGAGTCGCCTATCAACAGAACAAAAGCATTAATATATATATATATATATATATATAATAAAATATAATAAAAAAAACCCACACGAAACCAACAAGCGCATGGTGATAAACACATTTGAATTAACCACCAAAGATTTATATCAGATCAATTTTCCAACTCCGTTCCTTTATTTCGCTCATACGCTGGTTTATCATCCTCGCTTGGGCAAGTATCATCGAAATCGTCGAAGAACACAGCCGACTGCCTTCTAATCTCCTCCATAACGCTGTTGCTACGATTAAAGGGAATCCGCCCATATGTCCCGGAAGGTCCTGTATCATTTTTATCCGCAGAGTGGTCTGGATTTTCCTCCGCAGAGGCATCTGGCACATAGTCGACAGCGTGTTCATCCAGATGGCCATCATAGGCTGATGGATCAATTTCTGGCGGGAAAGGCGTGTTAATTTGACGAGCTGTAACGTGTGAACCCCGTTCCAGAGCCCCGGAGATGACCTCCTCCAATTTCATCCTGTTCTTAATAAACAAAATCTTTGGGAAAGTGCTGTGTTGACCCTCTTGTATCATGCGGTCTAATCGTTCAGGGGTGGGATCAGTGAGGATGTTGAATAAATCGGAGAGGGTAGATTTTGGCCAGATGGTAACAATGCCGCTAAACCGTTGTAGCCATATTTCACTCCAGTCCTGACCCAGAGGACGGGGAAGAAGTTCGAGATGCCTGAGGACCTTGAGCCATTTGTTCAGGTCTAATTTGATATATTGTTCTGTAGCCGATCCGAGAAATCCTCCACGCCATCCACGGCCTTTGCGATGAGTGACAGGACGGCCAACACTACCTCGGGAACTGAAGAAAAATAAACTTATGTGTGGATTGACCTTGAAGAATACCGTTAGTATTTTTCAAAGTGAGGTGGACTAGTAGGCAATACTCACTTGAGATACGATCGGGAAGGTGGCGTTGAAGTGAATATCCAATGACTTGAGTGGTATATCAGTCCGCAGACTGCCATCTTTCCACTTATGCCCAAACGAATATGGGGCAAGGGTTCCATCTGGTTTCTTCATCATCAACACAACAGGGTTTAAAATACCAGGGACGGCTGCAGAAGCGATGACTGCACTCCAAATGACACAGTGGGGAGAGGTGAGATAGTTTGCAAGAATCGTAGGAGAATGAGGATCAGATGGAACGCAAGAAACATTTAGAATCCGGCCAGTTCGCTGATATGCCTCCAAGAACGTAGTAGAGCCCCTGCAGAACCAGCTGCATTTTTCTGCCCAGTCGAGTGTGTCAAATCGAGCTCCCGTTCGCCACCATCGTACTATCCAAGTTTGAAACGAGTCCTCGCAAGCATTGATTTTGTGTGCTAGAGATGGTACAAGGAGCTTCTTAAGCTCGTCATTCGTTCTGGTAGCTACCAACGCAGCTATCAGAGCACCCCCTGAAGTCCCCGAAATGATATTTGGGAGCACGCCATTATCAAGGAGAGCCTTGACGACACCGAAATGGTAGTACGAGAATGTAGCTCCCCCGGAAAGACATAACGCTGTGCGGCCAAAGTTTGTTTCCAGGTGTTTGAAAAACACTTGTTTAACATCCTTGGGAATTTGCTTGCTCTCAACGACGAGTTGAAGAGAGGTGTGTACTTCGTCGATGAATTCCTGAACTAGGTTTTTGGTCCCAAAGTACGTCTCGCTGTATAGTCGTGGGTTCTCAACACCCCCAAAGTTGTTCTTGACGCACCCTTCCAGGAGAACCCGGAGGTCTTCGAGTGTGTCACTGATATCTACACCATTAGCACGGCTGGCTGCCACTTTTTCCACCTTAGTTCTCAGGGACTTCAGCTGTTTGGTGATCCTATTAATAATTGCATGGTCGTAGTATGCATATTCATTCACCACCTTCCATCGGTCATTGCCCAAGTAAGCATCAAGCTTCTTTGCTGCCTGTTTCCATTCCTCATAGTTATTTGTCGCCCTCATTTCCCTTCTCAAGATTTGTCTCCTCCCTCTCCAAGTGACAAAGTGTTCGTAAAGGTAGATGTAGAGTCGAGTCAGAAGGTATAGGATACCTAGAATCAAAATCCAAGCCATGACCATTAAGAGCAACGGCCACTTGAGGAGTGTGTATACATATCCCTCCCTCGTTTCGTCAACTGTTCTGTTGGGTGCCTTGCGACGAGACCCGGGTTTCCGCACTTTTCGACGTATGGGGCGCCAATCATTAATCGCAAAAATAGGTAAAGCTTCCGGGGCACTGAGAGCGTGCTCGAACTGTTCTAGCTCTTTGTCCTGTATAAATCTCGTGTGGAAATCGGGAAGCCCATAATCTCCACCATCGTCTTTGGATGGAGCCATGTCTTTCCATACACTTAAACTGAAAGTTGAGAATTGTATCTCTCCAAACAAGAATTAATCCATTACAACGAATAACATAATTCCACAGACCGTCGTTGTCCACCTGTACTCCAGCAGTTAGACAATCTAGGGCATGGTTGGGGCACGGTTGGGGAGTCAACTGAAGTGAGTTACGTCATAATTAATGGACCAGCCCTAGCGTAGCGCACGTGATATAATGTCACGGGATATACCTTCGAGAGCTTCCAAGTGACACTCTTCCTTCCATTCAGTTGGGATTGCAACAGCCATTAGCTGTGTTCCATTCCATTTCTGCAGAAATAAAAAATTAAAAAAAAAATTAAAAAAAAAAAAAACTAAATGGCCGTATAACTTATCCGTGGGATCATATCTAAGTAGGGGTATGTGAGGTTACATTGCAAAGCCACAGGCAAAACGGATATCTTGGGGCGTCAACCAATTCCGGCGGGCATAACGGTTGCACATTAAACTCACATCGGAGAGGGGGAGGGTGAAACGACAGGCAAAGATGCATTAAAACAAAAGATGAGTGTTGTCCGGCTTCCCAAAAGTTCTACCTTTCTGTGGCGGACTTTTGTGGACAAAACCTAGAAAAAGACGGCGAGATACGTGGGTACTCTTCCTCCAGACGCTGGTAAGGACATCATTGGAGAGGAATGCATAATTTTGCATAATTCAGGAAAGTGTTTTGGAAGACGAGGGCAAAAAAAGAAAAGAAAAAAGAAAAAAAGAAAAAAAAAAAAAGGCAAATTGGGACAGATGCAAAACCTAGAAAGAAGATAAAACGAGCAGTTATTCTTCTTCATAATTAGAATTGACAGATGAAATTTCTCCAATTGCAAGATTCTCGAGGCGCAGCCAGCCGCCATTTCTATCTACCTTTTTGGGGAACCCTTTCATGAGAGCTGAGTGATTGGAGCTTCAGCCCGCTGTAAGAATATCTTTTAAAAGACGAGAGAGACAGAGCTCGCATAGTTGTGTCTGCTGAGCAACGCTTTCTGGGAGAAAGGAGGCAAGCAAATCGTGCAGGAAGCGACACAGAAAAGAGCTAACAAGTGAGGAACAATTTTCAGGACCCCTTAGCATCCTGCAGTGAATGTCAAAGTGGTAGCTTGAGGAACTGAGTGGTGCTTAGGCTCGCTGTAGCCTCTCAGCGACGCCCCAACCCAGCGGTTCCGTCGACATATCACCTGAGCTAAAATTCAAAGCATGTTGCTCCAACTTTTCCATCAATGCGAATCTACTCGATGGTACACGGCACAGCGAACGCCTAAGTACACATGGAGTCCCGCCAAACACTCACTAGCTTTCCCTTGGGAACAACCATAGGATGCCAATACCTTGACGTCAAATCCCCTCCCAAGCATAGATTCAGGATTGGTCGGGATTATGTTGCCTACCCAGAAATATGTTTATTAACTCTTTCAACCATGTGTCCACATTGTACCCCTGGCGTGCTACTGCCCACGAAACTTCAAATATGTCGAACCATTCATGGACTCCTGACATCCGTGCCTGCAATACCTGCAATGCCTGCGACATCACTTTACAGTTGGCAGTGATTCGCTTGACATTTGCCGTGAAATTTGGGCCTTAACTACTACACGGCGCAACATGTAAGGCTATAAAAGTGTTTCCGCTCCCGGCACCCGCTCCGTCAGATTTTGCCACACTATGAAAGATAGATCTCCAGATGATGGCATCCTGCAATACTTAATTGAAAGATGGCCCTGACGCTTGATATCCACTCAACCACGTTAACGAGTCGATCGCACGATGATCATTGAGTTAAACCAACGAGAGTGCTGCTCTGTGCTGAGACTTTCCCCTCTACGGCTGCCACGCAGAAAATCATTCATCCCGATTTTATCCGGCCAATGAGCACACTCTCTCGCGATGTTGGTGACACGATTAACATTCCCCGTATTTTTAACACAAATCCCCGCCAAAATCAAGTTTTGTAGCTATGTGATGCGTGCTTCTTTCACACGTGTGTTCTTAAGAGGTTTTGACATTATGCCCATATTCTTGCAGCGGGGAGCGCTTGACCTTGGTAAGAGGTAAATGTTAAAGGAATCCAGGGTTAAGGCGGTTCCACCTGTCGACCAGCAACTGGGAATTGACGACAACCCCAATCCAGATGCCTCTGATGTGGAACATATATTGAGAACAAATTGCTAGCTAAAGGTAGTGAGTCATGGATAAAATATACACTATAAAACAACCATGCAGCCAAAACCCAGCACGCTCTCTTATACCTCAGACAATCCCGAATGTAAAAAATGCACCTTTAGTTAGGTTAACGGATAACTAATCGTCCAGCCGATAATGGACAGCGTATCCAAATTTCAAGGTGCAAGCGGCTGCTGGTTAACTACAGACAAATTTTGAAACTCACTCAAAGCACACCGAGCTTCTGTTCTCCTCTCGGTGCCGAAAATGAAAAATAAAAATAAAAATAAAAAAGAAAAAGAAAAAGAAGAAAAAAGCAATAATGCTGGTCGCATTAGTACGACCACACTCTACTCTGTGATTTCCAAGAGATGAAACAACAACCAACCAATCAACAACAAGAGTGGTGGTGGGGGGGTGGTGGGGCAGGATACCCCGCGCTAGAAGAAGGAGCCTGGGTTGAGACGGGCGAGTGGGCTATGTTGTCTGAACTTTCAACGTTAGCGGGGGGGTAGCCAAGAGGAGGCCAGAGAAAAACCTTGGAAGTCAGGCCATGCCCGAAAGTCATCGACATGACATGGTTCTACGGGACGACCGTCAACCAGGGAAAGGGAGACGAAGACCGGAGCTGGGCAAAAGTAGATCGACTTTTCAACGGTTCAGGTTTTAGGTAGATGTAAAAGGTACCCCCAAATACGTCTAATCTTCCTCCCCCCCTCCCTCAGGTTCCTCATCCGTTGCCATTGTTATTCCGCTCAAAACTGCCAGGCCAATCCGCCCGGAGGACCATCTCAGATGATCGGTGGCGGGGAGGAGGTGGCTGTTGTTGTTGTTGTTGTTGTTGTTGTTGAAGATCATGATCATTGAATTTGAATATCAACTAACTAGCTCTCAGATGGCATGCTTCCTTCTACAGCTTTGCACCTATTTTCATACGAATCCTTTTTTTTTCTTTCTGTGGGGTGGGGCAAGAAGTTTGTGGATGTTTCGTCTCGACATTATTACTCTGGGAAACTATCAACTATGCGGCCAAGCAGCGTATACAAATCTAAACGTAGCAATCCTTGCCTATTGCGATTGTACGCCGGAGAAATAGCAAATAAAGTTAGTGGAGTGTGAGAAACTAGTTGCTGAGCTGTTGGGTAGGTTCTTATGCGTTATGCATGTGCATATGTAGTTATGTCAAGATAAAGTGTTACCTCTCCATGTAGAGAGAAGTCCAGTCTTGGATATGGAACTATCAGAACCATGTTCGAATGGATGTTAATATAATTCCTGTGAGGGCAACCGTGGATAGCGGTGGGCGGGAGGGAAGATTCTGAGAACTATGTTTCAATGGGGTTGAAAGTACGTAACATCTTTCTTCAAAAAAAAAAAAAAAAAAAAAGGGAGTACGAGAAGCAGCAAGATAGGAATGAGTATATCAAAATTACGTCTGCTGGAACACTATCCCCCAGTTCGGGTAACGGTGGTTCTTGAGGATGGAGAGAGGGTTGAAACTGAGATGCTCGGGGTAGTTAGTTATATACGGTATATTATAAAGTTATCTCTCGTATGGAGTAGGTGCACTTTCAACCTTTGGGGGTAAGAGCTTTTTGAAAGATAAAAAATACGAGATCTCGAGATAAGATAAGATAATAACCATAGTAAGCGGGCACTCCGATAACTAGTTAACTAGTTAGTTATTTGTGCAATTCTTTACTAACAGGGATGGATGGTCTAGTTTCCAAGATCTTGAACAATTCTGGTAAATCGCTCCAACGAGTTAAGAAATTTGATTATTTTAACTAGATGAAACTAAAACGACTTGGCTTCGTCCATGTGATGATGGACAGGGCGGAGGAAAAGCAACATCGTGATCCTTTCCATTTGTGTTGGTTAGCGCGCCGTGATAACCGCAAACACGGTCAGTTTCGTCGGATGATTATCCTCTGCTTGTATATTATGTATGTACAGTAACTCTCTTTCCTGTTCATCATTAATAATCCCGGCCATTTCAACCATAACTACTCACCAAGAGAAGGTTTTAGCGCAAATGCGTGAACATCTTTTGACCATGCAGCTAGCTAACTTAAGTGGTCTTAACTCATATCTAGATGAGCCACTAGGTTGGTCAATTTGGGTCAGCCGCTACGTGCCGTGCGGGACGAACGTGCCCAAATGACTTCTGCGCCTGTGTGGTATCAGCGAAGTTTTCTAATGAGTAGTTATCGCACGGTTGTTGATGACCTCATTTTCTTGGGTTATGTGGCTGAGAAGTCATGCCGGTAGGATGGAAGAAGGAGAAAAACACAGTGAGTACGGAGTATTGATAGAATTATTTGCAGGACAAATAATCTGAAGAGAAGCCCAGCTCTTTTCTTCGGCTTTGGTGCAGGTTTGTTGTGTATGAGATAATGCGTGAGACCTGGCTACAGGTTGGAAAATTGCGTCATGGTCACTACCAGAGCGAGTAAAATATAATAAGCGTGGTGTGGGTGGAGCATGGGAGAGAAGACCGTAGTTTACAAGCGAGGAAAGAGTCTCGGGATGATTTCTGTGTGGCCCCTGCGATGGAGTCCTAGTTCCTGTAAGGATTGTCACCAAAGTAAGACAACATCATGTCCAGTGACTCGCAGACCAGAGACAGTCAGAATATTGGACTTCCGTAGGTTTGTGGAACGAGGAACTTGATATCCGGCCCAGTCGCGGGTACCACGATGTATTATATTATTGTCTGTGGCATTGTCGGCCTGAGAAGAAGTCAAGTGTCCCAATCATTTATACTTTTATAGACAGATCTCAAGCTGATTGAGCCACACCCTATTATCCGAACCAGTTGGTTAGTTGACAAAAATATCTGCAAGTAATATTACAAGGCAGGCTGGCGATCAAGTAACTAGCCACTCCGTAACTAACACGAAAAATCCTTTGTACCACTGGAAGGATGATGGCTTTAATTGCCCATAAAATCCAGCTCTAAACTCAAGACTCACATATCATGGAAGCGATGTCGATACACCTCATATTTTAGTGTATAAGTGCATACATATAGTTATGCACAATCAGTAGCTTAAAAATATATCAAAGAAGAACCCATGTCCTCGGTCAAGGATTCGAGGTTTGGAGAATGGATTCTGCATTCGTGCAGCGGACATGAGGGGTTTCATCTGACAGCAAATGGGAAATGCGGCACAACCTCAGCTCCAAACACTAGCGGTGAGGAAACGAACAAAGGAAGGTTTCGATGAAAAATCCTTCTATCAGCGTTTAGAGTATATTGATGATTTGGCTTGTCGGGATACGGGTCAAAGGGCAATGGGTGCATCCGTGGATCCGAACTGCCATTAACAGTTGCATCGTATATATTATTCGGTCTGCATTTTTGCATTCAACAAATATATGGTGCAACTATGGTTGAGCTGCACCGGGGAACGGGAACATTGCGATAAGTTGCTAAAGATGCCACTCCTCATCCTGGACCTTTTTTTTCATTTTTCCTCTTTTACTTTCTTTTTTTTCCCCCGCAAAATCATGACGATACTGTGCTGATTCGCAGGGGAAAATTTCAACAAGATCGACCGACCAGTCGCGTGGATGGGTGGAGCGGACTAATCACGCCTGGGGATCATATTTTAATTCAGCGGAGCGCCTTTGCCTGCAGGCTGTCTGACACCGTGCCAAGTTAGTTTAACGAAGCATGCAAAAATAGTAATGCATGATGTTCAATTGAGGTTGTGATAAACGTTTTAGGCTTGCTGAGCGATAAGCGTAAGTAACTAGTGGAAGTCTTCCCTGCCACCATTGCGATAGAATCTCCCCACGTTGTACTCGTACTGGACAAAGAGTGAGATGGCGACTCGATTCCCCTCGTCAAATTTCAAACCGTAGTTCATATCGAAACGATAAGAACAGCAATACTGCATATATTCTTGATCATCCAAAGGAACCTATGATGTTGTATCTCTCCCCCCGCAGTCACCCTGCCCCACTGATATATCTTGATCTGACCTTAGCGAACGAAATGTCATTGTCGAACGGCGAATAATATGCGAGGAGAGGAAAATTCGCCACTATTTCTAACCCTTGTGACACAGGAAAAGAGATTGGTGAAGGTATTCAGTATCCAGAATCGTGTCAGATGAATCGTTTCATTCGCAAGTATCCAAACCCTCCGAATGGATTTAAAAGACAGGGGCAAAATTGTATGTTACTCTGCAGTTATAGTCTTTATGAAGGGCGGTGAAAGTGGTGACTGGTACAGATGTATCCTTTTGTAGCACCAGATTAACTTCTGGTTCTGAAATGGTAGGGGGATGTAGCTGATTGATCGTGTTCTGTTTCAGTTACTGATTGGAACTTCTCCCTTGAAGACTTGCGAATCTAGTGACTTAAAGATTGTTAGCTAGTTAAAACTTCCCACCAACATTACTTAGCAATCGGTCCAGCAATGGAGAGGAAGTCCGCAAACCAACCCAAAATCGAACTAGCCGATATCCCAACCGGCTGTTCAAATGGTAAACTTACCAGATGTTGCATGAACCTGATGAATCGAAACATCAAGTGAACTGATATGTTGAGATCCCGAGTCCGCGGATCGGTCTCGAAGAAGATTCAAACAGAAAGAATTGATCCCAACCCCTCAATATTTGGACAGGAAAATATAATTTAAAAATATGTGGATATCTCCACTCTGTAGCAAATTATCATTTCAAAATCAAGGATCCATTCCATTTATCCATGTCCGGCTGTAACTCTCGTCAGTCCGGGTTGACTCGAGAAAAAATCGTTCGACCCTGAGATCCGAGCGGCGATGCACGGAGCAGCCAGTGCATAGTGATGATCAAAAATCCATGGAAGATCTGTCTCAATTACGTCACGGTACACAATATCAATAACGGACATTCGTGACATTGTGGATTGAAGAGTAATCAAAAGGAAACATTTATTTTTACGTTTTTAACGGCAAATGATCTATTTGCACTGCTAAGCGATTGCAATCTTAAACAGCGCTTTTGCGCCTATCATTATTTTTTGACTGGAATGATAGCAGTCTGACTGGTTGGTCATTATGACAAATCTGGCGAGACGAAGACTCTTTTTTAAAGTTGGCCCAAATGAGGGGAACATCCGGAGTATTAGACAACCCCGCCAGAACAGATAGGACAGACGGAAGTGTGGCTTTTAATTTAATTTGTCTTCTTTTCTAACGCAACGACGAACACGTAGTTTAAATATAATCATGATGCGAGAGATTGAAGCAGAAAACTGTCAGGGATCAACAGAACGGACTGCCCTGCTGATTCCAGGGACTTCCCATACGGCAGCTGATTGATCTGCTTTACTTGTATGGTCATGGCAGCTGAGAACTGAGGCGTTGAGTTGCATCCGATGTTCGTCTGCATAGTTTAGTTTTATCTTCCATATCTCCATCTCAATATCCTTTGATGATCGTAGTTCTACTGGTTGGTTGTATAAATAATGGATACCTGGGAGTACATTAGGGATGTTCGGCAGAAAGTAACTCTCAGTTCTCGAGGACGGACGGAACTGCGCAAGGGTGAGAGCGCTGAGCTACCATTTGGAGGCCCTACCTCAAAACCCGCCAACCACATGTGCAGGTCCCGAGGGTTCAAACCAGGCCACCCGCCCCACCGGCTCGTTATTTCCAGGCCAGGTTATGCTAGGACTGCGTGCGCATGGGAGGGACTAAGAGACGCTCTGCCTGGCCGAGCTAACAAAAGAAAGAGATAACCAGCAAACTAGAGAGGCCCCAACCAGCCACACTAAGCTGGGGAGCCGTGTAGCAGCTAGCGCAAAAAGGGCGTCGTCCTAATGGTGATATATATCATTTCCGTTATGCTGTACCCCTAAGGGATGCACCACAAATCCCTCGCCAGTCACAGTTTGGTCCCATGCACGGTGCTGGCTTCCCTTTGGCTGGCTTGTCCCTTCCAATCAAACGCTGCAGCGAGGTTCAATTATGGAGTCATTATCAGCTCCTTAGCTAGTCAACAGCCCACTATTATTGAGACCTTCGCCAGCGTTTCTCCCGCCCGCTCTTCTCCAATCTCTCAACTTTCTTTTATCCTACCCCATTTCCTCCTTTCCTCACTTTTCCTTTTTCTTTTCTTTTCCTTTCTTTCTTCTCTTCCTTTCTGTAGCGGACAAGCCGGTTGGAGGAAATCATCATCCCCTGGGACCAACCACACCCCTTTATTTCACATCCCCCCTCCCCCTCTCTTCTGTTGGCTTCCTGATCAAGCCAACCTCAATCCCTTTTTTCCATTCTCTATCCGTGGCTCTAATTGTTTGCCCATTTCATCGCCCCATGGCCCAGCGTCGTTTTGTTGGACAATTGTATTGTATGATTGAATTCCCTAACTTTTTTTCCTCTTGGACGGCCATTTGTTCCCCACAATTCGTCTCAAATAATCTGACTTTGCGTTTTCCCCTTGGGACTGTCCCGGTGACCAACCCCAAAATCACAACCCCACACCACACTCATCCCCAGTGCTTC